TGCATCAAAAAAATTAGCTGTTAGTAGTTATTAGTTGTGTTACCTAATAATAATCACGTTTTCGAAAAAAAAGAGTTGAAGCCCCTAAAAATAGCCTTTTTGATCATTTTTTGAATTACAGCTAAACTCTGAGTCTCTGACGTGCTAAAAACTTCGCTGACATCAGAAATTAAAGCTTGAATCATGCTCTTTCAAATTAATCCTATGCCAATTTTATTAATCGCGTGCACCCTTAGATCAGGGGGTGCATTTGTATCTATGCTTCAGGATTAATGAACTATTGTAATAACTAATTGCATTATAATATTATTAATTAACCAAAAAATTTAATCAATTTTAATGATGCAAAAGAAGAACATATATATATAATATTTATAATAAATGATTATATCAATCTGTTGTGAAAATAATAAAACGATGAAATAGTCAATCAGTCCGAGTCATATATTTATATAAAGATAGCTGTGCTACTGTTGAAACGTATAAAAAAATTCTTATTCTTGTTTTTTAAATCCTGACACGGAGTGATTTATTTCATCGTTTTATTATTAAATAAATAATTATAAATAAGAAAATAATATATTAGTCTGAAAGATATATTTAACTTGAAAGAAAATGTTAATTCCTTATTATGATAGTGCAATAAATAAGAATAAATACAATATATATCAAACTGTTGTTTTATAGGTATTTTAGAAAACAATTATTTATAAATGAAGTTAATCAATATATTAAGTACCCAGTAAAAAAGGGGTTAATTAAGCAAAAGCCGTTTTGATGATTGAGCAGACCATCTGCTCAATTGTCCAAAAGCCTTTTGGACAATTGAACTGGTTGTTCAATCATCCAATGTATTGGGGTCTAATCGACTGAAATTATTTTTGGAGCGAAAAAAAGGAATTAAAGACATAATTCTTTTCAAATTTTAGAAAATGAATAATTCTAGAGAGATTTAGGAATGTGGTGTTTAAAAATGTCTAAAGTGAGAGCTAATAGACAAGTTTCGAAATATTACTTTCTATTTTCAGTTCATGTACGCAAATTGTAGGTAATCTGATAAAGAGCAGAACTTCTTTATCGAATCGTGATATTTATGAATTGAGAATAAAGTGTAGATTTCTTTTTTTTTGAAAAGCGAAAATGATAATATACAAGAAAAAGTATTTAATTATTAAAATAAATATTATTAAATATTATTGAAATAATATTCATTTTATTATTATTGAAATATTATTTAAATAAATAAGCAAATTTAAAAACGCCATGCGTGAATATTAAAGAGAAAGGAAATGTTAAATAGTGAAATCAATTTGAAGTTGGTAAAAATAAGAGAAATTTGTTTATATACATATATATATTTAAGGAGCAAATTTTCAAAATTGATATTTTCTTATTTCGAGAAATTAAAATTCACATAACCACTATACTTAATTTTAAAATAAAAAATTGTATTATAACTTATTTCTATAACAAAGTTCTGGTATTTAAGGGGGGGGGGGTAAGGTTTGACAACTTTTTTTTCCATTTTTTTTTATTTTTTTTTACTGAAACTACAATATCTGAAGAATATTGTATTAAATTTTTAGACCATTCAGAGCAAAACTAACAAAGTTACAGTATGGACCCGGCATCGATGATGATACGTACGTATTTTATAAAAAAGTCCAGCCTTTTAAAGATATTTTCATTTTTTTAGTGTACAAAACTTTAAATCTATTTTCCCAAAAGTGTCATTTTTAAAGTCGGTGACCAACCTACCGGAAAAACTACTGAACCGATCGTTTTTAAATTTTGTACACTTATTCTACATATAAATAGCTCTCAAGTGACGTCGAGTTTTTAAATTTTTTAAAATTATTAACAATTTTACAATAACAAATAGGTCGATTTTTTCGTCAAAAATCGTCATTTTGACTTCAAAATGGTGTCAAAAATTTAAAAATTTAAAAATTAAAAAAAACTCTTCGTCACTTGAGAGATAAAGTAATAAACTAAACAAAACATTTTCACTTTTTGGTTTTAGTTGATCCAGTGATGCTGTAGGCTGGTCACCGCACAAACACTTTTTTTCTAGGCACCTGCGGAGATCTGCAATAACTTCGTTATTTCTATCTATTTTTTAACAAAATTTTTTTTTAATATTCTTCAAATGTTACACTATCATATAATAATATGTAAAATAAATCGACAGCAATAATTTCTTCTAAAAAAATTCATGAAAAAAGGTCTTTTTTAGACGAAACAAACCTTACCCCCCCCCCCCCCCTTTAAAACATTTTAAAACGTTCTGTTCACTTACAGCAGAAGAAATCGATTGACCACGACTAAAACCAAATGACTTAATCCGATAAAATTAAGAAATATGATAAAATTAATTCATTGATTTGTATTTAATTATGATTTTTAACTGATTCGGAATCAGTTCAAAGAGTTTTAATCAATTCTGCCCGTCGCACCTTTTTTTTTAATCGTCTTCAATTAATTCTGCCCTGCGCACTTTTTTTTAAAATTGCATATAATCAATTCTGCCCGGAGCACCTTTTTTTAAAATCGCTTTTAATCAATTCTGCCCGGTGCACCTTTTTCTAAAAATGGCCCTTAATTAATTTTGTCCGGCGCACCTTTTTTTAAAAATCGCCTTTAATCAATTCTGGACGGCGCACCTTTTTCTAGAAATGGCCCTTAATTAATTCTGCCCGGCGAAAGTAATTTTTTATCGTGATACTTTAAAGAATAATTGTATTTGCTTGAATTTTGCTACTCGGGAGGTTTTTCGGTTCGCTTATTATGAATTTAAAGACATATTTTTAAAATTCAAAATGGCGGATCCAATATGGCGTATGTTACAATTAAAAATCATAAGATTCAGCTAAAACTTTGCTACTCGAGGATCTTGAGATCAGTGATTGTGAATATGTCATTTGAATTTCAAAATTTTATTAAAAAAATTATACTTACATAAATCGACAATGTCTGGGGCGTACAGCAGCTCTTTCTCCTTTATAAAGGTAAGAATTAACAATATTAACGGACAAGATCCGTAAATTGTAGATACTTTCGAAATATTATTTTTCGCGTTTTCGCTTTTGACTTAATTCACAATAATTAATAAAAAGTAGCCACAGCCGATAATCAGCAGAAGATGCAAAATTATTTTCTGAACCACCCTATTTAAATTTATATAAATAAATCTACAAATGGCATCAAAGATTTTAATTAGAGTTTCAATTTTTAAAAATTATTTTCGGGAATTCAAGTATATCTTCAAAAAATTTTAATTACTAGTATTCAAAAACCTAATTTTTTTCAGAATAGTCAAATTAAATCTTTCAAATTTCAATCATTTTTGTAAAATAAATATTTAAATACTTATTGCTCTTTATTTGCTTAAATTTCGAAAAATTTAAATGTAAAAAACCACTGGGAAAATTTTTTATGAAAATTTGAACTGCAAGTCTTCCACAATTCAATTATTACAAAAATTCAATTATTCTCAAAACAATTTTAATTAAATTCCTCGAAAGAATTCAATTTAAAAAAAAAAATTTAACACACTTCGAAAAAATTAAATTTTTTTCTAAAATTTTAATAAATCCTTCGAAAAAATTCAATTATTTTTATAAGTAGTAAAATTCTTCGCAAGAATTCTATTAATTTTATAAATCGTAAAATTTTTTGTAGGAATTCAATTATTTTCAAAACAATTTTAATTGAATTCCTCGGATGAATTCAAATATTTTAAAATACTTCCATTAAATCTTGTGATGAATTCAATTATTTTGAATATACTTAATTTTAATAAAATTCTTTAAAGAAATTCCATTATTTTCGAAACAAGTTTAATTCAATTTCTCGAAAAAATTTCATTATTTTTAAATATTTCTATAAAATTCATCATAACAATTTAATTATTTCTTAAAATTTTAATAAATTCTTCGAAACATTTCAATTATTTTTAAAAATAGTAAAATTCTTCGCAATAATCCAATTATTTTATAAATAGTAAAATTCTTTGCAGAAATTTAATACTTTTCAAAACAATTTTAATAGAATTCATCGAAAGAATTTAAATTGTCATATATTAACATAAAATACATTTATTTCCTAAAATTTTAATAAATTATTATTAATTTTATCAATTATTTTCAATACAATTGAGGCCTTGGATCCAATAACTCGCCCGACGCTCGGAGGAACGCGCAACTGCCAGTCAGTGGGCAGTGAGCGCCTCTGGGCCACTCACTGCTACCCGACTGGTATTAGCGCGTGCCTTCGAGCGTCGGGCGAGTTATTGGATCCAAGGCCTCAATTTTATAATAAAATTCTTCTCCATAAAATTCAATTCCTTTCAAAATTTTCAATTAAAATTATTAAAGAAACTCCATTAGTTTAAAAAAAATTCAAAGAAATTCTTCAAAAGATTTTAATTAGAATTTTAAAAAGTTTTAATAAAATTCTTCGCGAGAATTCAGTTATTTTCCTAAATAATAAAATTCTTTGAAGGAGTTCTATTATTATCAAATTTTTTGATAAAATTCTTTGCAACAATTCAATGATTTTCAAATTAAATTAAAATACATACTTTGAAAATTCAATATGTTAAAAAGTTTTTAATGAAATTCTTTAACAAATTTAATTATTTTCAGTTGAATTTCACAAAATTTCTATTAATTCGATAATTTTTAAAAATTTATTTGCATACTATATTTGAATCAGTGACTGATTTTTGACAATCAAATTTATTATTTTTAACTAATTCAAATTTAGAGAACAGTTTAAATATTTATAAAAATTGAAATAAAAAGCGATTTTTTAATAACTTAATTAAAATAATAAAACTTTTTTTAATTTTTGATGAAAAAATTCCCGATTTGGCATAAAATTCCTGGCTTATTCAGTAGACACCCCGAATAACAAAATATTTTCGCCTGCAATATAATGGAAAGAAATTCGGAAAATGTCTCGAAAGGCACGAAAAATATCAAAGAAAACACCTGAAATCATTTTTCTCACGAATTTAATAAGTTAATAAAAAAATGCTCTTAGAATTATTTACAGACTGTTTTTGTGCGACTCAAAATAAATGTATAAGATAACGAATATTTTCAAAAATGAATCTATCATAATCTTTCAAAATCTATCTGATTAACAGAAACGAATTCTAATTAAACTATATAGTAATGAACTCAAGAGCAATAAGAGAGATCTATTTATCAAAATTCAACAACAGTACCATGTAATTCAAACACTGATTGTTTACATCGAGGTAGTGAAAAATCACTCATTCCACATAACGAAACAAGTCTATCTTTCAAACTCTCAATATTTAAAACATGACTCCCCTGTGGATTCTCCAATAAAATTGTCCCCTCCTTACCAGAGTTTCTAATGTTGACAAATTTACAAATCGCCGAAGATTTCTGTGATTTACAAGGTGGTTCCTCATCATCGCGAACGATGAAAACACTCTCGCCCTGTATTTGGAGGAAATTTTTCCCTTCCCCAAGTTTCTCACCATTGGCAAACAATTGATAGTTACAGCCATGAATACCGAAGATATTCTCCACAGTCTCACGGAATTTGGTGTATGTGATTGTCTGATTGGTCTTGAAGTCCCGGAGGAGAATCGTTCCCTGTTTACTTTTAGCACCGAATCGTGGTTCGTAGTTCAGGAGATGAACGTTGACGAATTCGACGAATGGTTTCGTTGAATTTGTTGTTGAATTGGACTCGGTGGTTGCTTTCACGAGGATTAGATTCATTTCCACGCCTTTGATGTTTTGCATTTCTTGGAGAATTATCGCGCATTCGTGGTTGAACTCGGAATAATTTTTCTGTGGTGTTTTAGTTGTTGTTTCGATAAACTTTTGATGGGTGTCGACAACTTTAGCCAAAGTGCTGCTCTTGTCTTTGATTTCATAATAAACTGTTGCCTCATCACTGGGGATGAGTTGTGCCTTCTTTCTCAATTTTTGCACTCGGTTGATCACCTCCCTCGCTAGGCCTTCGTTCAACATCGTGTCGTCCGGCGTCACGTCGAGGAGAATCAGAACATTACCCTCGCAATGAGCCTCGTATTGTTTCGCCAATTGCTCTGCGGCCGGACCAGAGAAACTATAACTCAGTCGAAGATCCTCCTGTTCTAGTGTATGACCCAGTAGATCAATTTTCTTATCTTTGATGAATTTTTCCAATTCCTCGTTCGAGAGTTCCTTGATTGCCGCCATGACTGCTTTGAATTCGCCCTTGAGTCTAGCACCGAGGTTTTTGTGATCAGGTTCCGCTTTTAGGGTCACTCCGTACTTTTCCTTGTCAGTGGTGGCGGTGAGTGTTTTCACGTTGAGTTCCTCGAGAATATAGGGCGTGAGGGAGACGATATCGTCAATAACTCTGCGATCTTGATTGATGACGACAATTTCCGGTAGAGGGTACTTTACTGGGAGGGTTTTCCTGTCGCGAACAATTCGTCCCAGGTCGATGACGGTTTGCATGCAGGCGACTGCTTTCTCAATGTCCTGGTTGATGAAATTCGGCGATGAGTTCGGGACCATTTCGTAATGAATACTGTCTAGGGTCATTGAGGTGGGGAGTAAGTTTCGGAGTCGTTGGAACATAAATTCGGTGAGGAAGGGAGTAAAGGGGGAATTTACCCTACACATCGTGTAGACGATGTAGAAGAGTGTGTTTAGTGCTCTTCGGCAATCTTCGGCACCCGTATCGCCCTTAATTCGCTTTCTATTCATCCGCACGTACCAATTGGTCAAATTGTCGATGAATTTGATAAGTCTAGGAACGACTGTGAAAAGTCTATAGGCGCTCATTTCTTGTTTCAGAAATTCGAGCAAAGACTGAGTGAACGAAATGATCCACTTGTCCATAATATTGTCGCCCGTCTGCTCTTCGAGACTCTGATACTGGAAAGTCACACCTTCTGCTTGCTCATACCTCTCGATGTTCTGGACCAAAAAACGGAAAGCGTTATACCAAGGGAGAAATACGTCCTTAATCACATCCCTCACGCCCTCTTCCTTAAATCTCAAATTCTCGCCCCGGACAACAGGGGAGTTTATCAAGTACAATCGTAGGGCGTCCGCGCCGTACTTGTTTACAATTTCCATCGGATCCGGATAATTCTTCTTTCGTTTCGACATCTTCTGACCATCGGCGGCTAGAATAAGTCCATTGGCGATCAAATTCTTAAAAGGAGCTTTGCCGAAAAGTGCGGTCGAAATCACCAATAGTGTATAGAACCATCCTCTCGTTTGATCAATCCCCTCAGCTATGAAATCGGCAGGGAAACTCTCGGCAAACTCCTTCGTCTTCTCGAACGGAAAGTGCATTTGCGCGTAGGGCATTGATCCAGACTCGAACCAACAGTCAAAAACTTCAGCCACTCTCCTCAACGGTGGTTGTCCGGCTCGTTTCGACGGTATCGTCAAATGATCAATACTCTCCCGATGAATATCCGTAATTTTAACACCTGACAATTCTTCCAATTCCGCTATACTCCCGATGCAGACAACTTCCCTCCCGTCCTCGGATATCCACAAAGGAATCGGATTTCCCCAGTAACGATTTCGACTAATCGCCCAGTCCCTAGCGTTTTCTAACCAATTCGCGAATCTTTTCTCCTTCACATAATCGGGCACCCAATAAGTCTCGGCGTACGTCTCCATTAAGCGGTCCTTGATCTGCGTGACGCGTACAAACCAAGAGGGAACAGCCTTGTAAAGCAATGGCGTGTCCGATCGCCAACAGAACGGATAACTGTGACTCGTCGTACCACTGTGAATCAACTTTCCCTTGCTCTTTAGTAATTTCATTATTTCCTTATCAGCCGTTTTGACGAAAACCCCTTTGAACTCCACAACCGGATCCGTGAATTTTCCGCAATTATCCACTGGACAGACCATTTCCTGCTCCTTCGTGATAATACCAGCGGCTAAACAACATCTATAATCGTCCTCCCCGAAATAAGGCGCTTGGTGAACGATCCCCGTTCCCGACCCCGCGGTCACGTAATTGTCATTCAAGACAACAAACGCCCCCTTCTTTCTCAATTCCCCAAAGTAGTCAAAAGGTGGTTCATAAGCCTTTCCCTTCAAATCACTCCCCTTTCTCTTCCCCCTCACACTATAAAGATCCTTCGACTTGTAAATAAGTTCCAAACTCGATTCGAGAATAATAAAAATCTTCCCTGAGGCCGAGTCGAGTACTTCGATGTATTCATAGTCGGGATTGCAGCAAAGAGCGAGATTACTCGGCAGGGTCCAGGGCGTTGTTGTCCAGGCGAGGAGAGAAACGTTCGGCTCGTCAATGAGTGGAAAAGCGACAACCACCGAGGGATCAACGACGTCTTTGTAATTTTGTCCAGCCTCGAAATTCGATAGCGGTGTATTGCAGCCGATGGAAAATGGAACGACCTTCACGCCCTGATAAACGAGACCCTTGTTGAATAATTCCTTGAAGACCCACCAAATTGTCTCCATGTACCATGGATAAAGGGTCTTGTAATCGTTCTTAAAATCTATCCAACGACCAATGCGACCGACAATTTTTTCCCACTCGGTCGCATAACGCATCACAATTTTTCGACATTCGTTATTGTAATTTGCTATTCCCATTTTCGCCACATCGTCAGGACCCTTAATTCCAAGAGCATTGTCAATCTCGTATTCAACCGGAAGTCCATGTGTGTCCCATCCAAATCTACGCTCAACGTGATAACCATTTTGATGTGCGTACCTGAAAAAAATTTTTTTTTTAATAATTCGAAATTTTTTTTATTTTATTATATTCTAAATTCAATTACTCTTCACTTGGATTTAATTATAATAATTGTAAAATACATGTTCCGGTAATCTGTTCGCAGTTTGCAGTTAGTTGTTTGCTTTTTTGTTTCTTAACTTTTTTATCATTTTTCTTTTCAAATATTTTCAATTTTAAAATTAATGTATTGAAAATCATTGAGTTGTTGCAAAGAATTTTATCCAAAAATTCGATAATAATAGAATTCCTTCAAAGAATTTTATTATTTAGAAAAATAACAATTCTCGCGAAGAATTTTATTGAAATTTTAAAAAATCCTAATTAAATTGTTTTGAAGAATTTCTTTTAATTTTATTTAACCTAATAGAAGTTTCTTTAATAATTTTAATTGAAAATTTTGAAAGCAATTGAATTTTATTAAAATTGTATTGAAAATAATTGAATTCTTGCCAAAAATTTAACTATTTATAAAAATAATTGAATTGTTCCGAAAAATTTATTAAAATTTTAGAAAATAAATGAATTTTATGTTAATATTTGAAAATTAAAATACTTTAGAGGAATTTTATTAAAATTGTTTTGAAAAGAATTAAATTTCTGCAAAGAATTTTACTATTTATAAAAATAATTGAATTATTGCGAAGAATTTCACTATTTATAAAAATAATTGAATTCTTGAGAAGAATTTTATTAAAATTTTAAGAAATAATTAAATTGTTATGAAGAATTTTATAGAAATATTTAAATATAATGAAATTTTTTCGAGAAATTGAATTAAAGTTGTTTGGAAAATAAGGGAATTTCTTTAAAGAATTTTATTAAAATTAAGTATATTCAAAATAATTGAATTTATCACAAGAATTTTATTATTTTTTGAAAATAATTGAATTCTTTCAATTTTTTTTTACGAAAATATTTCAAAATTGCATTGAAAGTAATTTAATTTTTATATAGAATTTTTTAAAAATATTTTGAGAATAATTGAATTATTTTTAGAGAATTTTAAATTCTTGTTGAAATTGAATTTTTTATGGAAATTTTTGAAATAATTAAATTCTTTCGTGCAATTTTATTTAAATTGGATTAAAAATTATTTAATTCCTACAAAGAATTTTAGTATTTATAAAAATAGTTGAATTGTTTAGAAGAATTTATTAAAATTTTAAAAAATAATTAAAATTTATGAAAATATATTAAAATATTTGAATTCCTCTGAGGAATTCAAATAAAATTGTTTTGAAAAGAATTAAATTTATGCAAAGAATTTTACTATTTATAAAAATAATTAAATTATTGCAAAGAATTTTACTATTTTTAAAAATAATTGAAATGTTTCGAAGAATTTATTAAAAATTTAATAAATTTAATAAATTCATTGTTACGAAGAATTTTATAGAAATATTTAAATATAATGAAATTTTTTCGAGAAATTGAATTAAAGTTGTTTGCAAAATAAGGGAATTTCTTTAAAGAATTTTATTAAAATTAAGTAATATTCAAAATAATTGAATTCATCACAGGAATTTTATTATTTTTTGAAAATAATTGAATTCTTTCAATTTTGTTGACTAATATATTTAAAATATTTGAATTTTTGCGAAGAGTTTTATTAGAATTTTGAAAATCTTAATTAAATTCTTTTGAAGAATTTCTTTCAATTTATTATAAGTAATAGAGTTTTGTTAATAATTTTAATTGAAAATTTTTACAGTAATTGATTTTATAAAAAATTTCTTTCAAGTTTTTAAAATAACCGTGTTTCTTAATAATTGAAATTAAACAATTTAATTATTGAATTTTATTAAAATTTTTAGAAAATAATTAACATCTTTTTTGAATTTTACTACAATTTTCTAAAATAATTTTAATAAACAGTTACAAAAATTGAGTTGTTTCGAAGAATTTATTAAAATTTCAGAAAATAATTCAATTCTTTCGTGAAATTTTATTAAAAATTTTTAAAAAATTGGATTCTTTTATGAAATGTTTTAAAAATTGTATTAGAAATAATTATTGAACTATTTTGAAGGATTTTTAAAAATTTTAGAAAATAATTGAATTTTTTTGAAAAATTTTATAATGAATTAAGAAATAATCAATCCTAATAATTAATAATTTAATTAATAAAATTTTAATAAGTCCTTTAAAAAAATTAAATTCTTTTAATAAAATTTTTCGAAAGAATTTAATTATTTTTTAAAATTTTAATAAATCCTTTGAAAACATTCAATTATTTTCTTAAATAGTAAAATCTTTACAAAAATTTAATTATTTTCAATAAAATTTTACGAAAAAATTCAATTTTTTCTAAAATTTTAATAAATCCTTCGAAACAATTCAATTAATTTTTTTTTAAATGTAAAATTCTTTGCAAAAATTCAAGAATAATTTTTAATTGTAATTTTAATACAAGTTTAATACAATTTCATGAAAGAATTCAATTATTTCCAATACAATTTTAATAAACTTCAAAAATCAAATATTTAATTATAATAATTATAAACAGACACGATTATTTTAAAAGGTTGAAAAAAATTCTTTGTTTAATTCAATTATTTTCAAAATTGTCAATTAAAATTATTCAAAAAACTACATTTTTTTCATAAAAGCTTAAAGAAATTCTTCGAAAGAATATTTATTTATATTTACAAAAACTCTAATAAAATTGTTTAAAAAAGTTTAATTTTCTATCAATAATTTGTAAAAAAGTTTTAATAGTAAAATTAATTATTACAATTATTAACAAAATCGATTGCATTCAATTTTTAAAGAATGTTCAATTATTGTTGTCAAAACTTTTAATAGTATTTATTCTTTGAAAAAATTTAATTATTTTCTAAATTTTAATGAAATTCCTTGAATGTATTAATTACATTAAAATTCAAAAGAATTTAATTTTATAGGATTTATAAAAAGTTTTATAAAAAATTCTTCAAGAGAATTCAATTATTTTTTCATAAATAATAAAATTCTTCGGAGAAATCCAATTATTCTCAATTTTTTTTCATAAAATTCTTTGCAAGAATTCAATGATTTTTAATGCATTAATTTTAAAATTGAAAATATTTAAAAAGCAAAATTATTTTAAAAATTAGGAAACAAAAAAGCAAACAACAACTAAAGCTTTAAATTGCGAACAGATTTCTGAAGTACAACGATTATTAATTTACAAATCGACGGTTTAGAGTGCAAACCTGCTAACTCCACTTTTTATCAAATTTGAGATTCTTTTTGTATTTGATAGATAAAGAGGTGATACATCAGCCAAGTAAAACAGTTTGACGAAATTATGTCTCTAAATTGCTAAAAAAGTGTTGTGAGTAAGATAGCTAACTCCATACCTGTCAAATTGCACTGCTATAACTCCACATCAAATATTGTATTGTATTGAAATGTGTCTATATTTTGAGTGTAAGAGATATCAATTAAAATATATTTCAAAAGGAAGTACTTATTATTATTAAGTAGCATTGTCTTGTTCTATTAATAAAACAAATATACTGAAAGTTTTATTCTATAAGAAAATAACCTAAAAATTCGTTTGAAAAGTTTTTTGACTCTCCTGAAAAATTTCATAAATGTGAGTTAGCAGGTTTGCACTCTAAACCGTCGAAATTATTTTGAAATTTAGTGTGGTCTTCATGAAGTTATTTGGCTTTGAATTTTATCCCTAAAATAGCCAATTTTACAGTTTTTTTGAAAAAAGATGAAAATTGTCGGCGTTTTTAAAAATGCAGATTAAAATTCATCCTTTAAAATTGAAACTATTGCATCATAAATGTGTATATTGAAAACTTTTTAGGTTATTGCATTACTTTTTGAAAAATGCTCCAAAAATTTCAAATTGGTACAAATTGCTTCCTATGTATTTATATAAATCAACCAATCAATAAACAATTATTATTTTCATTTCACTTTGCAGAAAAATTTTAAATCACTAATAGAATTAAAGCGAAAAACGAGTCATTGACATAATTAACATATGTGACACGTGTTCTAAACTATAGGTTATAAAAAGAAACAAAACAATTTGGAGTAGATGGAAATTATCAGAAACAATGTTTTACTCACCTGGTGACGATATCCTTTATCGTTCCCGCTAGTATATGTCCGTAATGAGGTAATCCTGTCGCAAAAGGTGGTCCATCATAAAATGAATATCTTGGCTTGCCTTTTGATTGTTGCAGGCATTTTTGAAAAACATCCAACTTATTCCACAAATTTAAAACAACTTCTTCCTCATGAGGAAAATTTATAGTTTCCGGCAACTTTGTCGCCATTCTCAAACTTTACTAATTCACGCGTTCTTTTATAAAAACACAATACACCGGCAGATTTATAACAATCGACACGTGTTTGTCGTTTATTTTTCAATCAAAAGTCATTTTTTAGAGGAAAAAAAAATCTCAACCCCGAAAAAATTGAACCTAGATGTAACAACTGCTCCTGATTTCAAATTTGTCGGCCCTCTATTTTTAGGTTATGAAACCACACTTGACACTTTTGTGATTTTTGTTTTAATTTTTTAAATTCACTACACATGTTCTATTTAATAATTTAATTTACCAAGATTTACAAGTTTTTTGAAATTTATTTACAGTAAATGACGAATTATTTTTACGCTAGAAAATAAGACAAATGATTGTAAACTCTGCCGCCCGGGTAAATAGAACGAATACTGTGAAGTTTGATGCTGAGTATTCCAGTGTTGCCAACCGTACAAAATTCGAAACTGAACAATGGCGCGAAAGTAAAAATACTTTTCTCTCATTAATTCTTATATTTTGACGATTTTGACAAAAACTTTTTAATGATTTTAATTACTTAATATACTCTACTAACTATTTAAGAATGTTACTCAAATAATAATAAGAATTTGTCATAATTTGATTATTTCATTATTTGAAAGCAGAAAAGTACAAAAATTTCCCACCAGATGGCCACGTTTTAACCTATAAAAAATTTTTTGCAAAGTAAACAAATTCAAAAATCCCTTTGAGAAAATTGTTTCTTTTTATCATCGTTTTTTATTATTCTTTGTTTATATTCCGAAATAATAAGAAAGGAATTAAATTGTAAGAAAAATGATTTAAAAAAATAAGAATTTTTACTTGTAAACATGATGAAAGTTCGAGTTTCGCGAATTTCGCGCGATTGCCAAAATCATGGCGGAGGTGCCGAGATTGTGATTCGCGACAATCGCGACGGGTGGGAGACAAGAAAGAAAGATGGCTATGGATGCGCAAATCGCGTGGTAACATAAGTTGTGATCAATTCTTTTTTCTCATTTAACGCTCTTGTTGATTCTCGCGTTGATTCCACGTTTTTCTGTGTCGCGTAACAATTTCCCGGCATGGAGTTTTGCTTTAACGCGAAATATATAACGATATGATTTTTAATATAAAAACAGAAAGTTTTATCAATCGGGAATAATAGAAAAGAAATGTATCAGCGCAGGGGCTGAACTCTCGCGGATGATGTCAAACATGCGGCAACGGCAAGGATTTTCGATATGAGAGAAAGTATTAGAAATCCGCGGCGTGTTTCGGCAAATGTTCGTCAGTGAAAATAGTGCCAAATGATTGCGAATATATGGCGGCGAGAGTACTTTTGCTCAGCATCTTGTTTACGGAAGTGCTAAAGCCCGTTTATTGTACAGGTGAGTCTTTTAATATATATACACTACTCTTTCATCGTTTGTTTATACTTGCATGAAAGTCGCATGGTATATAGCCACACGTTCATCGACCCATAAAATTTTTCACTCAACCATTTCATGCTTCCCTTTAGTTTTCTATACAATTTCTACTTTTCCAGTTTCTTTTTTGATTTATAATATTTAATTTGTTACATTTATTGATAATTTAGAGAAATAGATCTTATAGAGTAATAGGAATGTAGGAGTCCCGCTATTTCAACAATAAAACGTTAGGAGGTAGAATTATTTCTAGTTTCTTGGAATTTTTTTCACTCTGCGAATCATTTCCGGTATAGAGTTAAATTGCGTTGCTGAATTAGATATCTTTTTTTAATACAATTTAATCTTGTTTTGAAAAAATATTTCAGAATGATGTGAACTTAAGAATATTTCAATTTGATAACATAAAATACGCGTTTGCACGTAGTAATGATAATTTTCTTGGAAAAGAGATCACTTTCACAGGTAGTTTGTTTTGAATAAATTTCTTCTGTGTTCAAAATAACTACTAGAAAGTATTATTTGAAAAAAATGGATTATTTAAGTTATAATTCAGGGTTCATTAAAAGTACTGGAAAAAATTAAATTTTAAGAATTGATAAAAAAATTCTGAATTTTTAGTGTCTTTTCTTGTTTGACTCATAAACTATGAAATTACCTCGAATTCTAATACAAAACCTTCAAAATTTTTTTCTGTTTCTGACCAGAATGAATTTTTTAATATTATTGAAATATTTCAAAAGTTTTAAGGCAATTATCTTGATATATAACGAAATTCTTCAGAAAAATTCAATTATTTTTAGAAATTTTAAACAAATTCTTTGCAAAATTCAATTATTTTCATAAATGACAAATTGTCTTTATGAAAATAATTGAATATAATATTGTTACAATATTCATCACAAGAATTCAATTACTTTCAAAAGTAATAAAATTCTTCGAAGAAATTAAATTATTTTTAAAAATTTTAACGAATATCCTGTCAAGAATTCAATTATCTTTATAAATAACAACATTTTTCGACAAAAATTCAATTATTTTGAAAAATTTTAACGAATATCTTGTCAAGAATTCAATTATCTTTATAAATAGCAACATTTTTCGACAAAAATTCAATTATTTTGAAAAATTTTAACGAATATCTTGTCAAGAATTCAATTATCTTTATAAATAGCTACATTTTTCGACAAAAATTCAATTATTTTAAAAAATTTAAATACAACTCTGCAAAATTTCAGTTATTTTCAAAAATTTAAATATAATTCTTAGCAAAATTTCAATTATTTTCAAAATTTTTTTGCAATTCAATGATTTTCAATATTTACTATTTTCATAAAATATAACAAAAAATTTTATTATTGTAATAAATATTTGATACAATTCTACAAAAACATTAAATTATTATCATAAGAAATAAAATTTCATTTAGGAATTCAATTATTTTCATCGCAGAATTTCAAATATTTTTAATACAGTTTTAAATAAATTCCTTGATAAATGCAATTATTCTTAAAAATTGTATTAAGGGTATTTGAACTATTATGACGTCACAATTTTAGAATACATGCTTTGCACAAATTGTGACGTCATAATGGTTCAAATGCCCTTAAGACTCGATGAAAGAATTGAATTTTAAGAAACACTCAATTATTCAATAAAATAATAAAATTCGTTAGAATAATTCAATTATTTTCATAAATAAATTAATTATAAAGTTTCTAAGTGTAAAATTTAAGTTTTTAATTTGTATTGCAAACAATAAATTATAAAAACATTTCTAATAAAAAGTGTTTCGTTCATTTGAACGTTCAAAACTTGTGGATCATCATCACAAAGAATTCAATTCTTTTGAAAAGTACATAATAAAATACTTTGCAGAAATTAAATTATTTTCAAAATTTTTTTTAAAATTCTCGTCAACAATTAAATTATCTTTATAAATAGATAGCGAAATTCTTCTCAAAAATTAAATTTTTGTTAAAAATTTAAATAAAATTGTTGGCGAAATTTCAATTATTTAAATAAAATTGAATAAAACACTTCGCATTAATTCAATTATTTTCACAAATTATTATTTAAATTCTTCTCAAGAATTCAATTATTTTACAAATTATTATTTAAATTCTTCTTAGGAATTCAATTAATTTTAAAAATTTTAATAAAATTCTTTAAAATGTTTTCAATTATTATTTTCAAAAATTGTTATAATAATTCTTTAATATAATAAATTTTAATAAAATTTTAATTAAATTCCTTATAAGAAATTAATTATTTTCAAAAGTTGTTAATAAAATTCTTCGCAAAAATTAAATTTTAACAAACATTCAATTATTTTTATAAATAGCAAAATTCTTCGCAAGAATTTAATTAATTTTATAAATAGTAAAATTCTTTGCGGGAATTCAATGATTTTCAAAACAATTTGAATTAAATTCCTCGGATGAATTCAAATATTTTAAAATATTTTCATAATTTGCAATTATTTCCTAAAATTTTAATAAATTCTTCGAAACAATTCAACTATTTTTATAAATACTAAAATTCTTTGCAGGAATTAAATTATTTTTAATCAAATTTAAATAAAATTACACGAAAGAATTTAATTATTTTCAAAAATTTCCATAAAATTCAATTTCAACAAGAATTTAAAATTCTCTAAAAATAATTCAATTATTCTCAAAATATTTTTAAAAAATTCTATATAAAATTTAAATTAGTTTCAATGCAATTTTATAATTTATTCGTCAAAAAATTGAATGAATTCAATTATTTTGAATATACTTAATTTTAATAAAATTCTTTAAAGAAATTCTATTATTTTCGTCTTTCGAGTTTGATTAATTAATTCATCTTTTATGATTTTATTAAATAATAAACTTTAAAGATTTAATTGACAATTTTTGTTTTTTAGGCATCGAAGAAATTGTCGGTGGGATAAACGAAAGAAATGGAGGAAAACAAGATAATTTAGATCCGAATGATTCGAAAAATTGGAGGCTCTCTTTGGAAATTGAATCAAAGGGACCTGTTATTTTAGGAAAGAAAGGAACCACTCTCAGCTGCAATGTAAAATCTAAACAGGAGATTACCTGGTTGTACAATGGGGATGAAGCGCCTCCGTGTGGAATCGCCCGTTGTTCGGTCCATCGGAATGGAACTCTTCATTTTTATAAGGTTCTAAAAAAGAAATTTAATTAATTAAATTTAGCTAATTAAAAAAAGAAGAAAATTAACCCAGTTCTATTGATAGATGTTGTAAATAACAAGAATTACTATCTAAGTTGTTTGTAATGATTCTAAAGTTATGAATTTATTTCTTCTTTAAATTAAATTTTTATCACGTAATAATTTTGCGTCACCATAAAAAAAAATTAATTAGAAAGTTTCTAAATGTAAAATTTAAAATTTTTAATTTTTATTACAATTTATTTATTTTCAATAAATTTCAAAAATTAATTGAATTTTAAAAGAGTAGCGTTTACAATTTTCATAAATAGATCAACTTCAAAATGTTTCAATTTGAAATTGTATAAAATTTCAATTTTGAATGAATTTAATTAGAAATTTTAAAGAACTTAGATTTTTGAAAAATAATTAATTAATAATTAATAATTTAAATTCTTCGGAAATTAGTTAAATTTTTTAATAATAGTATATATTTAATTAATTATTAAAAATAATGTATTTATAGAAAAAGAATTTTGGAGAAGATACAAATGTTTGCAGAAATACAATTATTTTCAAAAGTAATAAAAATCGCTTCAAAGAAATTCAATTATATTAAAAAAATTGTAAAAATATTCGTCAAAATTTCAATTATCCTTATAAATAATAATTTTTCTCCGAAAATTGGCAAAATTTCTATTATTTGCAAAAATTTGCCCCAATTCAATGATTTTCAATATCTATTTTAATAAAATTTTCCAAAATAATTCAATTATTTAAAGAAAGTTTTATTAAAATTCTACGCTAATAACATTTAATTATTTTCACACTTAATACAAATTTTTACAGGAATTCAATTATTAACAAATTTTTTATGAATTTCTTCGTAATAATTCAATTATTTTCAAAAGTAATAAAATTCTTCGCAGAAATTCAATTATATTAAAAAATTTAAAGAAATTCTCGTCAAAATTTCAATTCTCTTTATAAATAATAAAATTCGTCTTAAAAATTAAATTATTTTAAAAATTTTTAATAAAATTCTTGCCAAATTTCAATTATTTGCAAAAATTTTCCTAAATTCAATGATATTCAATATCTACTGTTTTAATAAAATTTCTCCAAAAGAATTAAATTATTTAAAACAAATTTTATTAAAATTCTTCGCAAACGTTTAATTATTTTCATAAATAATAAAATAGTTTCACAGGAATTCAATTATTTACAAATTTTTTATAAATTTCTTTGCAATAATTCCATTATTTGCATAAATAACAAATTTTTTTAGAGTTTCAATTATTTCCATAAATAATAAAACTGATCGCAAGATTTCAATTATTTTTAATTAGATTTCTGGAAAAATGCAATTATTATTCTTAAAAATTTTATTAAAATTCCTCAAAAGAATTCAATTATTTAAAAATTTGTTGATAAAATTGTTTATGATAATTCAGTTTTGATGAAACATTCAATATTCAATAAATTATTTATTTTTCTATTTAAATAATTGAATTGTAGAATTTTTAAATAAAATTTGATTTAAAAATTAATTTTATTTAAAATTTTACATATAATTGAATATTAAATGTATTATAGTGTGAATTTTTAGAAATAATTGAATTTTGAAAAGGTTTTTCATTGAAATCACTTGAAATTTTAATTCCTGTGGAAAAATAAATAACAAATTTTTAAATATATTTGTTTAACAAAAATTATTCAAGTTATGAAATATTGAAATTTTGAAAAATTTGTTTTTTGAAAAAGTGTAATTTAATGTTTCCTTTTAAGATAATTGAATTCCCGAAAATAAATTTAAAAAATTTGAAACAATTAAAAATCTTGTTAAATTTCATGGAAATTTTATATTTTAAGAATAATTGCAAAAATTCAATTATTTTTAAAAATTTTTAATAAAATCTTTAATCATCATTAATTTTATTATTACAAAACAGGAAGAAATTTCGATCAATTTCTTTGTGTTTTATAATAATATTCCTTTCAATTGTTAAATTTCCGAAAGGTTTGAATTTGAAATTTTTGAAAATCTTAATTCCTATGGAAAATAATATTGATTAGATTTTTATTTTAAATAACAGTTTTGATGATTTCGAATAATTTTACAATTAAAAAAGTTCGTAAATAAATGTAATATATTTTTTGAGTATCTAATCATTTTTAGAGTGAATCGATGAATATTCTTCAGGATCAGAGAAAAAGTTGAAATTTTGGCTGGATTTATTTATTTTCAATAGAAAAATATTGCGTTTATTTGAATATTCATAACTTGTCATTTAAATAATTTTTTTTTTTACAATTTTTCCCATTTTAATTTACAGCAGAAGAAAAGTCTAGATATTTTAAAACCAAAAAATTCAAGTTTCAATAATGGTTCGAAGACTTTGACGAAAGATGAATTTCGTTGTGTTGTTCGAACGAATTGCGGGGGATATTTACGATCATCGCCTGTTATTGTACAAGTTGCAAGTGAGTTTAAATGCAAAATATGATATTTTTGAATATTTTACAAGTTTATTTTGCAAATTTTGCATTGCAATTTATTTGAATCGATTTTAATTGTTAAAAATTAATTTGCAGAACTTGCCCGCTCATTCAAAGAACAGCCTCAAAATGTAAAAGTACAAGAAGGGGAAGTTGCGCGACTTTCGTGTTCAATTGAAAGTTTGCCTTCCCCTCCAAAAATCACATGGGAGCATAATTCAAAACCTTTATTGTTTGATGACAACAGCAAAAAGTAATATTCTCTTTGCAAATAATTTTTGTTTTTATTTATAGAATAAATTCGAAACAAAAATATCTAAAGAAAGAAAAGAAAAATTCGTTTTTAAAATTGAAACGTTTCCTTTTTTTCAGATATACTTTTATACCACCAGGTGTTCTGTACATAAACGCGACACAATTATCCGATGCTGGAGATTATAGGTTGGAATCATTTTTAATTTTTCTCTTAAAGAAAAAGAAAAAATGAAAAGGTTTCCGAAATTTGAAATTTGCATAAATTTTGTTTTAGATGTGTGGCTGTCAACGAATATTTAAACAAAACTACAACAAGTGCGGAAGCGAAATTAACAGTCTCAAATTCGAGGGATTATTCGGCTAGTTCACTCTTGCCACAAACGTCCAATAATTATGTATTAAATGAAAATTCTTCTCTACAATTGGCATGTGCCGTTTCTGGTTATCCATCTTCTATTCCAACATGGTCGTTCCTTCCTCGAAATTCAATTAATAAAACGAAATTGAGATTTTTAGTCAATTCAACAAGCGGCATAAGTCTTCTTAATTTACAAAATGTTGTACATTCAGACTCGGGTGTTTATACTTGTGCTGCCAGAAATTCGCTCAATAAAAGCATGGAATATCAGGTGTGTATTTTTATGAAATGAAAACAAATAAACAATTAAAAATATTTATTAATTAAATTAAAAAATGACTGCTTATATTTATTTTTCGCAGCAAATTAAAGTTGATGTTCTGGTTCCACCAACCTTTTTGAAAAAGCCAACGTATCAGGGAATTCCAAATGGGATGACAGGAAGATTCGAGTGTCAAGCTCAGGGTTATCCAACACCACGTATTTATTGGTTGAAAGATGCGAAAAATATTACAATTAATGGTATGTCTCCTTTTCTTCTTTTATCACCTTTTCCCCCCTTTTTCACCTTTTTCTAATTACAGGCATCATAGTTGGTCCCCTTTTGTCCCCTTATTTCAAATTTAATCACCTTTTTTACCTTTTTGACGATTTGTCACCTTTTTCCCCTTTTTTTTTGTCTGATTTGTCCCCTTTTTCACATTTTTTTAATAAAAAATAAACAAGTTTTTCTTTTTTTGAATTCTTTTTCAAAGTGTAATCATAAAATTTAGACTCAATGTTGTAGAATTCAGTGAGTTTTATTTTTGATTTAGATTATTAACACCACAACATAATATAAATATGTTTTTTTATGTTAATGAATTAAATAATGTAGATATCGTAAAAAGTTTTATAAATTATAAGGTAGATGCATTCATCAGAATGCAGACCTTTAGAAAGATAATTAATTAAAATTTAAATAATTAAAATATTATTATTAATAGTTTTTTCTAGAAAAACAAAAATTCTAATACAAAACCAATTTTCACCATTTCTCACAATAATTTCTTTTTAAATAATTTAATTCTTGAAGAACTATCAAAAAATTATAACTTAGAAATGATTTAATGAATAATTTCACTTGAATATTTCAAAAATTAATTTAATTTTAAAAGAGTTGCATTTACCATTTTCGTAAATAGATAAACTTCAAAAGGTTTCAATTTAATTTTGTAAAATTTCAATTTTGAATTGAACAATTCAAATAATTGATCTAGAATTTTAGTTAAAAATTTTTGAAAATAATAATTGAATTGAAATGATGAAAATAACTTTGAAGAAGACCAATATTCTTATAATATAAAAAAATGATTTTATCACTGGGCCATTTTTAATTATTATAGTTTTATAGTTATGAAAAAATTTAATTTATAGTTTTAAGTAAAATGTTCTCTTATTTGACTCGGACTAGTTATATTTTTGTCAGTAATTGGTCCGTAATTTTTTATTTTTGGTCCGTAAAGTTCGTATTTTTAAATACTTTCACTGGTTCAAACTCTATATTTACGTAAAACAAGTTTTTGCTCTCTAATTAATAACTAAATAATTATTTTTTCAGAACGACGAACAATTTCTGAGAAGGGTTTTAATGAAATGGAATTGATGATTTCGAATACTGTTCAGTCGGATTCTGGAGTTTATCAGTGTGTGGCAGTTAATGATGTTGGAGAAATTTGGGCCGCGGGTCGGTTACAAGTTATTATTTCACGTAATAATCCTGATGCACCAACAAACTTGAAGTGTCGCGCTCTGTCTTCAAAAAAGATTCTTATTTCATGGGAGCCGCCGAAATATTTACCAACCACTAATATTACCGCCTATACCGTCCATTATAGTCCCGTTGGTAAGATATTTCCGATCTTCTCACTTTTCTAGAAACTCTTGTTTGCTTTTTCAAGATATTTTTAATTAAATTAAAATTTTTTTTCAATATTTAGTTATTATTATTATTTATTTAATAATATAAAGTTCTAATAGTTAAAAGCTCTCCAAAAAAAGGAAGGAATTATTAAATTAAGTTAGAGTTGAACTGAAATTAATCAGATTTAATTAAATTTTTAGAAGGAGGAAGGGAAGAAGTTTCATTGCCTGAACTTGGAAATGTAACGTCAGTGGAAATTACGAAGCTCCTTGAGCCGTTCACGAATTACACTTTTTATGTTCGTTTTTACAATAATCATGGAGCCAGTGATCAATCGACGACAATCACTTGTTCCACCTCTCCAAGTGGTAAAAATTTTATGAATTTGTAAATTAATTTAATTTATGAAAATTTTATTCGAACTTGTTTATTACTGTTTTTATTTTTTATCAATTGGAGTTTTGATAGCAAAAACTTTCTTTCAATACAGTTCCAAAATCTGCTCCAAAAATAAGTTTGAGTGTGATCGGCGACACGAAATTGAATGTAACTTGGAAGCCTTTAAGTAAAAAGCAGGCGCAAGGTATCGTTACACAATACAAATTACAATGGAGGCTTCATCAGCATCCTTCTTCACTCGTTCGATATTTCAATTCTAGTGTTGAGCAGCATTTGCTTAATGGTAATTACTCGTTTTTCTTTATTTAACACAGAGAAGCAAAAGAATTAAATATAGAAAAAAAATTGAAAAATAAATATAGAAGTGCAGGAAGAAAAATATAAAGAACAAATAAAAACAATTACTGAAATACAATTAACCCCGTCGAGTAAAAAAAAATTAAAAAAGTAACACGACTTCCGTGAAGAGAATAAATTAGTAATTTTATAATTTTTTTTAGATTTGAATCCCGGAGCTCAATACGATGTTCGAGTGTTGGCGAGAACTGAGGAAGGATGGCCAAGCATTAATGAAGCACAATTTACGTGGACCACTGTAACGATGCCATCTCCAGAGATTGGACAATTTTTCATGAAAAAAATTGTCAACGTCTCTCTTGCGAGTATTAATGCTTCCGCTGTTTCTGTAAGTATTTTTTGTATACATTCTTTTCCCTATTTTTTTACCTAAAGAGAACAAAATTTAATTTTTGTGGCAACCTTGAAAAAGATTTGAAATTAGTTTAAATAATATTCTTTTTTCGAAATTTCAGATGAAGTGGTCATTAAATGAAAAGTTGAATCGAAACTACGGATTGGAATTGAAATTGTGGAAAGTCTATGTTGAAGATGAAAATGGAGAGAAGCTAACATTGGACTTGTTACCGAAAAATACGACAGAGTATTTATTTACTAATCTAGGTTCGTTTGGGATAAAATTACATAAAAATTATAATCGTTTTTACTTACAGTGATTTTTCGATTTATACTGTTTGCTTTTTTCAGAAGCACATACTTATACAATGGGGCTGTGTATGCTAACCGTAAACGAGGCTACAAAATGCATAAATAAACGAATTGAATCTGCAAATACTTCTTTAAGTCAGTAGCAAAAAAACTAAATTTTAAATACAAAAAATTTCAAGTTTTCCATTTGTTTAAAATTTGTAAATTTTATTTTATTTTTAACTATTGTTACAAATGAAATTAAATTACAGGTAACATTCCTACTGCCCTGGAGGCTATTCCAATGTCGGCTAATTCGATCAACTTAACATGGAACATAGCAAATTCTTATCGAAATAATATCTTCGAAGTTTGCTATCATGCCGTACATATTATGAAGGACACGTCGAATTGCCTGTTAATGTGAGAAAAATCTTTTATTTAATACTTTTTATCTTTTTTTATTGATTTTTAATTATAGAATTACCAGGGCTCGAAGTAGGTTCGTAAATCCCGAAAAGGTTCGTAAATTTGCTTGAAGTCCGTAAAGGTCAGAATTTTAGAGAAATTACAAATGATTGCAGAAAAATTCAATTATTTTCAAAAGTAATAAAATTCTTCGCAGAAACTCAATTATGTTCAAAATTTTTTAAAAATTCTCGTCAAAATTTAATTTTGGAGAAGTTACAAATTATTGCAGAAATTCAATTATTTTCAAGAGTAATAAAATTCTTTTTAAGGATTCAATTATTTTTACTAATAATAAAACTCATTGCAAAATTTCAATTATTTTTCATAAAATTTTAATTGAATTCCTTGAAAAAAGTAATTATTTTGATGAAAGTTGTAATTGATTTTTTTTATATTATTTGAAGTTTTTATTTTCTAATATGCATTTAATTAAAGGATTTAGGAATAATTGAAATGTCGTGAAATTGAATATTGTAAATAAATGGATTTGAAAATTACCAAAGAACTTTTTCGAAAATTCTTAAAAATAATTGATCTAAGGTAGAATTTTAGTTAAAAATTTTTGAAAATAATAATTGAATTGATATGATGAAAATAATTTGGAAGAAGTACAATATTCTTATAATATAAAAGTAAGTTTATTATTTTAAAATTAAATTATTTAAGGAATAAAAATTATAGGTAAGTTTATTATTTTAAAATTAAATTATTTAAGAAAATAATGATTTTATCACTGGGTCATCTTTAATTATTATAAAAAAAATTGAATTTATAGTTTTAAGTAAAATGTTCTTTTATTTGACTCGGACTGGTTATATTTTTGTCAGTAATTGGTCCGTAATTTTTCATTTTTTGTCCGTAAAGTCCGTATTTTTAAATACTTTCACTGGTTCGAGCTCTGAATTGCAAAATTTTGTTGTGAATAAATAAAATGTAATTTTCTATATTTTCAGTAATGACACAACTACTCTTATCGAGGATCTTAAGCCGTACACGTTATACCAATTTAAAATCAGAGTTGTGCTAAACGATCCTGAACAGACTAGTGAATTTAGTCAAGCGATCGAGTGCTACACAGGCGAAGATAGTAAGTTTGTTCCTCTTTTTAACCTCATTGAAAAATAAACATTTGGAAAATTTACTGAAAAACAAGCAAATTTCATAAAAACATTTTTTTACAATACTTATAATTACAAATTTAGTTACGAATTCACTCCAATATAAAGTAAATTCAACCAATGGAATGTAGAAAAAAAGAAATTTAGTTATTTGTTATTATTAAAAAGTTATAATTTTAAGTCTATTTTTCAATGCCTAACAGTGAGTTTTATAATTCTGTTTTAGTTCCCGGAAAAGTCGAGGACGTGCATTGGTTCTTGGGGAACAGTACGTTAGTGCGAGTGGCGTGGAAAGAACCAAGAAAAATAAATGGTTTGGTGCGAAATTATTATGTTGTGTACACCATGGATCTATCAAAATCAGATACTTGGGAAAATTTAACAGTACCGGGAAATAAAACGCAAACCAATTTAACTGGTTTACTTTCTGGTCGACGTTATTTTGTAATGGTACAGGCAGCGACAACAGCTGGCAAAGGAAAATTATCGGATCCGATTATTATCGTTGCCGGCAGTAGTTCCTCCAAGATTCCCTCATCGTCCGATGGACGCAGACCGTCGTCAAAAACAAGATCGGATCAGAATCTCGGTGAGAGCAAAATTATTTTTACTGGAAAATATGTTACAACGCAGTATTCAATTTTTTTATTATGTACGATAACTACAAATTTTCTTTCCCGTTGTTACTTTAAAAGATTTGCTTTTTGAAATTTAATATAAAAATTCTTCATTTTTAAAAAAATATAATTTTTCTGACAGTTTTTCTTTAAATTTAATTATTTGAACTACTTGTGTAGAAATCGACAATATTCTGCGCGTGTAACATTTGCTAGTTACTTTAATAATGTTTAAAAGATAATAAATTTAAAAGTGATTATTTTTTTTATGTCTAGGCGTAATCTTGGGACTGAGCATAAGCATAGTTTGCATTGGACTCTGCTTATTCAGTATGTACTGCCGGAAGAAATGGGAAACCTCAAGGTCCTTGAGGGAAACGCCGCAACCACTCAAGAATAGCGGTTTGGTAAGAAATGGGAATGGTTGTTGTTTGGTTGATCGTTCATCGATTCCTGTTAATCAACACGTCTCTCATTTTATGGGGAACGAAATTGAACTCTCTGTACTTTGTCCCCCTACAACAACCCCTCATTTGGACACGAAGGCAAGAAATTTTAAATGCATGAAAATATATTTATCTTTCTCTCTTTTTTTTAGCAAACGGGATTTACATTAATTTTAGTTCATTGACATTTTTTTTCTAAATTTTCTATTATCACAATTAGGGTTCCCATCCTAATGGAGTGATCGAGTTAGGTGCAAAGGAACCTTTACTGCAATCGTGGCATTCAAACGGCGATACTAAGGATCTCCGTATAACAGAAAACCCACAGGTGTTTAAAAATTTTTAGCCCAAATAATTATTTTTTTAACTACAGTTAATTTTTATTAATCTTGGAATTACATAAAATTTAATCATCAAAATAACATTATTTTCAGTACAAAGCGAGGGGTGGCAATGCCTCGAGCAAACAACAGGAACAAGGCTTGAACGATACACAACTAACGATGGTCAATTGTACTTTACGTAGCAGCGCTAACAGTTTAAACAATAACCTCGGAGGTTTTGGAAGTGAAACTTCTTCCGAGAAGATAACGTCGAATAATTCCTTTCCAATTCTCGAGCCAAATGGATGATACAAGGATTTTGGAAACGAAAATTCCCCGAGGTTAGAAAAGATGGCAGTTTCTCATGGTAAGATCAGAAATCTGTGATGCTCTATATAATAACAAAAAGCAAAAACAAAAAAGGAAACTTCTTTGATATAAGTCTACTTCTTTGCTCTCCGAAACTTAATTCTCGCAGAATTAAAAAATAGAAAGAACAACAAATGAAAATATCTTTTTTCAAAGCATTGCTATAAAGAAACATTAAATTCGGTGCCTAACTTTAAAGGGATGGCGATATTGATCGTGTAAATAATATTTGATTTTCATCTCGTGAACTCAAAAGAAATAATCAACCTCAAAACAAATTATTCTATATATACAAAATTAGTTATATTTTTCCCCTCGCCTTTTTTTTATTTAGAAAAAAAAGCCTTTTGGGCGCGATCGTTCGTAAATTGCTCACATTATAAATTCCAACCTCACAAACAGATTTTCAAGCAATGCAGCAAAATCAAAGTTAGAAAGAGGTGTCATGTACATAATTTATTCACGAATAATCCCGTTCCGTATTATATAGCAAGTAAAAATGAAGAAAACAAAAATTGATTAGCTCATTCCTGCTTCAGGAAAATACAAGTAATGTTTGGTAATGTTCTTAGGTGCGTTACTGAATTCGCAGTAGGTTTAATCTTAACGATTTTCATCTGTCAGTTCAGCAGTCATTCCAATTTTTACACAGTAATCGAAATATTACTTTCAATTTCCTCAAGATTCCACAATAGAAAAAACATTTTCATGACCACGGCTTGAAGATAGATTATTTATCGACAAAATTTATCTATATTTATTCAAATAATTTATTAAACATTTCGAAAAGTAAAATTTAATCAAAAGATAATTAATCGAAATTGTACAAAGAAGAAAATAACTCGAGACAAAATATTAAAATCAAAGAGCAAAGAGAAACAAATTTTTTTCTAAGTTTTTAGGAGAATTAAATTCAAGTGAGAAAAGTTAATTATAAATTAAAATTAAACGAGTTAAAGTTAAACTTAATACCGAACGTAAAATTTATTAACTTTCTTTTACGGTAAATTTGAAATTTAAAAAAAAATACTTTTTAATACTTTTTTCTTTTATAATATCGCATAAAGGGTTTTTTTTTTGTATATTTTTATTGTTTATAATCTATACTTTTTACTTCTTTTTTAAATGTCATATTGTATTTTTTGTAACTTTTTACAAAAATTTAATTATTTAATCAATTCCACGTGAACTGATCGAATAAAAGAAATTAGATTTTAAGGGACATTATTACATTCAAATTGGCATAATTTCTAAGAATGAATTTTAATTTCTATACAGTGAATTTCAAAGCATTTTTTGTTTACTTTTTAAATTCCATAACTCTCTTATCAAAAAAAATATATTTAAACCTTTTTTTCATAAATAAACCTTATTTTTCAATTTTTCCAAAAAACTACCCATTTTTTTTATCATTTTGATTGCAAAGCTGAGATTTTTTACAATAATGTAAAATTTAAGGACAACAATGAATTTTCAATAAAATGAAAAAAAGGTTTTTAAAAAGTTATTCTTTTTCCATTTTCAAACTTAAGATAATTTATAGGAAACAATCTCAGCTTTCTAACCATAATGATAGAAAATTGAAAAAAAGGTACAAAGTTTTTGTAAAAATTGAAAAATAAGAATTATTTTCGAAAAAAGAGAGGATACATTTTTTTTATTGTGAAAAAAGAGTTTTGGAATTGAAAAGTACAGCAAAAAAGCCTTAAATTTCACTGTAATAAAAAATCTGTCAAATTTTGTCAAAGCTAAACCAATTTGAATTAACAATTTAACTAAAAATGGACAAATTGCAAAACTGCAATTTCCATAAATTACACAATTAATTTTTTAAAAACTTAATATCTTAGAATTTTATACTTTTATATAAAACAATAATTTATCAGAGTTTTAAGCAATTCTCAGAGAATAATAATTTTTATTTGATCGCTTCAAGTGGATTTGCGCTCATTTATTTAATTTTTATCAACAATTTTAATTCCTTTCAATAATTTATACTTAGTGGTAAAAATTTTTATAGTTATTTAATTAGTAATTTTTTAGTGAATCTTTGTGATGATCTTATTGTCGATTTTTTATTTGAGAAGTTGAAAATAATTTTCCATCAATTTGTTTTAATTTTTTCACAAATAATTGAATTCTTTCCGAGAAATTTTATAATTTAGGAAAAGACTTAAATTTTTTTCTTAGAGAATTTTATTCAAAATTTTTAAAAATAATAAAAATTTTTTTTTACGTTAGAAGAAGAAAAAAAAGTACTGATAAAAAATAATAATCTGTTATAATTATTATTATATCATCTGATTTCAGAAGAAAGTTAATAAATGAAGTTATTACGTTATTAAATTTAATTTTACATAAAGTGTGGAAATTTGTCTAATCTATCGCAAGCCATGGTTTAAAGAAAGCAGTTATTGTTCCCTTAGTTTATTGATAGTACCTAAGAAAAATGAAGTAAATAGAAAAATCTGATAAAATCCAGATAGACATACCAGACTGGTGCATGTTACCATGACAGAGAAAACTCAACTCAGTACCTGATAGACTAAGTTTATATCGTTTAGAGTGAAATGTAGGTATGTCAGTGTTGTTACTGTACCTCCCTTAAAACTGTTATTTATTACTTGAAACATTCAATAACACTACAAATATTATTTATTACACAATTCAATTATATAAGCAATAATTTAATGACTGCAAAGCACACAATGAAGACATTCAATTTTTATAGGTATAGAATTTTTTCCCCTTTTATTATATTAAGAGAATTTTTTTTCTTTTTTATTATTTTAATGATTGAATTTTTTTATGTTTATGAAAATAATTATTATTATTTATAGATTTCATTTTACAATAATTAACTTGACAGTTTTGTTCAGTTTTCACAGATCTTATATTTATCATTTTGTTTAGCAGATGTTTTATTTTTTCTTTGACTTTTTATCATATTTCTATAATATATAATTATTATTAATCGGACAAAAATTCGTTACTCTCGTTTTAGAAGTAACACTTGCCGGAAAATTGGTTTTCATTTCATCTCAAACTATTGTCGAAATGATTATAATTACAATTAATCTAATTAATTAATTATTTAAATATTTAATTAATTATTGAATTGTTTTTATTAATTATTCAGTTATTTAATTAACTATTCAATTATTTAGTTAACTATCCAATTATTTAGTTAACTACTTAATTAATTAATTAGAATGCAATAAAAAAGAATTAATGCAATTTAATCTAAATTTTAATTACTGTAAATACGATCAAAGTTTTTCAATTTTCTATTAATTTTACGTTTCGATTTGAGATGAGATTGAAAATCGTAATTGTTTTTTTTTAACAGGGATCACAGTTAGTCCCCTTTTTTATCTTAAATTATTAAAATCTCCTAAAACACCTAAGATCACAAATTTTCTCCCCTTTTTCCCCTTATTTTTAAGAAAAATCTTCATTTTGGTAAATTAGAAAAATTTCTAATTTTCACAAACTTTGGAAAAATTCTAGTTTTTTGAAACTTAAAAATCTTTTTATATTATTTCTCAGAGTTTTTAAATTTGGAAATTTTTTCATAAAAAGTAACAAATATAAAATAACTTTTACCCTGTAAAAATTATTTTTGAGTAAATTTTAGATACTATTTTTAAACTAAATTCTTCTAATTTTTATAAAAAAAAAATTGTCTTTGAAAATAATAAAAGTAATTTTGGAAATAACAATTTTTAATATTAAAGTAATTAATAAAAAAAAGAATTTGATTTTAAAATGCTGTTGTTAAGAGAAAAAAAAATGAAATTTTAAGCGTTATTCCCCCTTTTTTTTACTTAATATTACATGAAAAAATCACTGTGATTCCTGTTTTAAATTCGCAGACAACAAAAAAGAAAAAAATTTAACGAGAATATTTCTGAATTCGTGAAAAATAATAATTGAATTTTCGAATATTCTCTTTCGTGAATTTATTTTTTTCATTTTTTTTTTACATTTATTCCTCGCGAATAAGTCTCAACTGTGTGTAATTCGTTAATTTGAAAAGAACAAAAAAAAACATCCGGTTTAACTGCCTACTTTTTTACTGAAATTTCTATACGACTTTTGTGATTTTGAGAAATCATATTTTAGTGTTGAATCTTTTTTGGGTAAATAGGAAACGGTTGTTGTTTTAAAAAGCTATGAGCACTGCATTCAATATTTTACACACTTGGTTGCTTTTGGTATAGAGCAGGAGAAAATTGTGCGATTATTTTTATCTCTATTATGAGAGTAAAGCTGTTAGTATCGTTTTATAATTATTATTATTATAATTATTATTATTAGTTATTATTTTTATTTTTATTATAACTATTATTATTATTATCATTATTATTATCATTATTATTATTATTAATATTATTAATATTTTTATTACAATAATTTAGAATTTTCTGAATTTGTATTTTAATAATTGAATCTTTTTTACGTAAAAGAAGAAGAAATATTACGAAGGTTAATTAACGCGTTAATTTTACAGTTTATTGCTTAATGAATTAATTGCAGAGCTATAAGAATAATATAATTAATTATTATTATTATTATCATTATTTTTAATATTTTAAATATTTTTATTATTATTATTATTATTATTATTATTATTATTATTATTATTATTATTATCTTTTATCGTTTTAAGAGAATTTTCTTTCATGTCTTTAAGCTAATAATATATTTATAAGATTCATTCTACCGGTAATCAAATTCCAGTATAAATAATCTCATGAAAACAAGTCTGATTTGAAAAACAATGGGTGATATAAACAACGGTTGACAACAGAAAATATGAAAAACCTTTTTTTTTAAATAATTAATGCATTTCATTAAAGGTATAAACTATAATTATTGATATAATATATTGACAGTTTATTGTGCACTGCCGTTATTACATCTTCTTGTGTGAAAGCCAAACAGAAAAGACTGCATTTTCAGACTTTGTTTTTGTTTTTTTAATTTTTCACTATAATAGTATACACTGAATAATAGACTTCTATAACATAGAAAACAAAATGCCTCGAATTTTTATACATGAAAAAAGAAAGACTTTTTTTGATAAGAAATCTCGAGATTTTGTTTTTTCGCAAACCGTGAAACATAATAATCGTAATAGATTTGTTACAATAGAGAAATAGTTAAGAATTACTCTCGAAGACGTGAAACGCGTGCAAAAAATTTACGCTTAATGAATCTTTTTTTTTTATTCGTAATTGCATAATTCAAATATTATTAGTTCCATTGTTCAAATCACCGAATTTGCATTTTTTCCTATTTTTTTGGAATTTTTTCCTTTTTTAAGAGAAGGAAAATTATAAAAAAAATTTCGATACCACTTCAGATTTATTGAACTTTGCGAATTCTATATTATGAATTTCCAAATGTGATAAGTTTCCTTTTTTTCATTTCCAATGAATTTTGTTTCCGATAAAGACAAAATTCGCAGTGCTTACAATTAGTAGAACTCTTAATTTTAACAAATGAAGATAAACCATGAAAATAAAAATTCCAAGTACAAAAATAATTTTTAATTACGTATAAAAATTGATTGCAAATTTCTATCGATTGTCAAAAAAAATATTTACATACAATAATCAAATTTATAGAATTCTGTATAGCGAATCAAGTGAATTGTATTCTAATTAATAGTTTTAAGAATCAAAAAAATATATTAATTGTAGTTCCTGATTACTTTAGATTTAGAAATAAAAAAATTAAAGTAAATTGAAAACGGTGGAAGTTTAATAGAAAAAAAAATGAGAAAAGACTAATAGAAACAAAGAAAACGAGTGAGATAAGAATAGAATGTGAATTGAAAAACGCGATGAATTGAAAAATGTGTATAGGGAGATAAAGAAGAGGTTTTTTTTCTTTAAGTGCGAACATTTAACATTTTTTTAATTACTATTTTGTCGATTTGAAATCGTTAGATTAAAATAACATATTCTCTGGAATTAAACTCGATCTGATCATTCCAATTTTGAAATTAATATTTTTATAGATAATATATATATTTTTCTATTAGTGTTAAAAAAAATTTTAATTCATCAATTTAGAGATGAAATAATTAATTAAATATTAAGCTTTTGACAAATTTGTGACAACTATATAAAAGCTATGATTTCTAAATTTTATATTACAAAAAAAGCAATAATTTTTTCTTGAAATTTCTTTCGAAAGGAATTAATTTATTTTGTGATTAAATATAAAATATCGTTCCTGTTTTAAAAGACTTACAAAGACAATCGATAGATTTTTAAAATCAATGTGAATTTAAAAAACTGAGAATTTTTATATTCTCGATATTTCGCTGCGAGCGCGAAAAAAAAATTGTACAAAAAATAACATTTCACTGAATTAAGAGGTTTATTTTCATCAAATTACATTCTTTAGTATTAGGATTTTTCCTTCGTTTTCTACTGTTTTAATATTAACACTCTGTAATGGTACAAAATTATTTTTTGTAATTATTACAAAAGTGTTAAATTTTTTTTTTGTCAGAAAAAACAAATTTTCGTTTTTGATTCCATTTTTAATTTATCGATAAGTATATAAGTTATATTCGTACGTATAGAATTGTTATTAATATTATCGCTTATTATATAACTCGATTTAAGTTTTTTTTTAATCAATGTGTATTTATTTTTAATTTCTATTTGTAGTTCGAAATATTTATCAAGGTTTAGCGTCAAAAAAAAGAAGAAAGAAAAAAAGTATTGTAAAAAAAAGAGATTGGAAGTTAAATATTTCAAGTTGAAAATTTTATTTTAATAAAAATAATAACTTTCGAAGAGAAAAATAATTGCTCCTTGATGAATTTGTCGAATTTCAATTTATTTAATAAATAAATATATATATATAGAAATAAATATAATATAAAAAGATAAGGAATTAGAAGCAGAGAAATTACAAATCGAATACTTCAAAAAATGGAACAAAGTAGAAATAGTTAGCAACTTAGTAATTAAGGGTTAATTAAACGCTGAATATGATTACTTTTGTTGACAACAATATATATCAGTCTTTAATTTGGCTGATCAAGATTTTTTTTTCAATTTCCATTTTTTACAAAAATTCCATAGACGCCTGTCACAGAAAAAATAATCCGAAAGTTTGCAATAGTTTTTGAATTAATACGATTCTTTTCTTTCGTGTTTAGAGAAAATGTTCATTTCTCTTATAAAAAATAAAATTAAGTTTTTTTAATGAAAATAAATATGAACATTAAAAAATGTTCTTTTTTCTTTTTCTTAAAAATCAAATATAAATATTAATAAAAATTAAAAATGAACTTTAAAAAAACGTTCATTTATCCTTTTCTTAAAAATTTAAAATGAAAATCAATGCTATTTTAATAACAATAAAAATTGCCATTGAAAAAACTTTAAATTACCTTTTGTTAAGAATCTAAATTAAAAATTAATTGAATTTTAATGAAAATAAAATTGAACGTTAAAAAAACGTTCAATTCATTTTTTGTTAAAAATCTTAATTTGTAAAATAAAAATAACTTTGAATAAAAATAAAAATGAACGTTAAAAAAAAACGTTCATTTCTCCTTTTTTAAAAAATAAAAATTGAAAATTTATACCTATTATTTTAATAAAAATAAAAATTGCCATTGAAAAAACGTTAAATTCTCCTTTTGTTCAAAATCTAAATTAAAGAATTAATTCTATTTTAATAGAAATAAAAATAACATTGATGAAACTTTTATTTTTCTTTTTGTTAAAAATATAAAAATTAACGTTAAAGAATTGTTTATTTCTTAATAAAGAAACATTATTTTGTTAAAAATCTGAATTGAAAAATTAAATTAGTTTTAATTTAAATAAAAATTCTTTGAATAAGATTTAAATTAAATTAATATAATTAAATTCTTTGAATTTAATAAATATTGCATTCATTAAATAAATAATATAAATATAGATTTTTGGAAATTATAAATATTTTTAGCCGAAGAAAATTGAGAAAAAGCTCAGCACTTTATTTGCTTAGGAAAGGAAATTCTTTTCCTCTAATTTTAATATCAAAAAAATTAAAAATCGTAAAATTTCGAAAACTATTTTAAACTTTCTCAAGAAAAAAAAAGAAACAAAAAAAGAAAAAAATCGTGTTTTGACGATAGACCAGTAAAGTATTGGCGACTCTAGTCGAATGCAAATACCTCCATAAGAATCATTTTTGATAGTGATTTTTATTACTTAACTTTAACTTAACCGCAGTACCTATGCTAGACATTATTATTTAGATTTACACCATTTACCTCACCGGATATGTTTTTCACAGCATTATCCACAATTTAGATTATTGATTATTATTATTACTATTTTTATTTTTTATTATCAATCTTATTATTAATATTAATATTACTATTAATAATAATATTATTATTACTATTATTATAATTATTATTAATTACCTATTCTCTTCAATGTACGGTATGGAATTCGATATAAAGAAAATAGAAAAAGTAAAAAAAAAAAAAAAGTATCACGGGGAAATTAGTTTTAAAAATAATTGGTATTAATGTCGTTAACCGTAGAAAATATTATTGACCAACTGAACGTTTATAATTTATTTTTCATAAATCCCTATAGTATACATTTAATATGTATTGTACACATAGTTGATTACTTGTATATGTAATATGATTATAATACCATTTCTAAGGTGCAGTTAATTTGTACATATATTATTCAGAGAGAAGAGAAAAGAAAAAACACTGTAAATATAATAATATATATATGTTTATATAAATATATCCATAAAAAACATGGTAAAATAATTAAGAAAAAAAGGAATATATATATTTATATAATCATATTTATATTAAGTATATAAAAAAATACCTACTGAGAATATTAAAAGTATATATTTTAATATATTACGATATAATTAAATACATGAAATTATAATCTTATTGTTTGAAGTATTAAAATTAAAGCGATACACGAAATGTTTAATGATATTGTTGATCTTTCTGAAACACAGCATCTTGTTGTAGTGAGGATTGAATAAAATTAAGGCTGCATAGTAATTGGGTCTTCTATTTATTTTTAACCTTTTAATCTTTTAATTTTTGGTTCTTTTTTTTCGTCATTATTTATCCACGTTTTTCAAAATAAATAAATTTCTTTTAGAAAAATTTAATTGAAATAATATTAAATTCTTATAAATTCTTATATTTTTATAAATTTTTGAAAATAATTGAAATTTTGTGCTAAGAATTTAAATAAAATTTTAGAAAATAATTTCATTTTTAGAGGAATTTAACTAAAATTGTAAAATTTTTAAAAATACTTAATTTAATTTTCGCGAAGAATTTTAACAAATTTTTAAAAATAATTGAATTCTTTTGTTAAAGTTTATTGAAATTGTATTGAAAACAATTAAATTTCTGCGAAGAATTTTATAAATTATGTAAATAACTGAAATCTTGGAAGGAATTTTATTAAAATTTTCGGAATAATTGGAGTCTTTCGAGAAATTTATTTAAAATATTTAATGGCATTTTTGCGAAGAATTTTATTATTTAGGACAAGAATTAAATTTTTTCAATTCAATTCTAATAAGGAATTGAATAAAAAATTATCAAAATAATTGAATTTTTACAAACAGTTTTATCAAAATTTAAAAAATAATTCAATTCTTGTGAAGATTGTTGTTAAATTTTTTTAAATAATTCAATTCTTTCGAGAAATGTTATTAATTATGAAAAATTTTCAAAGTAATTGAATTTTAGCGGAGAATTTTATGAAAATTCTTTAAAATAATTGAATTATTGTGAAAAATTTTATAAATTGGCAAAATAATTGAAATTTTGAATAGAATTTAAATAAAATTTTCCAAAAGAATTAAATTTTTTCGAGAAATTTTACTAAAATTAATATTTGAAAATAAAAAAGTTTTTTCATTTTTCATATTAATAACAACAAATGAATACTTCATTATTATTGTGTATATTCGACAAATTTAACAAAATTTAACCCAAGAAATGAATTATATTTCTAAAAATAATAAAATTCTCTTCAGAGAAATTCAATTATTTTCAATACAGTTTTAATAAAATTCTTGGAGAAAATTCAATTCTTTTCGAAAACGTTTATAAAGTTCTTTTTTAAGAATTCAATTATTTTTTATACAAATTTTAATTAAATTCCTCGAAGAAAATTTAATTTTTTTACTATTATTCTCTCTAGAAAATGTATAATGTAAAACATATTTATAATATTCGAATAATGACTTTACAATTACTAGGAATTAGTAAATTTTATCAATCTAATGATATTATTTGCTAGATAAATAATTTTTTAATTAAAAATGAGTATAATAAAAGATTGTGAATTTTTAACTTGTGTACTCAGGTAACTTTTATTTAGAAATTAATCGTACAAGCTCTAGAGTAAATTTATTTCGACAATTACTATAAATGTCGAAAAATAACAATGTAAATAGATAAAAGTTATCCTACATAGCCTTTCATTGGTTTTTTCTATTTATATATAAAACATTTGTATAAATGCATTTAATAAATTTGCATATATATCACATACCTAAAGCTATTCGAGCTACTTAAATATTAAACAAAATTGAACTTCAACTGTAGTTCAAATTTTTGATAACATTTTGTTTTTTTGAGAATTTGGTTCTTAAATCTTACTTTTTTTTATCTTTTGTTTTCATTCACTCTGGAATGTATACATAATATCATTTTTAAGAAAGGAAGCTTATTTTATAGCTTGGATAGAAATCTCATTTTTTCATTTTTAAAAGATTTTCCGCACTTTGAAATTGAAAAATATCATATCAAAGAGTATAATTATTAATTATTGCTGAGACTACGTGTATAAATTTTTTTTGTATTTATAATAATTAATAACTAGTCACTGGAAGCATTTTACTTCGTCTTAATAAAGCTTTCGTTATAAAAAAATTCGACAATCTCTTATCACAAAAAATAATTCAAATAAAAGTTTCAAAACGATCATTACTCTACGTTTTTTCTTCTAAAATATTTTTGAAATTTGTTTTTGTTCGAATTATCTCAATATTTCATATATATTCGAAATTAATGAAAGAATTAATAATGAATATTCAAATATATAAATATTCATTATCAATTTTTTTAGAGACTGTCGAAAAACTTAGTGCCTTGTAAAATTCGTATATCCCTAAAACTTTGGGACTGACTAGTGCCTTTTTTTATAACGAGTCAAGGGTTCCTGAGCATATATTATATTACATTTAAATTAAGTACATAATTTACTATTTTATCACAAACGTTTCTAATAGGCCAAACGTTAAATATATTTTCTGACTGTCCACAGAGGGAAACGTCGTACCTTCTCTAAGTTTTTATTCTTTTTTTTTCTTTTTTGTTTTGTTATTATGCAAATTTTCGCAGGCACAACGTGAAAAATGCTTTACTGCATTTCTGGACGCCAAAATTCATGATGACTCGTACTTGTTCCACCATATTATAAGACAATGGAGTGAGGAAAAATATTCATAGCAATAAAATCGTCAAGTACCTGTAAACGAATTTTTTTGTCTAATAAATTTCAATTTCAGTTAGATTTTTTTTTTGATAAGTTATAGACATAATTTAATTTAGTGCTGATTTTAAGAGTAAAGTGATTGCTTTTTGTTTGTTACAATTTGCTATCGATTAACTCACTTCCTTCAGAGTGTCCTTGGTCAGCTTGGGATAAAGATATTTGAATCCAGTGTCTGCTGAAAGTTTTCCAGGACTCAAGTACAAATGCTTATTGTAAAGAAGTTCCTGGTCAATATAAGGTGACAGGGGACTATTTTCAATACCATCTGCTTTACATATTTCAGCCCAAGGTGCCATGTGTTTGTCATTTATTTCCTCTACAACCGAATTCATGTCAGACTGGAAGTTAGAAAAAAAAAATTATTATGCAAATTAAAAAAATTTTTTTTCTTTTAATTCTTCGGAGAATTCCAATTATGTACTTTGAAAAATGTTAAGTAAAGTTTATTCCAAAAATAATAAAAGTTGCAAATGTTCCATTTTAGGTTTCAGTTTGTAAATACTAAAAGTTACTCTAAACTTTTCTCCCTGCAAAGTTTTTTTTTTGTTTGCTTTTATAATAATTAACTAGCAAATGATACGCGTAGAACGCAATACTTATTCCATTTCTTATTATTTTCTAAATTAAAAAATTTTATACTTTCAAGAATGAACATCAATTTTTGAATGTTTACAGATTTAAAATTTAAAGAATTCACGTATTAAGTGCATAATATTAAATATTCTTGTTCATTACTATTCAAAAATTGTAATAAAATTTGTCGCAAGAATTTCGCTATTCTCATGAATAATAAAATTTTTTAGAGCAATTCAATTATTTTCAATACAATTTTAACAAAATTTCTCGAAAGAATTCAATTATTTTCATAAAAAAAATTCTTCGAAAAAATTCAGTTATTTTTATAAATTGTAAAATTTTTGGCAAGAAATCAATTATTTTTGTAAATAATAAAATTCTTCTGAGAAATTCAATTATTTTCAATACAATTTTAATTAAATATATCTAGGAAAAACTTCAATTATATTTAAGATAATTTTAATAACATTTCTTGGAACAAGTTCAATTATTTTTAAAAATTGTAATACAATTTTTCTAAACAATTCAATTGTTCTCAAAAGTTTTAAATAAAATTCTTTGTTAATTTGAATTATTTTCAAAATTTCCAAATAAATTACTTTAAAAAATTACATTATTTTTACGAAATTTAATGAAATTCTTTAAAAAAATGTAATTATTTACAAAAACTCTAAAAAAATTGTTTAAAATAATTTTATTTTCTATGAATAATTTTAATATAATTTAATAGGAAAATCGTTAATTACAATTAATAATAAACACGATTATTTTAAAAACTTAGAAACAAAATTCTTCTGAGAAATTCAATTATTTTCAAAATTTTCAGTAAAAATTATTTTTAAAAAATTCCTTTATTTCCAAGACATTTGAAATAAATTCTCCAAAACAATTCAATTATTTTAAAGAATTTTAATAAAATTCTTTAGACCAAATAAATTATTTTCACTACAATTTTAATAAAATTTCTCGAATGAATACAATTATTTTTAAAAATATTAATTAAATTTCATTATTTTCAAGATTTTTAATAAAAATTCAATTATTTACAACAATTTTGATATAATTCTTTTCAAAAAATCATTATTTTCAAAATTTTTAATAAAATTCCTTAAAAAAATTCAATTATTTTCAAAAATTCAGATAAAATTCTTCGAAACAATTCAATTATTTTTATGAATTGTAAAATCCTCCTCAAGAATTCAATTATTTTCATAAATAATAAAATTCAATTATTTTTATAAATTGTAAAATTCTTGGCAAGAATTCAATTATTTTTGTAAATAATAAAATTCTTCTAAAAAATTCAATTATTTTCAAAATTTTCAGTAAAATTTATTTTTAAAAAATTCCTTTATTTCCAAGAAAACTGAAATAAATTCTTCAAATCAATTCAATTATTTTAAAGAATTTTAATAAAAATCTTGTCAAGAATTAAATTATTTTCAATACAATTTTAATTATATTTTCTCGAAAGAATTCAATTGTTGAAAAAAATGTTGATAAAATTCTTAAAATGAATTCAATAATTTAAAAATTTTTTTTATAATTACAAAGAATTCATTGAATTTGAGTAAAACGACAATTTAATTATTTCTGAAAATAATTGAATTCTTGAAAAGAATTTTATTAAAAACTTTTTTAAATAATTGAATCCCTGCGAAAAATTTATTATTTCTACAAGTAATTGAATTTTTGCAAAATTTTTAAAAATAAGTCAATTTTTGAGAAGAATTTTATGAAAATTGTATTTAAAAATAATTTAATTTTCGCTGGAATTCAATTAAAATTGTATTTGAAATAATTGAATTCATGAATTGGATTTTATTAAAAGTTTTTTAATTGAACTCCTGGGAAAAATTCAATTATTTTTTAAAATAATTGAATTTTCTCGGAGAATTTTTACAAGATTTTTAAAAATAATTGAAATTTTCGAAGAGATCAATTAAAATTATAATGAAAATAAGTGAAATGGTGATAAGAATTTTAATATTTATATAAAAATAATTGAATTTTTTACAAAGATTTTTATTATTTTTTTAATTTATTAAAGAATTTTATTACATTATTGAAAATAATTGAATTCTTCTTAAAATTCAATTATTTTCAAAATTTTCAGTAAAAGTTATTTTTAAAAAATCCCTTTATTTCCAAGAAAATTTAAATAAATTCTTCAAAACAATTCAATTATTTTAAAGAATTTTAATAAATATCTTGTCAAGAATTAAATTATTTTCAATACCTACACACTGAAAAAAAAATTCGGCAGAATGTGCTTTTTACTCAGGCAATTTTTGCCTAAGAACAAAAGCAATACACGTAAAGCAATTGTTTCTTTTAAAAAAAGGCAATTTTTGCTTTTAAAAAAGGCAAAAATTTTAACTAAGGCAATTTTTACATTTTTAAAAGGCAAAAATTGCCTTTTTTTAAAAGAAACAATTGCTTTACGTGTATTGCTTTTGTTCTTAGGCAAAAATTGCCTGAGTAAAAAGCACATTCTGCCGAATTTTTTTTTCAGTGCAATTTTAATTACATTTTCTCGAAAGAATTCAATTATTGAAAAAAATGTTGATAAAATTCTTGAAATGAATTCAATTAATTTCAAATTTTTTCATAAATACTTTAGAAAAATTCAATGATTTTCAGTACATTCATTTTAAAATATTTTAAACATTTAAATTTTAAAAAGAAAAAAGATTTAAAAAGTTGTGAAACAAAAAAGCAAACAGCAGCTAACTGCAAACTGTGAACAGATTACCGGAATACAAAGATTATTAATATAGAAGAAGAAGAAGAAGAAGAAGAAGAAGAAGAAGAAGAAGATTGCAATTACAACTTACTTTCGCCAAGGTGGACAAAGCAACTCCCCAGTAATCATGATTTATATTAAAAATTTCCGAAATAATGGCACTAATTGTTCCTTGTGTGGAATTCCCTTCATCGACAAGATTGTAAACTTGACCAATAGCCTCAGTCTTATCAGCAACATGCCAAATGGCACGAGCCACATCTTTTACATGAACCGTGTTCATATGAAGGTCTGCTCCCCAGAGCAATTTCATCATTTCTCCCAAATGCTTGTAAACTGCTCCGATAATTAGCCGAGGAGCTGAAAAAAATTTCTACTGTTATTATTAAATTTCCAGTATTTTTGTATTATTATTATTTAATATCAGTATTATTTTTTTTAAATTAATATTTTATTTTTTATTCAGAAAAATTTTAATTCCTATTATACCTAAACTGTTTCTATCCCCAGGTCCGTAGACAATAGGAGGCCTAAGAACAACGTATTTCAAGTTTGGAATATTTTTAATTTCTGTTTCAACTTGCAATTTATATTTTGCAGTAAAAGTCCATGGATCTGTGGCATCATCTTCCTTGTGTGAGATCTATAAACGGAAAATTGTTAATCCTACATTAAATGAAAAAGAAAATGAACGGCAAGCAAAAAATAAATGAATTAACACTGCACTTTTTCGGAAGAATTTAAATTCCCAGACGAAATTTCAATAAAACGATCAACACCGATATTTGCAGCTTGTTGAGCACAATTCATACTCAATTTGTAAATTCCTTCTCTATAAATAGGATCAGTTTGTCCACTTTTCGTCTCTCCGGCACAATTGAACACATAATCAATGTGAATATCCGCAGCGAGAGCATTTTGACAGGACACTGAAATAATTATAAAAATAGTTCAATTTTTATGCTTTTTTCAATATTTTTACAGGGTTATTGCAACAAGTTGGGGAAATCAGGAAATTCAGGGAAAAAGTCATGAATTTTTATTAAAAGTAATGGAAAAAATTTAATTTAGAGAATTCATAAGAAAATTCTGAATTTTGGTGTCTTTTTTGTTTGTCTAGCGTAAACTATGAAATTACCACGAATTCTAATACAAAATCTTCAAGTTTTCTATTTCTACCAATAATTTCTTTTTAAATAACTTAATTCTTGAAAAACTATCATAAAATTATTCCTTATAAATTATTTAATGAATAATTTTACTTAAATACTTCAAAATTAATTGAATTCTCAAAGAGTTGCGTTTACAATTTTCATAAATAGATCAACTTCAAAAGGTTTTAATTTGAAATATTAGAAAATTTTAATTTTGAATGAATTTAATTAGAAATTTTAAAAAAATTTAGATTTTTGCAAAATGTTAATAATTCAAATTCTTCTTGATATTAGTTATATTTTTCAATACATATTTAATTAATTATTAGAAATAATGAAAATTAAGAATTTTAGTTGAAATTACTAAAAAAAAATTTGAATTTTGAAGAAGTTACAAATGATTGCGGAAATTCAATTATTTTCAAAAGTAATAAAATTCTACACAAAAATTCAATTATGTTAAAAAATTTTTTTTAAATTCTCGTCAAAATTTCAATTATTTTTATAAATAATAAAATTCTTAGCAAAATTTCATTTATTTTAAACAATTTTCCTCAGTTAAATGATTTTCAATATTTACTATTTTAATAAAATTTTAACAGAAATTCAATTATTTACAAATTTTTTAAAAATTTCGACGTAATAATTCCATTATATGTTCAAAATTTATTTAAAATTCTCGTCAAAATTTCAATTATCTTTATAAATAATAAGATTCGTATCCAAAATTGAATTATTTTCCAAAATTTTAATAACTTTTTTGGCAAAATTTCAATTATTTAAAAAATGTTTCTCAATTCAATGATTTTCAATATCTTCATTTTTTAATAAAGTTTTCCAAAAGATTTCAATTATTTAAAAAAAATTAATACAATTTTTTAAGAAAAAATTTAATTATTTCCATATATAATAAAATTCTTTTTAAGAATTCGATTATTTTTATAAATTTAGTAAAATTTTTTGCAAAATATCAATTATTTTCTAGAAAATTGTAATAAAATTTCACGAAATAATTCAATTATTTTCTAAAATTCAATAATTTACAATTTTCTATAAATTTCTTCGCAATGATTCCATTATTTTCATATAAAATAAAATTTTTTACCGGAATTCAATTCTTTTCATAAATAATAAAATTATTTTTATAAGAATTCCATTATTTTCCTTAATAATAAAACTCATTGCAGAATTTCAATTATTTTTAATACCATTTTAATCAAATTCCTCGAAAAATGTAATTCTTAAAAATTTATTGATAAAATTCTTTATGAGAAGTTAATTTTAAGTAACATTTAATTCTTTAATTTTGTATTTAAATAATTGAATTCTATTAGAATTTTCAATTAAAATTTAATTAAAAAATGAATTTCTGTTAAAATTTTAGAAATAATTGAATTTTGAAATGCGGTTTCAAATTAAAATCTTTAATAATTCGAATTTTTCAAATTTGTAACTAACAATTCTGTGGAATTAATGTTTTTGAATAAGTTTAATTACGGATTACTTTTTAAATTATTTGAATTTTTTATTTTCTAATATATATTTAATTGAAGAACAAATTTCCGAATAATTGAAATTTTGTAATATTGAATTGTGAACAAATGAATTTGAAAACTCGCAAAGAACTTTTTCAAAAATTATTAATAATAATGGATTTATAGAAGAATTTTAGTTAAAAACCCTAGAAAAAAATTTTATTTTGAAGAAATTACAAATTATTGCAGAAATCAAATTATTTTTAAGAGTAATAAAATTCTTCTTAAGGATTCAATTATTTTTACTAATAATAAAACTCATCGCAGAATTTAAATTATTTTTCATAAAAGTTTAGTTGAATTCCTTGAAAAAAGTAATTATTTTCATGCAAGTTTTAATAAAATTCGACAAAAGAATTCAATTATTTAGAAATTTGTTAATAAAGTTTTTTTATGAGAATTCAATTTTGAGAAACATTCATTTATTCAATAAATTATTTACTTTTGTATTTAAATAAAGGAATTCTCGTAGAATTTTCTAATAAAAATTGATTTAAAAATGAATTTTAGTTAAAATTTTAGATTATAATTAAATATTAAAAGCAATATAAAATTCTCAAAGAACTTATTTAAAAATTATTAAAAATAATAATTGATTTAAAGATGAATTTTAGTTAAAAATTGTAGAAAATAATAATTGAATTTGAAATGATGAAAATAATTTCTGAAGAATAGTTACAGTAACAACATTCTTTTAATATAAAAAAATAATGATTTTATTACTCGGTAATGTTTAATTATTGTAAAACATAAATTATTATAAAAATCGGAGTCAAAGATTCAGAGTGATCGATATCTTCATGTTTTATAATAAATTTGTTGTTGAATTTCCGAAGGTGTGAATTTGAAATTTTTGAAAATGTTAATTCCTATGGAAAAATAATATTGATTAAATATTTATTTTAAATAAAAATTATTAATGTTTTTGAATAATTTTACAACTAAAGAAATTCGTAAATAAAGGCAATAGAACATTTTTTTTTTGAGTATCTAATCACTTTTAGAATCAGAATAATCTTTAGGGTCAGGGAAAAAGTTAAAATTTTGTCTGGAAATCAGTGGAAAAGTCAGGAAAAAATAAAATAAAATTTTTGTGTCAACCCTGTTGTAATAAATTACTTTTATCATCACAAATAAAATTAATAATAAATTAAAAATAAATGCCAATTTACCTGGATTAATGAGATTTGCGCTTCTAAATTCGAGTAAAGGATGTTCAAATAATTTTTTATGTTTTCCATTGAGCCATGCAGTTTGAGGCGGTACTTTATCGACAACCCTCAAAAACGAGACCAATTCATTATCAAGCAAATATTCAACAAGATTTCGTCCAATAAATCCGCAACCTAATTATTAACAGATTAACATTAACACAATAATAATATTTCTCCGTTTTTCTTAATAATTCATTTTTGACATTTTGAACATTTTTTTTTTTTGAGGTTACCTCCTAAAATAATTGCTGCCGGTTTTCCTGCACCTTGTCGATTTGCCATTATTAATTATTTACATTTAGTGTTTTATTTTTCTTGATGAACTGTGTGTAAACTACGCAAAATAATAATCGTGCTATACTGACAATATATTTTATGACACAACAAATATAAAGTCTGAGTAGTATACACCGACACAAGAAGCTTTATCTACAGTGATAACTGCGATAAATTTTTAACTGCAACTGTTGTGGAGAAAGTCGTTGTTTCACTTTTAATTTATTACAAAACTGTTCTCATTTGAACTCGATTCGTGCAGGGAATTAATCATGTCAGTGATGATTCTAAATTTATTCGATAAATCGTAAATTAAATTTATACACCTCTAATCAAATCATTATTTTATTTACTTTTATTCAATGAATATATGAAAAATATGCAAACTAAGATTTTCTAATTCGATTATAGAAATATTGAATTATTCCTAAAAAAAGAAATTGGTTTTCTTTGTTTTATTTATAGACGCATCGTATTATTATTTTATTGATTATTTTTGCGAGATGACCGAGAAATGAATTATATACGTAAAAAAATAACATTGTGCCCACAATTGTTTATTGAATTTACATAATTACGTAAATTTTTAAAATCCGTAAATTAAATAAATGATAATTAAATCAAATTTACTAGTTTTCTTATAAAAGTAGATTGAAAAAAAGAAAAAATTGATTTTGCAAAATAATTGAATTCTCCCGCCGAAATTGTTTCGGATTCTCACCGCTAGATTAATTTTTCTTTTGATTAAAGAAATGTCCCATTTATATTTCTGTAAATACAATTATGATTTTCTGAATTTCATTTAAGTACTGTTTTTACATTTATTTATATATAATTTAATATTGAAGACATAAAAATAAATATGAAAATTGATTTTCGCGCTACAATGGGAAAACAAAGTTCGTCCAATTAGACGAATGCTTCAGCCAATAGAAATGCTCTCTACAAAAATCAAGCTAATCGCGTCCAACTATTCCATTAGAACGAACCAATCACAAAGCTGACAACTTCATTGTCGTAGAACTTTGTTGCAAAAATATTTTCATGGTGAAAATTATTGTGTGCGAAAGGTTTATCTATATTATTGTTGTGATTCGTGCGTGTCTGGCGTGTATTTTTATAATGATCACACAAGAATGTTCAATTTCTTCTAATTTCGCTGAAAATACAACGGGAAAATGTGGAGATTGTGATTAAGAGTTGAAAAATTATTCTCATTGAATGATTTTTTCATCGATGTGTTTATTTTAGTTATGTGAAAAAAAAAATGATGAAGATGATGTGAATAAAATTTTTTTTCGGAGTTCAACGGGCATTAGTGTGTTATAAACGTACAGAGAGAGGAAAAGGAGGGAGGAGATGTGTCGGTGGATGAAACTACAATTTGCTTAATAGCTAATAGACTCAAAATTACTGGTATGATTCTATGATCCGTTCACGATGTCCGCGTATGTGACGATACTGCCATATCTCTTCCTAGGATTATTAGGTAATTGGATCCAGTGTCTGCTTCTTATCCGTTTTTCTGCACAACACTTTATTTATTCGCCACTATGTGACTTTGTTTCTAAATTTAAGCTTTTCTCATCTCCCTATATACTTTCAAAATACCTCTTTTTTCCCCCATCATACTTAGATATATTTTTACATTATTAATTTTTCGATAAAGAAACAATTAGCATTTTCAGCGTTTGCTATTAATAACGAATCTGTATTTTTTTTTTAAATTCCTCTCTCCTTGGGTGAAATTTATTCGAAAATAAAAAAACGGAGTTGTTGGTTTTTTTTCGGTAGACCTTCCAAAAAGAAGACTTCATTCTGATTTAGACGACAAATCTATTTATACCACTGTTAATTGATATAGATTTTTAAAATACGATTCTCGATATGTTTATTTATAGATTTGTAACTTGCACCACTCTTACTACTTTTTGTTTTACAAATTTCGAAGTTATGAAAATTTTAATAATTAAATTTATTTCATTTAATAAAATTCTTTAAAAAAAACCTTATATTTTGAACTTTATGGCATTTATGATGAAAAGAGAGAAAAAAAGATGTCGAAAATTTTCAAATAACAATTGTATTTTGTAATATGCTTAATATTAGAGATAAAGTGTCTATCTTTGGCATTATCTGTTTTTTTAAATACATTCAAGTGCATTATTCTGATTGGGAAATCAAATTGTTATTTAGAAATAACAATCGTTCTTATATATTCTCATGATTTTATTTTCACTGATTTCTGATTTAGATACTTATCGCATTTCTCTCGCATTGTTGACGCGAATTAAGGCCAATTTTATATTCCTCCTTTTTTGGAAATAGGGACCAAAATATTTATTTTAGATTCCAATACTTCATAACCTGTCAAAGTTAACAGTTATCTTCTTGTTAATCATATGAATACATTAACTTTTTCATCGAATTCTTTTACATCACTAAAAACATTTAAAGTATAAATAAATTTCTTAAAATGCGCAATTATTAAAATATATTAAAATACTTTTTTATTTCTTAATTTTTTTATAAATATAAAATCGTGTAATTTTCGTGTAATTTTATTTAAATTAGGTTAAAAATAATTTAATTCCTGCAAAGAATTTTAGTATTTATAAAAATAGTTGAATTGTTTCGAAGAAATTATTAAAATTTTAGAAAATAATTGAAATTTATGGAAATATTTTTAAATATTTGAATTCATCCGAGGAATTCAATTAAAATTGTTTTGAAAATAATTGAATTTCCTGCAAAGAATTTTACTATTTATAAAATTAATTGAATTCTTGCGAAGAGTTTTACTATTTATAAAAATAATTGAACTTTTTCGAATTTTGAATTTTTTCCCTAAAAAATCGGAATTTAAAATCAAACATAAATTTAAAATGAAAATCGGAAATTTGACAGTTAATTTGTAAATAAAAAAATAAGTGGAGTAAGAAAATTTATCCCGAATTTCAAAAACTCAATAAAGAGGTACAGTTGCAATTTTTAAAAATAATATTAATTATTCTATGGATTATTTATTTTTGTATTTAAATAATTAAATTCTGAAAATAATAGATTTAAACAAAAATTTTACTTAAAACTTTAGAAAATAATTAGAAACGTTAATTCTTTAGAAATAATTAAATTTCAATCTTTGAAATTATAATTGCTGTAAAAGTATCATAATATTAAAATTTAAAAAATTATTAATTTGTTAGCTTCCTTAAACATAAAAAGTTTTCTGTAATACATATTATTCAAAAATCCAAAAAAAAATAATTGAATTTTGGAAGACTTGTAGTTCAAATTTTCATAAAAAACTTTTCCAATAGTTTTACATTGAAAGTATTTGGAAATTTTAAGCAAATAAAGAATAATAAGTAATTGAATATTTATTTCACAAAAATGATAAAATTTGAAAGATTTAATTTGGAAAAATTCTGAAAAAATTAATTTTTTTAAAATAGTAATTAAAATTTTTCAAAGATATACTTGAATTTTAGAAAATAATTGAATATTTAAAGCGTTATAACAGAAATTTTAGGAATTAATTAAATTTAAAAAACTTTTTGAAATAAATTCTTTGAAAATTTTCTTTAAAAATTCTTAAAGTTTTACATGTTTTTTGCTTCTAAAAGTTATATTATTATTTATTATTCTATAATTATAATTATTGAACTCCTTAAACTTTTATAATTTAAAATTTCTGAATGTTTAAATACAGGCAAACCTCGCTACGGAGGAAAGCAATTAGACGATTCCGCCGTAGAGAGGTTCGTTAAAATGCTATTAGTGAGTGAACGTTCAGGGATGTATCAACCATTTTAAATCATAATATGATCTTTAATTATGAAATAGAAGTTATGATAATTTATTAATAACCTTATTTAAAAATATGTATTAAAAATCTCATTGAATTCTTGCAAAGAATTTTGTCAAAAAATTTGAGAATAATTGAATTCCTTCGCAGAATTTTATTATTTATGAAAATAATCGAATTCTCGCGAAAAATTTAATTAAAATTTATAAAAATCCTAATTAAATTCTTTCGAAGAATATCTTTAAACTTTAAAATAATGGAGTTTCTTTAATAGTTATAATTGAAAATTTTGAAAGTAATTGAATTATACAAAGAATTTTTTCAACTTTTTAAAATAATCGTGTCTGTTAATAAGTAGTTTTCATGTAAATAATAACATTCTTTGGAAGGATTCAATTACTTTTATAAATAGTAAAATTCTTTGCAGAAATTCAATTAGTATTAATGCATTTTAATAAAATTGAATTAATCGAATTTTCAATTATAATTATGAACAGACAAGATTATTTTAAAAAATTGAAAAAATTCTTTGTTTAATTTAATTAATTTTCAAATTTTTAATTAAAATTATTAAAAAAAACTTTATTTTCAAAAAAATTAAAGAAACTCGTCAAAAGAATTTAATTATTCATAAAAACTTTAATAACAAATTTTTGAAGCCATTTGTAGATTTATTTATGTTCGAAATCAAATAAATTTAAATTTGATGAAAAGAAAAAGCCGGGAAAAGTTAGGATAAAGCCGGGAATTTTGTTGAACGAAAATAGTAGACCCAAGTTTGATAAATTAAAAAAATTAATCCTAAAGTGCTTTTAATTGATAAATTTACTAAAAGCAATAAGAAAGGTTTTTTTTCGCCTTTTTTAAAAAAGTGTTTGTTATAAACTATTATTTTTCTGTTCACCACTGTAGGTATGACTATAGGACATGACATCAAGGGTACTTCATATTGTGAATTTTATAATGGCACAGCTTGCCCTGAATCACAGCCAGGATGCATCGAGAGAGAAGAGTGCAGCCCAAGCGAACCAGATAAACGAAATCATTGTTACGTTGTCTGGAAATATGATAGAGAGACAAAAAAGTCGACTGCTGTTCTAAAGGTTTGCTCGCTATTAATTTCACACATTATACACATGATTTGTTTCAATTAAAATCATTAAACGACAATTCTATAAATAAATACATACCACAAATATTATTATGAAAATAATTGACAAAATTAGGTAAATTTACTTTTTATCGGTCAATTAATTTTATTATTGAATATTTTTACCGTTCACCAATATTTATTCAATTACCTCTCTTTTCAGTTGAATTTATTTCATTTATCTCTATAAATTAATCAAATTTATTACCTTCTATGTCGATTAAAATTTTTGTCACCTACATATTTTACCAGAACTTTTTAAAATATTAGTCAATATTACATTTTTTTTATTAAGTTGATTCATAAAATTGATTATGAATTTAAGAAGAAAATATTTATTTAACATTGAAAATAGAATTTTGAATTCTGAGTAGAAATAATGAGAAAGAAGTGATTAAAAATTTGTGTCTTTTTTTAGGGATGTTTTTTAGATAATAAGGACTGTTATGACAAACCACAATGCGTGGAGAAAAGTTCAGACGTAAAGAAGAAAATGCTTTTCTGTTGCTGCGATGGTAACATGTGCAACCAAAATTTCACTTGGGATCCACAGCCTACAGAGCCTCCTCCCCCAGTTCAAGGTAGTGAAAATTCATTTTCTTTTATCATTATTTTAAAAATATATTTGTTATGACTAATAATATTTATTATTGAATTAGTTAATTGTTGAGAAAAATTTATATATTACTTTTTCCTTGTGTTTAGAATATGAACCAGTGTCGACGTTCGATGAGCAAGTAATAATATTAATGATAGCTGTGTCAATTCCTTCGCTCTTCGTGGTAGCTGGACTGCCCATAATGTACTGGTACTATCGACGAAGAAAACTCGGATATTTCAATGAAGTAAATATGTTTTAAAAATTACTCAATAGAGAATATAAATTTAATATATTATTTATTTAATGTAATCAGGGTTGCCACAGGTCAGGGAAATCAGGGAATTCAGGGATTTTTATTAAAGTACTGAAAAAAATTAATTTTGCAGGATTCATAATTAGTTTTATTTTATTTTTCAATATTATATTTAATTAATTATTAAAAATCATGGATTTATAGAAGAATTTTAGTTAAAAACACTAAAAAAATTGTATTTTAGAGAAGTTACAAATGTTTGCAAAAATTCAGTTTTGTTCAAAAATTTAAAAAAATTCTAGTCAAAATTTCAATTTCTCCAATAAAATTTTATAAATAATAAACATTTCACGAAAATTCAACTATTTACAAATTTTTTATAAATTTTTTTGCAATAATTACATTATTTCCATAAATAATAAAATTTTTTACGAAGATTCAATTATTTTCATGAATAATAAAACTCATAGAATTATAATTATTTTTAATACAATTTTAACCGAATTCCTCGAAAAATGTAATTCTTCTTGAAAATTTTATTAAAATTCGATAATTTAAAAATTTGTTGATAAAATTCTTTATGAGAATTCAATTTTGAAAAAAAATTCATTTATTCAATAATTTTTTCATTTTTGCATTTTAATAATTGAAATCTCATAGAATTTTCTAATAAAAACTGTTTTAAAAATAAATTTCAGATAAAATTTTAGATAAAAAATTTTAAATAATTGATAATTGTTTATTTATTTTTTTCAAAGAATTTTAATAAAATTTTTTTAATTAATTACATTTTTCGAAGAATTTACTTAAAATTTTATTGAAAATAATTGAAATCCTGTGAAGAAATATAGTATTTAGGAAAACAATTGAATTCTTGCAAAGAATTTCATAACATTTCTTTTAAATAATTGAAATCCTGTGAAGAATTTAATTATTTATGAAAATAATTAAATTTTTGTTACGAATTTTATTATTTAGGAAAACAATTGAATTCTCTTGAGAAATTTTATTAAAATAGTAGATTTTAAAAATATTTGAATTTCAGCGAAGAATTTCATTATTTGTGAAATGTAATTGAATTCTTGCAAAAAAAGGTTTGAAAATAATTACATTTTTCGAGGAATTAATTTAAAATTGTATTAAAAATAATTTAAATCCTAGGAAAAATTGTATTATTTATGATAATAATTGAATTCTTACAACGAATTTTATTTCATTTTTCTAAATAATTGAATTGATGTGATAAATTGTATTATTTTTAAAAAATAATTGAATTCTTGCGAAGGATTTTATTAAAATTTTTGTAAATAATTTAATTTTTTTTTTGAAAAATTTAAATTATTATAAAAGTTATTGAATTTCAAAAGGTTTAAATTTGAGAATCAAAATATTCTTTCAGGTCAGGGAGAAAGTCAAAATTTTGTCTGGAAATCAGGGAAAAGTCAGGGAAAGTAGAATTGGTTAGAAAAAATGAGGGAAAAATTAGGAATTTTTATTAAAAGTAATGGAAAAAAATTACATTTTTAGAATTCATGAGAAAATTCTGAATTTTCGTGTTTTTTTGTTTGCCTCATAAACTATGAAATTACCACGAATTCTAATATAAAACCTTCAAGTTTTCTATATCTACCAACAATTTATTTTTAAATAACTTAATTTTTGAAGAACTATCATAAAATTATTCCTTATAAATTATTTAATGAATAATTTTACTTAAATACTTCAAAATTAATTGAATTCTCAAAGAGTTGCGTTTACATTTTTCATAAATAGATCAACTTCAAAAGGTTCTAATTTGAAATTTTAGAAAATTTCAATTTTAAATTAATTTAATTGCAAATTTTAAAAAACTTAGATTTTTGAAAAATTTTAATAATTCAAATTCTTCTAAAATTAGTTACATTTTTTATATTATATTTCATTAATTATTAAAAATAATGGATTTATACAACAATTTTAGTTTAAATCACTAAAAAAAATTTTTTTTAAATATAAATGATTGCAGAAATTCAATTATTTTCAAAAGTAATAAAATTCTTTGCAGATATTCAATTAACGGACTTAGAAGACAGAAAACCTCCTTACATTATTATTTATTGTATTAAAAATCCTTTGAGATCACGTATAACAAATCGAATTGTTCAATTTTCAGGTCCCAACACTAGAGCCATTGCCTTTGCCACAGCAATCGCCAAGTATGGGTTTGCGACCGATTCAACTTCTTGAAATTAAGGCGCGAGGTCGATTCGGAGCCGTTTGGAAGGCTCAGCTCAAAACTGACGTTGTTGCTGTGAAAGTATTTCCAGTGCAAGACAAACAGTCCTGGCAAACTGAACAAGAAATTTTCAAACTCGCTCACATGGATCACGAGGATATTCTTCATTTTATTGGTGTTGAAAAACGAGGCGATAATTTGCAAACAGAGTTCTGGCTCATCACTTCTTATCACGATAAGGGCTCTCTCTGCGATTATCTAAAGGCGAATGTCGTCACATGGCATGAAATGTGTAGAATCGCTGAATCTATGGCTCGGTAAATTATTATCTTTATTTATTATCAAAACGGGCATAACTACATTTTCTTTTTCAAATTTAATAAAAATTGTTTATTTTAAAAAAAAAAATACAGTGGCTTGATGCATCTTCACGAGGAGATTCCGGCTAATAAAGCGGACGGATATAAGCCCGCAGTTGCTCACAGAGATTTTAAATCTAAAAACGTTCTTCTCAAGGCTGATATGAGCGCATGCATAGCGGATTTCGGATTAGCGTTAATATTTCATCCTGGTAAACCGTGTGGAGATACACATGGACAGGTAAAAAATTATTATTATTAGTATTATTATTACAGGGCTCGAACTAGGTCCGTAAAAGTCACTTTTTTTAAAAAATGGTCCTTAAAGTCCGTAATTTGATTGAAAAAGGACTAAAAGTTCGTACGTAAATTGTTCGATATAATTTGAAAAATTTTAGAGAAATTACAAATGATTGCATAAATTCAATTATTTTCAAAAGTAATAAAATTCTCAAAAATTCAATCGAGTTCAAAAATTTTAAAAAATTCTATTCAAAATTTCAATTATCTTTAGAAATAATAAAATTCTTCTCTGAAATTTAAATTTTCCAAAATTTTAATCAAATTCTTGGCAAAATTTCAATTATTTTCAAAAATTTTCTCAAATTCTTAATTCTTCTCAAATTTTTAATATCTACTATTTTAATAAAATTTTTCAAAAGAATTCCATTATTAAAAAAAATTTGTATAAAATTCTACTCAAACGTTCATTTTCATAAATAATAAAAATTTTTACAGGAATTCCTCGAAAAATGTAATTATTCTTAAAAATTTTATTAAAATTCGTCTAAAGAATTTAATTATTTAAAAATTTGTTGATAAAATTTTTTATGAGAATTTAATTTTAAGAAACATTAAAATAATAAATTATTTATTTTTGAATTGAATTTTCGTAGGATTTTCTAATAAAAACTGTTTTAAAAATGAATTTCAGTTAAAATTTTAGATTATAATTGAATATTAAAATCAATATAGCGTGAATTTTTAGAAATAATTGTATTTTGAAAAGGTTTCAAATTAAAATCTTTGAAAATCTGAATTTTTCATATTTTTAACTAACAATTGGCAATGAAAATTACCACCGCGGGCTCGGTGTCGCTAGTGTTTTACACCAAAAATGGACGAAATGGGTGTACAAATTTAAAAAAATATAAACTTAAATTGTGACTTTTCGGTTTTAATTTTAAGTAGTTTTTCAATAAAAAGATAAATAATGAACAACAATCTTAACAAATATTTCTTAAACATTAGAATACTTTAAATATTAACATTTTTTTCAACCTTGTACACCCACAGCAGCCATTTTTTTTAGTTCACTTTATGGTCACTATGTGTCGCATTGCAATTTTAAATCCCCAATTCTGTGGAATTAATTTTTTTGGAAAAGTTTAATTGCAGATTTTTTTTGAAATTTTAATTTTCTAGTAGGTACAGATATATTTAATTGAAGAATTTTTGTATAATTAAAATTTTGTAAAATTGAATTGTGAACAGATGAATTTGAAAATTCTCAAAGAACTTTTTTAAAAAATATTAAAAATAATGGATTTATAAAAGAATTTTAGTTAAAAACAGTAGAAAAAAATTTAATTTTGGAGAAGTTAGAAATTATTGCAGAAATTCAATTATTTTCAAGAGTAATAAAATTCTTCTTAAGGATTCAATTATTTTTACTAATAATAAAACTCATCGCAGAATTTACATAATTTTTCATACAATTTTAGTTGAATTCCTTGAAAAAAGTAATTATTTTCATACAAGTTTGAATAAAATTCGACAAAAGAATTGAATTATTTAAAAATTTGTTGATAAAATTCTTTATGAGAATTCAATTTTCAGAAACATTCAATTATTCAATAAATTATTTACTTTTGTATTTAAATAATGGAATTCTCGTGGAATTTTCTAATAAAAATTAATATAAAAATTAATTTCAGTTAAAATTTTATATAATAATTGAATATTAAAAGCAATATAGCGTGAATTTTTTGAAATTTCTATTTTTTAATATGCATTTAATTGAACAGTTTAGGAATAATTCAAAGTTCGAGAAATTGAATATTGTAAAGAAATGGATTTGAAAATATTGCCAAAGAAATTTTTCGAAAATTATTAAAAATAATTGATCTAAAGTAGCATTTTAGTTAAAATTTTTTGTAAATAATAATTGAATGAAATGATAAAAATAATTTGGAAGAAGTACAATATTCTTATAATATAAAATAATGATTTTATTACTTGGTCATCTTTAATTATTATAAAACATGAAGAAATCGATCATCGATTCGTGTCTTTGTGTCGGAGTTATCGATATCTTCATGTTTTATAGTTATGAAAAAATTTAATTTCTAGTATGAAGTAAAATTTTCCCTTATTTGACTCGGACTGGTTATATTTTTGTCAGTAATTGATCTGTAATTTTTCCTTTTTAGTCCGTAAAGTCCGTATTTTTAAATACTTTCACTGGTTCGAGCCCTGTTATTATTATCATTATGGTAAAACAAAAATTAGTGTTTTCTCTTTATTTCATTGTTCTTTTCTATTACAATATTGTCATTTTCCAATTTTAGGTTGGCACTCGAAGATACATGGCTCCTGAAGTTTTGGAAGGAGCAATTAATTTTACTAGAGATTCATTTCTCCGGATAGATATGTATGCGTGTGGCTTGGTTCTTTGGGAATTAGCCTCTCGTTGTACAGTACAAGATGTATGTTAATTAATTTTTTCTCAAATTCTCTAAATACTCGATTAATTACTTAATTGAGGGTTTCGATTAAAAAACCAGTTATCTTTAACACTTTTAATTGTTTTAATACTCAAAATTCTCAATTTCTAAATAAAAATAGCATTTTTAATTTCAATTTTTTATAAGTATTTTACTTCTATACAAAGTTTATGAAAATATTCGTCCAAAAATTGTAATTGAAAACTTTTTAATTTATTAATTTTACAGGACAATAATTTTTAGCTAAAAAAATATCTTTGATTGGCACCTTCAATTAGATTATTATTTTATGCCAATGGAATGATAATCTAATTAATTACTAATTTTTAGTTTCTAGATTTATTTAGAAACTAAATAAAATTCTCACTAGACGATAAATTGGACCTAATTTAAAACTTTATTTAGGGACCAATTGGAGAATACAGGTTACCATTTGAAGAGGAAGTCGGACTTCATCCCACTCTTGAAGATATGCAGGAAAGCGTTGTGCATAAAAAGGAAAGGCCTTTTATTTTAGAAACGTGGCGAAAACATCAGGTAAGAAGTAATTGCAATAAACGATATTATTTCGATAGATTAAATTGAAAATTCTTGAAATAAATTAAGAGATAAAAGAGTAAGATTATTATTTTATTATTAATACAAGTAAATGTTATGCGCGCCAGCGTGTGAAACGTGTTATTTCACTTATTATTATTGTGGAAATTAAAACAATTTGTTATTTTCAAATATTAATTTCAATTTTGGAATAATTTCGGATTCAAAATTTTAAAAAATCAATTATTAAATAATTTACTAAAATTAATCATTTCATTAATTATTTAATTTTAGATTGAAAAATAAGTATTGAATAAAATTTCTCAAAATAATTCAATTCAATTGAAATATTTTCAATACAATTTTAATTAAATTCATAGCAAAATTTCTATTATTTCCATAATTTATCAAAATTTTCACAGAAATTTAATTATTATCAATACAATTTCAATAAAATGTCTCAAAAAAATTCAATTATTTTTAAAAATTTGTTAAAATTTTTCGCAGAAATTCAATTAAGTATTTTAAAAAATGTTGATTAAATCCTTTATGAGAATTGAAATATTTCCAATACAATTTTAATTAAATTCCTCGAAAAATTCAATTATTTCCTAAAATTTTATTTAAATTTTAGCAAAATTTCAAATATTTTTATAATTTATAAAATTTTCCACAGGAATTTAATTATTTTAAAGAATTTTAATAAATAATAAAAATTTTTTTAAAAATGTTTATAAAATTGTTTGAAAAAATTTTAGTATCTATTCTTTAAAAGAATTTTATTATTTTCAATATTTTAGTCAAATTCTTTGAATCAATTAAATTATTTAAAAAAAACTGTAATAAAATTCTAAGAGGAATTTAATAATTGTTTTGAAATTTTAATAAAATTCAATAATTAAATGTTTAATTTCAGTTATCAAAAATTACGATTATTTTAAAAACTTGAAAGAAATTCTTCATGAAATTCAAGTACTTTAAAATATTCCAATTAAAATTATTAAAGAAATTCCATTATTGTCAAAAAAATTCAATTATTTTTAAAGCATTTTTAATAAATGATTTTATCACTGAACCTCTTTATGTTTTATACTTATGAAAAATTTTAATTTATAGATATAAGTAAAATATTCTTTTATTGGACTCGCTGTGTTATATTTTTGTCAGTAATTGGTCCGTAATTTTTCATTTTTGGTCCGTAAAGTCCATATTTTTAATTACTTTCATTGGTTCGAGTTCTGAAGTTGTTATTATTATAAAAGAAATAATTTTTCCAATAGGTACGAAAATTGCAAACTGATAATAAAAATATTTTTTTAAAGGGTCTATTATCAATTTGTGACACAATGGAGGAATGCTGGGATCACGATGCCGAGGCGCGTCTTTCTGCCTCATGTGTGATGGAAAGAGTGGCAACGCTAAGCAGGTTACTTGTCTTAAACTCATCAACGTTAATCAGAGTTGATAACAACGATTCTATCACCACAAAGGAATCCAGTATGTAGTTAATCCCTGTATATTGTAGTTTAGTTGAATTGCACAACCACGCGTTTTGTGTATTATAATTTTCATAAAAAAAAGAAAACAAAAATTGATGGGGAAAGTTGATATTTGTCGATTAACAAATTTTACATCTTTCATGTGATAATTGGTTTTGCTAAAAAAAAATTGAATTTTTTTAAAGAGGAAAAAGTCTTGAAATCTAATCTTAATGATTAATTTTCACCTTATTTTGATCACACATTATCGATTGATTTTTTTTTCTTTTTTTTTTGACTTGTAAACGAATTTTTTTTTAATACTCGCGAACAGATTATAAGTTTTATTCTAAGTTGTCTTTAAGTTTGAATATTTTAAGAATTTAACAGTTTTTAGTCTCTTAGCTCTTGCCAATTGTAAATTCATAAACTTTCTAAGGTTTTCTTTAATTACTTCAATTTTGTAACATTTATCTGAATACTAAAATAAGTTTTTATAAGAAATTTAAACGATTTTGTACATATTTATATTTCAAATCTAAAATTTCCCAAAGCAATCGATTTTCAAGTTTTTTTTTTAATTTTCAACTGATTTATAATTGAATAACATGATCTTAAGTGATTGAAATTAATAATTTAACTATAATCAGACGAAAATGTGTAAAGAAAAATAAGTGACATTCCCCATTGATTGTTAAACACGTATCCTTTGGAGAAGGAATTTTTTTTCTAGAAAAAAAAGATAAAAAAAATTCTGTCCAAAGAAAAAAAAGACTATGCAGTTATGTTTTAGGATAAGGAGAAAATTTTCTCCTTCATTTTTTTTGTTTATCGTTTTTTTTGGAAAATTTGCTGTGTAATGAAATCGAAGAACCCTGTTACAATGTACCTGGTAGATGCAATCGCGTTTAGTCGATTGTAATGCCACGAGGAATTTACCAGATGAATAATTCCAAGCAAGAGGAGAAAAAGGAGGGAAAAAAAACTATACAATATTTCTTTTTTTCTTTTACGATAATTCTCTTGCTTGCTAAATAATTCTCTTGAGATTCCGCGGCAAATCATCTAGATTTCGCAGAATTTTTCGTAAACACTGCACAACCAGAGACAAATGAAAGATAAAAATCTATTTACCTAAATTAATAATATTAATAATACGTACATACGTTTCAAGTTAATCATTACGAGGCCCTAGATTCGTAATTAATAAAATTTTCATTTTATGGAAATAAAATAAAGCAAAAAAAAAAAAAAAAGAAAAAAAAAACTCGATTTAACAGAGCACCTGTGTCTCTCCAAGCCATGAATATTGTAACGCGACTGCCTAACAAATTTTTACATGTGAATAGTTTACGTAATCTCTAGGACTGTTAAAGCGGCGCAATTTTTACTTTTTTTATTTTTATAAATAAAAAAAATATGGCATCAACATCTCTTTTTGTACGACGAGAAAAATAACTTTTTTCACATTCATTCAATTTTAAAACATTTTTTTTTCTTTTTGCTATACTTACCTATGTCAAAAAGTTTATAAGAAAACCAAAGACAATTTTTTATTTTACAATTTTAAACAAAATTGAGATTGAAATTTTTTCAATTTAAGTTTATTTAAAGACGTTAAAATTTTATTTTATTAAATTAAATTTTTTTTTCGAAAAATACGATGCCTTGTTTAATCGAAAGACAAAAACAGTTATTGCGAATGTTAATGACACCCAGTTTCAGCGATTTTCTATAAGTTGTCTTCCCGATGTTTTTTTTTCAATAAAAAAAAAAGAAAGAAAAATAATTTTAAACGTTTTGTAATATTTCATGAGAAAATTTAATATTAAGTATAAAACTTAATAGTTATTGTTAATTTAATTAGAAACCTATATTTTAAAAAAAAATTCTATTTTAAATGTTTGGAAATCTTGATCGAACAAATTAAAAACTATTTGAATTTGTTTCTTTTTGCTCGAATTGATTAAGAAAAAAATTTTAAAAAATTATTAGAATTTGTCTAATTTTGGTCGAACTGTTAAGAGAAAAATTAAGAACTATTCGAATTTTTCTATTTTTGGTCGAACCGTTTGAGAGAAAAAATTGAAAACTAATATTCGAATTTGCTTATTTTTGCTAAAAAAAATCTCAAAAATTAAAAAATTAATTTTTTTTGAATTACATATGTAAAAATTTTTGTAATTAATTGAATTTTCAAAGAATTTGAGGTAAAAATTTGGAAAATAATTGAATTTAAAAAAGTGTTATTTAAAAATTCTGAAAATAATTGAATTTTCAAGAATTTTTGGACGAAAAAAATTGGAAAATAATTGAACTATTAAAATAATGACGATTAAATTATGGAAAATAATTAAATTCTAAAAATTTAATACGGAATTTAAAAACAATAAATTTTTTCAGTTTTATTAAAATTTTTGTAAAGAATTGAATTTTTTAAAGAATTTTAATCAAAAATTTGCAAAATAATTGAAAATATTAAAAAAAATTATATGCAAATTAAGAAAAATAATTGAATTTTCAAAGAATTTGAGGTAAAAATTTAGAAAATAATTGAATTTAGAAAAATGTTATTTAAAAATTCTGGAAATAATTGAATTTTTAAGAATTTTAGCTGAAAAAAATTAGAAAGTAATTGAACTGTTAAAATAATGACGATAAAATTATGGAAAATAATTGAATATCCAAAGATTATAGACAAAAAATTGAAAACTAATAGAATTTTTTTGTAATTATATTAAATTTTTTGTATAAAAATTTGAAAACTAATTGAGTTTTTTTTCATTGTATTACAATTTTTGTAAATTTTAGTTTTCTAACAATTTTAGTTGAAAACTTTTAATTTTTCAAATAATTTGAATACCTACTTTTAAAAAAATTATATGTAAATTAAATTAAAAAATAGGTAAATTTAAATAAATTAAAATTAAAAAAATTAAATATTAAAATTTAGAAAAATAATTGAATTTCCAAAGAATTTTAGTTCTAAATTCTAAAAAAATAATTACATTTTCAAAAATTTCATTTAAAAATTCTAAAAATAATTCCCGATGTTTTTTTTCAATGAAAAAAAGAAAGAAAAATAATTTTATTTTGAAACGTTTTGTAAACTTTTCTTTGGGAAATTTTAATATTAATATGTCAAAAAGTTAATAATTATTGTTATTAATTTAATTAGACATGTTTTTGAAATTTTTGCTGCATTAAATGCTTTGCAATTTTGATTGAAATAATTCGAATTTGTTTATTTTTTCTCGAATTGTTCAAGCGAAAAATTGAAAACTATTCGAATTTGTCTATTTTTGGTCAAAAACTGTTAGGAAAAAAATTAAAAACTGTTTGAATTTGTCTGTTTTTTGTTCGAATTGTTTGAAAGAAAAATTCGAATTTGTTTATTTTTTCTCGAACTAAAGAACTATTATTACAATTTGTCTGCGTTAATGTTCGAACCGTTTGAGAGAAAAATTGAAAACTATTCGAATTTGTTCATTTTTTCACGAATTATTAAAGAGAAAAATTGAAAACTATTCGAATTTGTTCATTTTTTCACGAATTGTTAAAGAGAAAAATTGAAAACTATTCGAATTTGTTCATTTTTTCTCTTGAGAAAAATTAAAAACTATACATTCGAATTTGTTTACTTTTGTTCGAATCATAAAGAGAAAAATGAATAATAAACAAGAGGTTTTGTATGAAGATTAATAGAAACAGAGTGAAAAATTGTTAATTCCTGGGAAAATTAAGCGCCTGAGTTAATTAATTAATTTTTATGTAAATGAAATTATTTTGTGACGCTGGGTTTCGAGACAGTGCCAAATAAAAGAAAAAAAGAAAAGAGGACAAAAATACAAATTATTAAACGCCATGCGATACGCGCTTCTCCATCTTTATTATATTCATTAATAAATAAGAATAAGTCATATGGAAAATCGAGTGTACCTAAATAATCTTTAAATAATGATTGAAAATAAGAAATAAATATCGAATTGTACACGACATTTTACATTTTAGGGCCCTGACATATCGGACAGCAGACAAATACCATTATCACGAATGTTTTAATCTTTGACAAGTAGTTTCATCGCTATATCAATATATAAAATTATTACATATAATTATTATATTAAACATGAAACTAGAAATTTATCGAATCAACGTTTCGTTTGGGGATTCATATTTCTTTCGTTTAGAAAAAATTTAATTATTTCTCCTTTTTGAACGAAAAGAATTTTATAATTATTTTATAATTTTCTCTTCGTTTATTAATTACAAAGATTTATAAATTTATCAAAAAAATTAATTATTAAAATTTTTTAATTTAATTATAAATTTTCTGTTTAAAGAAAGAATTTTTTCTTTCTTTTGAAAAAATTTTCTTTGATGTAAAAAAAATTCTTTGTGATTAAAGAAAACAGCTTTCTTATTGTAAATATACATTGAATGAATTACGTTAATTCATTTATTGACAAAAAAATTAGAATTTATTTTTGAAAAAGCATTTATAATGGAGAAATTATTAGAAAAGAAAGGATTTAATAAAAATAATTAGAATACATATATCATTTGGTATAATGAGGAATATTGCGAATAATGTTGATAAAATGTATTAGGAAAGAAAGAAAAAATTTGTAAATTTTTTATAATTGTAATATAAAAAAAAATGACGAAGAAGAAAGTAAAAAATTTCCATTAATGGCGATTATAAATAAAATATGTTCATTATTGTTCGATGAATGTCTGTACAAAAATATTCAGAAAGCTGTTTTTTAGTAAAAAAAAATTGATAGTTGAAAAATAATCAAATTAGCGACGATGATTCGATTTCTTTCAAGTACGCTGTAAATATTAACTTCGCTTTAGCAATTTTTTTTTGTTTTGTGAATGGTTTTCTGAAATGAAAAAAAAATTATTTCAGAAAAAAGTAAGAGGCGACGTACCCTAAGGACAAAAAACAATCTGTCTGCTTTCTGGTACTGTTGTTGTTACTCTAGATATATAAGTTATTTTTTAACGATGACTTGTTTGATAGTTATTTTTATGGGAGTTTCCCAAATGAAAATACTATATATACAATTGTATCTATATTAAGTTTCAAATTTCAATAATTGTATCAATTGGTGGACATTTCATTGGAATTTAAAATTGACTCTCAAATTTTTGCCGAAAAGGAAAAATAAAATTTGAGAGTATATATATTTTTTTTTAAAGAAATGTCCCTTCCCCTCCCACATTATTAAAGACTTTGATCGGATAATCGATTGTCCGCACCTAGTCGACTTATAAAATGACTGTACATATTAAAATATACCTGATCTAGAAACTGTAAGACTATCTCGAGACGCAAGAAACTATTATTTATCACTCGAATTATAAGGGTTGTTCTTTTTTTTATTTAGGGTGTAAATCCCTCCGCCCCTTCCCCTCCCCAGTGATAAACCAACGCAATAATAAATCGTCCGATGGAAATTTCTGGCAATTATTATTATTAATTAATTTGATTTGTTTTTTTTTCTCTGAATTAATTTCATCTCAAATATTAAATAAATATTAATTATTAATAAATATTAAGAAATTTTTTACATTTGGAAATAAAAATAGTTAAAAATGAAAATTCTCTATAAAAACAAATTTAATTATTATAAAAATAATAATTTCTATACAAAAAATACTAAAAAAAATTTCGATACAAAAAATTAAGAAACAGACAGAAAATGTGTAAAATTTGAGATAAAATTAATTCCAATGCGTGGGATATTAAAAAAATTTATAAAACCGAGAAGAATGTTTCTCATGTGATAGAATGTAAATTGAAATAAAAAAAAAGAAAAAAAAAGTTAGAAATTTTCCTGAAGACATAGAATTGAACCATATAGTATGCACGTTTATTAAAATCACATTTGCAGATTATTTATAGATAATTTATAATACGATCATTGACTTTTGGAAACATATATTTTTTCGTTTTTTTTAATCAAAAGTGAAATTTTTATTTTTAGCGCTATATGATTGTATTTAGTGCAAAAGAAGAAGAAAAAAATAACAGTAGAATAAGCGGATATCGTTGCATCTGTATCACAACTCTCAATTTCTCAAAATAAAAGGGACGAATAATGGTAAATAATAATAATAATAATAATAATAATAATATTAATAATAAATTGAAACAAATAAACATAAAAAATACACTTATGTGAATCACATGTACGAGAGGGAGAGAGAGAAAGAGAGAGATACCTCCACATATAAATGTGCATTATTCGCCTACATCGTGTAAGCACAATATAATCATTGTATTATTACATTGTAATATTTTTTGCATTAAAGATTTTTAAACTATCTTCAGTTACTTTATATTTTCTCGAACCCTAAGAAAATGATATTCTTCTCATGAAAGCTGTGTAAAATAATTTAATAATAAAAAAGAATAATAAATCTTCTATATTAATAATCGTTGTATTCCGGTAATTTGTTTACAGTTTATTTGATTTTTTGTTTCCTAACTTTTTAAATAATTTTTCTTTTTAAATGTTTAAAATTTTTAAATTAATGTACTAAAAATCATTGAATTCTTGTAAAGTATTTATAAAAAAAAATTTGAAAATAATTGAATTTTATGAAGAATTCCATTATTTTCAATAATTGTAATAAAATTCTTTAATCAATTTATAAATAATAAAAATCTTCGTAAAAAATTCAATTATTTTTTTATAAATAATAAAATTCTTATCAGGATTTCACTTATTTTCAATTAAATACAATTTTAATAGATTTCTTCGAAATTTTCAATTATTTTTAAAAGTCTTGTAAAATTTCTCCTAGAAAATTCAATTTTTTTAAAAAATAATTGCATTTTTCATAGGAGTTCAATTATTTAAAAAACTTCTAATAAAAACCAATTCAAGAATTCAATTATTTTCAGAAATAATTAAATAAATTGTCAATTTACTGAAAATCATTGAATTCTTTGTAAAATATTTATAACAAAATTTGAAAGTAATTGAATTCATTTCAAGAATTTTATCAACATTTTTTTCAATAAATGAATTCTTTTGAGAAAATTTAATTAAAAATGTATTGAAAATAATTTAATTCTTGACAAGATTTTTTTATTAAAATTCATTAAAATAATTGAATTGCTTTGAAGAATTTATTTCAATTTTCTTGGAAATGAAGGAATTTTTTAAAAATAATTTTTACTGAAAATTTTGAAAATAATTGAATTTTTCAGAAGAATTTTATTATTTACAAAAATAATTGAATTGTTTCGAAGAACTTTATTATTTATAAAAAAAATTGAATTCTTGAGGAGGATTTTACAATTCATAAAATTAATTGAATTGTTACGAAGAATTTTATCTGAATTTTTGAAAATAATTGAATTCTTTCGAGGAATTTTATTAAAAACTTTGAAAATAATGATTTTTTAAAAAGAATTTTATCAAACTTGTTGAAAATAATTGAATTTATATTAAAATTCTTGAAAATAATCGAATTCAATTAAAATCTTTAAAAATAATTTTATTCTTTCGAGAAATTTTATTCAAATTATAGTGGAAATAATTGAATTGCTCTAAAGAGTTTTATTATTCATGAGAATAATTAAATTCTTGCAATAAATTTTATTAAAATTTTTGAATAGTAATTTACATTTTAAATCTGTAATCATTCAAAAATTGATGTTTATTTTTGAAAATATAAAATTTTATAATTTACAAAATAATAAGAAAAGGAATATCGCGTTTCGCGCGCGTATCATTTGATAGTAATAATGATAATAGTCAATAATTTTCTTCCTCAAAAAACGGAAAAAAATAATTTTCACCTTCAGAAAACGCAATAAAAATAATTATCTTCTTAAAAAAAGCAGCAAATTTTTTCAAATTTTTTATTTAGAAACATTTTAAATAACAATAAATCTCAAATAAGGTTTCATTAACTGAAATTTTTGATACCTAATATTTCTATTGCTTGTGGAAAAATTAATAATAATTAATTATTTATTTACAAAAAATTTAAGTTTTAAATAATTTCCTTTAAAAGTAAAAATTAGGTTTTTGAAGAAATTGTAAAAAAGTATTTACAGTTTTTTTTCTATAAAACTTTTTGCAAATATTTAAATAATTTAAAAACTTATAAGAACGTTATTAAAGGAAATATTTGAATTATCAAAAAATTGCAAGTAAATATTTGGAAAATAATTGAATTTAAATAAATTTTATTTAAAAATTCTTAAAATAAATGAATTCTTAAGAATTTTATACAAAAATTTTTAAAATAATATTTGAATTTGAAAAGAAATTTAGTTAAAACTTCTAAAAATAATTAAATTAACAAAATTTTAAAAATTTTAAAAACAATTGAATTTTTAAGACTTTTAGTTTAAAATTATAAAAATAATTAAAATTTCAAGACTTTTAGTTCAAAATGTTGAAAATAATTGAATTTATAAAATAATTACGATAGAATTATGGAAAATAATTGAATTAAAAAAAATTTAATACCGAATTCAAAAAATAATGAAATTGTTTTTAGTTATATTCAAACTTTTTTGAATAATTGAACTTTTTAAGAATTTTAATTCAAAATGTTTAAAGTAATGGAACCCTTTAAAAAAATATTGGAAAATTAAGGAAGATAATTGAACTTTTTATGGATTTTAATTAAAAACTCTTAAAATAGTAAAATTTAAAAAATTTAATTTAAAAACTTTAAAAATAATTCAATTTTTAAAAAGTTTTAGTTAACAACTCTAAAAATAATTGAATTTTTAAAAAGCTTTTGTTAAAAACTCTAAAAATAATTAAGTTATAATCAAAATTAAAATAAAATAAATCATTAAAGTTTTAAATTCAATTTTTGCTTCTAAAAATTATCATTTTTATAATTGAACTCCCCTTGAATTTTTTAATATCAAAAGCAGGAAAAAAGTTAAAATTCAGTCTGAAAATTAGAGAAAAACAAAATCAAATTTTTGTGATAATCCTGATAATTGAAAAAAGATTTGACTAAACGAAAAATAAATTCAATTTTAATATAGGTATTGACGTTTTATTTGTGTAAACATATACATTATATTATTTATTATTTACGCATTAATAAATGTCATCCAAGGCAGATGTGTATCCAGCGATATTTTTTTTAAGTGTGAAATATATATGAATTATATATATTTCTCCGATATACGCAGATCAACATGTTAAGCAACAGAAAATTCCTCTAATGATCATAACATTTGTTTTTTTTCTTTTGGTAATTTTAAATGTATGTATATTCGATTAATGTTATTTATTGTTAAATTGCCTTCTTTTAAACAGATAAAAAAATTGTTCGACATTGAATAGAACATTTAAAAAAGCGTTTTTAAAATAATTTTTTAAAAAATCAAAATTAATAATTCACTTGTTTGATAACATCACAAAAATTGCTTTTTCCTTCATCGACTAATAATTTACATCAAAAGAAAAAAAAATAGAAAAAAAGAGTTAAAAATAAAAATTTTCTATTTGAAAAAAATGAAAAAATAAAATTTACAAAAAAATTTTTTCTTTTTAAAATTAAGTCGACGTAAAGCGAAATATACATCAGAATAGAAAATAATCTCCCGATACTCTGTGCGCAAAAAAAAAGCAATAATAGTATAGAAATTGCCTTTCTCGTTTTAAAAAACATTTGATAAATCTTTGTAACAAAAATTCTTTTTCCTCTCGCACATCCGCATTAATATTCTTAATAAACTTACGAACCTATTTGCTATGATCACAGTTACATTTATATCTGTTATTTATATGATATCTGTATTATAATGATTTTTACTCGACGTCAAATTTTTTTTTATCTTCTTCTTCATCTTCTTTTTCCACCCTTTATATAATCGCAATCATTTTTTTTAAACCAGCGTCGCTACAATTATACTGTATAGAATTTTTTTTTATGTACAACTCTGAGGATTATAAATAATGTATGTTCAAACTTATTAAATACATTTCTGGTTCGAGAGCCTATGACTAGCAGTATCTCTATTTTCCTCTTATTAATTATTAATAATCAATAATAATACTACTGCAGTTTTTTTTCAATATATAAACGAAGCGTTCAATCTCTTTTGAAAATCTTTTTTAAACATTAGAAGGTAACTAAGTTGACTATCTTATTTTTAAATTAAAAAAAACAACAACAAAAATATACTTGATTCTCTTTCATACACTATACATGCATACTCTTCCTCTTTGCATGTGTTATCTTCTTTTTCACACATTTTTTTCAATTAAAACATTTAAAATTGAAAAATTAACAAAATAAAAGATGATTTTTTTATATTTAAAAAGCGTCGAAATTTCCTAGAATTCAAAATCAAGGGAGTTATTAGTGGAGAAAACTGGATTAATTTTGAATTCTAGGAAATGGATTGAAATTTCCCTTCTTTTTTTTTGGTTTTTGAGAGAAAATTTACTTTTTCTTTTAGTAATCGAATTTTTGTTGATTGATCGTCGAAAGGCGATATCAAGCCATGGGTTAGGTTTGTATTGCATGGACACACGTCCTCGGTACTAGACCCTTTCGCTCTCCGCGTGCACATAATAACCATTTATTGTCAACTTCCAAAATGACTTTTAATTTTTCGCCTTCGCTGAATGCAAGGTGTCCATCGTCCGATGAATATCTATGAGTCAAAGTTCGCACCAATCTGGAGAAAAGAATTTTTATTTAGAAATTTCTTTCATTTTTTCAACTCCTTAAGATTTAGTTACTCTTTAGACAAAGTGAATTTTCAAACTAAAATTCTACACTCCTAAATCAATTATTTTTAGTAATTTCCCAATTAATGTTTTTGAAGAATTGAATTATTTTATGCAATATTTCGATTATTTGAAAGTTTTTAAATTAATTTTTCTTAAATAATTATATTTAGTTAAATAAATTAAATAAATTAAATAATAATTCTAAAATTCAAAATGATTTGAATGTAAATATTTCTAAACTAGAATAACTACGCGTCCTAATTTTCTCATCAGATTTAAATTTATATAAATAAATCTGCAAATGGCTTCAAAAATTTTAATTAGAGTTTTTATGAATAATTAAATTCTTTTCACGAGTTTCTTTAAATTTTTTAAAAATAATGTTTTTTTAAAAATAATTTTAATTAAAAATTTGGAAAATAATTGAATTAAAACAAAGAATTTTTTCAATTTTTTAAAATAATCTTGTCTGTTCTTTTTAAAGAAATTTTAATTCAATTTTTTTTAAAGAAACTTGAATTCTTAAAAAAATTGTATTAAATTGATTGAAAACTTTTTGAAATTAAATTAACGATGATTTAATTTCTTAAAAAATTTCATGCAAGGTTTTTGAATAATAGAATTAAAAAAATTTCATTTCATATAGTAATTAGAAAATTTAAGTTTTAAATTATATTTTTAAAGAAATAGTAGTAAAAAATTAATAATATAAGTTGAATATTATTTAAAAATATAATTAAATTTCGAGAAATAATTGAATTTTCGAAGAACTTTGACTTAGAATTAATAAAAAAATTGAAATTCTCAATAATTATGCTATAAAATTATAATAAATAATTGAATTTTCAAAAATATTAGTTCAAAATTCGAAAAGTATGTATTCACAATTTTTTTTCTACAAAAGTTTTTGCAAATATTTAAATAATTTAAAAACTTATATGAATATTAAAGAAAATATTTTAATTATCAAAGAATTTCAGGTAAAAATTTGGAAAATAATTGAATTTCAATAAATTTTATTTAAAAATTCTAAAAATAATTGAATTTTCAATAATTTTATATAAAAATTTTTAAAATAATAATTGAATTTTAAAAGAAATTTAGTTAAAACTTCTAAGAATAATTAAATTAACAAATTTTTTTTTAAATTCTAAAAGTAATTGAATATTCAAGGCTTTTAGTTCTAAGTATTGAAAATAATTGAATTTTTAAAATAATTATGATAAAATTATGGAAATTAATTAAGTTTCAACAATTTCATATGCAATTAAGAAAATAATTATTTTTTTAGTTATATTAAAATTTTTGCAAGTATACTTGATTTTTCTAAGGATTTTGATTCAAAATTTTCAAAATAATTGAATACTTTAAAAAATTATTTTAAAAATTTAGGAAGATATAATTGAACTCTTAAATAATTTTAGTTAAAAATTCTAAAAATAATTATATTTAAAAAATGTTATTTAAATTTTAAAAACAATTGAATTTTGAAGATATTTAATTAACAATTTTGTAAACAATTGCAATTTCAAGACTTTTAGTTTTAAATTATGAAAATAATTAAAATTTCAAGACATTTAGTTCAAAATTTTTAAAATAATTGAATTTTTAAAATATGTATGTACTATAAAATTATGAAAAATAATCAAAAGATTTTAGTTGAAAGTTAAAAAATTTTTTTAAAAATTTTTAATTTTCAAGAAATTTTTATAAAAATTTTTAAAATTATAATTGAATTTTAATTACAATGCAAAATTTCTTTCAAGATATTTTTTTGAAATATTTGAATAATGATAAAACATTTTATATAAACTTTTCAAAATAATTGAATTCCTTGAGAAAAATTTTCCTCTTTATAAAAATAATTGAATTGTAGCGAAGAATTTGATAAATTATGAAAAATCTTGCTACGAATTTTATTAGAATTTTCGAAAATAATTGAGGCCTTGGATCCAATAACTCGCCCGACGCTCGAAGGCACGCGCTAATACCAGTCGGGTAGCAGTGAGTGGCCCAGAGGCGCTCACTGCTCACTGACTGGCAGTTGCGCGTTCCTCCGAGCGTCGGGCGAGTTATTGGATCCAAGGCCTCAATTGAATTTTTTCGAGGAATTTAATTGTATTGAAAATAATTGAATAATTGCTAAAAATTTTACCTTTTTGTAAAAATAATTGAATTGTATCGAAGAATTTGATTAAAAGATTAGAAAATAATTGAATTCTTGCGAAGAATTTTATTAAAAAAACTTATTTCAAATATAAAAGTATTTGAAATATTCGAATATTAATTTCGAATTTATAGTGAAATGCAAAATGGTAAAAACTATAAAAGTGGTAATTAATGAAAAACCTACTTTGGCGTCTGTTTAACTGGAGTGTTTCTGGTGATAACAGCAGACGTTGGTCTCGGTAAAGACGTGGATGCCGCTCTTCTATGAGGTGAAACCATCGCCTTATCCTTAACCATTCCGTACGTCTTATAAGGCAGAGAACTCGGCCTCGTTAGATGCGTTTTTCCATTATTCACCATCTCCTGGTCAACGCGACTCGTTCTTTTCGTCACGTCCCTGTCACGCGAGTCCGGCTTCTTCGGTAGAGTCTTTGGCACCTGTATGGGCGTCTTCTTTAATGCAGGAATTCCCGACACTGGCGATTTGCCATTCTTCCCTGTTCCACTCGTTAAATTTGACGTTCTAATTGGCGACGTCAAGAGTCGTGGAATTTTCGATTTTCCAATACTCGTCGGCGTTCGATTAGGCGACGACTGCGGTGGCACAATTTGCTGCTCCTCCTTACCCAGCACCATTTCCCATTTTTCCTGTAATTTCCGAAATTTCACATCGGCCGGAATTGCCGCTCCCTCATCATCGTCATCAACTCTTGTCTCTGGACTTCGCAATCGTGAATGTCCCTTCCCCGATGCTCTATTCAATGGCGAGTGCTCCAAACTGTCTGTATATTCCTCCGAATCCTCAGAGCCTATTCTATCGAAATGGAATTTCGAACTCAGAGGCAAGTGACTCCAACGTTTCTTCGCTTCTGCTTTCTGATCTCGACTCTTCTCATCGAATCCATAATTAATGCAGGATTTTGGTCGGGCTTTTCGCGGACTTTCTTGGTTCTCAGTGCGAAACACGTTGTTCTTGGAATGTGTGTTCCTGCCGAAACTGTTGTGCAGTTGACGATACTGATAGAGGAGATCGAGTTGGAATGGACAGAAGGCGAGTGGTTGGAGAATGTCGAGAAGGGCGTCAATCACTTCCCTGGATTGACCGCAGGAGAGCGCTCGCACGAATAAACTGTTGTTGTTGTAATGCTTGCGGAGAATTGATTCCCGAGTGCAGAGATAAGCGAACCATGCGTCTAAAGCGCGGAGATTCAGTAGACCAAAAACAAAAGCGTGAAATTTGAGCATTCCTTCGGTTATCAGATCCTCGCTGTTGATCTTCTGGACGAGCTCGTTTAGCGTTTTGGTGAGGGGTCCTTGCTGTGAGGAGGCTTCGACAACTTGCCAGACGCTATTCGCCATGGGTCCGAATGTAGAGTTTAATTGTGGTTTTAGATCGTCGGACATTATGGCGTAGAGCGGTGGACAGAGATTTTGTAAACAGATTTGTGAACAATCGTTTTCGCCGTAAGTTTGCCGTGTGTGTGTCGTTAGCGCCGGCTCCGTGTGCCAGTATTTCAAAAGTAGATCGACCGCCTTCTTCACGGGCCACATTAATTTTTTCTTCTCATTCAAATCAAAATTCCTCGAGTCCGTCTCGTCTGCCTCTTTCCCTTCGGTGAACAAATCATCCAAATACTTTCTCTGACCAGTGGCAAAACTCACAGTCTTCTTCTGCGATTCGCCCATGTCTATCGTTTTCAGCAGATCTTTATTCATTCGCAATGCGAGGAATTTACGAACGTAGGATCTTAATTTCACTTCAGAGTCCTCGTCACCGTCGCTACTTTGCGATGAGAATCCGCTGCGTTTCAAAAATTCTTCCAATTGCTTAACATCCTCCTCGCTACTGTCCATCGATCGATCGTCGACCCGATCGACCATCTCCTTCAGTCTCTCGATTTGAAATCTCTCCTCGATCTCGTCCACGTCCTTGTCCGAATCGTCTACTCGCTCATTTCGCAAAATATGAAGATCGTTATTTATATAGTAAGGTTCGGGCATTGACAGACGTTTGTTCGTCTCCAAGCACTTGTCCTCAACTTCCTCGACATCGCCCATCTCGAACATGCTACATCTCTTTGTCACTTTGTTCTTGCGTAAAATACTCCTTGGCAATGGTGGTCTAGGTGGAACTTTACCGATGCAATCACTTGAATCCTTCTCGCCGTGAGGCAAAGAGTTCGATCTCTTCGGAAGGGTTGGACCCGCCACTCCCTTCTGTATTCCGTACCTGAAAAAATTCCCAATAAAAAAGTCAATATACTGCAGTAAAAAATCTAGAATATTATATTTCATTTGGAAAAGAAATTTAATTTCAATTTTTTTTATTGTTAAGCATAAATAAAATAAGCATTTTTGAATTTTCCCAGAATTTTTTACGAAACATTGTCAACTCATTAGTAAGACCCTTCACTAAAAAAAAATAATTGCAAATAATAATAAAATAAGCAACTTTCGACAGGGTTGCCACAAAATTTTAATTTTGTTTTTCCCTGATTTCCAGACAAAATTTTTACTTTTTCCCTGACCCTAAAGAACATTAATGACTTGTTTTCAAAATAAATATTTCATCATTATTATTTTTCTATAGGAATTAAGATTCTCAAATTCAATAACTTATGAGAATATTATTATAAAACATGAAGAAAACGAGTCTTCGACTCGATTTCCTCATGTTTTATAATAAATTTAAGATGACAGAGTGATAAAATCATTATTTTATATCATAAGAATATTGTAATTATAAATTCAAATTTTCAAAGATTTTAATTTTAATTAACCCTTTTCGAAATTCAATTATTTCTAAAAATTCACGCTATAATGCTTTTAATATTCAATTGTAATTTAAAATTTTAAGTGAAATTCATATTTTAATCAATTTTTAATAGAAAATTTCCCGAGAATTCAATTATTTAAATACAAAAATAAATAATTTATACAATTATTTGATATTTCTTAAAATTGAATTTTTATGAAGAATTTTATCAAAATTTTTAATAATAATTGAATTCTCTCGGCGAATTTAAAAAAAAATTGTAAGAATAAATGCAATTTTCAATCATTTCATTTAAAATTGTATAAAAAATAACTGAAATTCTGCGATAAGTTTTGTTATTTATGAAAATAATTGAATTCTTGCAACAAATTTTAATAAACATCTTTTTAAAAGAATTGAATTCCTGTGAAGAATTTTATTTGTGAAAATAATTGAATTCCGGAGAAAAATATTATTATTTATGAAAATAATTAATTTCTTGTGAAGAATTCTATTCAAATTTTTTTTTAAAATAATTGAATTTTTCAGAATTTTTAAAAAAATTTTAAAAATAATTAAATTCCATCTAGAAATTTCATTAAAAAATTAAAAATAATTGAAATCTCAAGAAAAAATTTATTATTTATGAAAATAATTGATTTCTAGAGAAGAATTTTATTCAAATTTTTTTAAATAATTGAATTTCTATAAAAAAAATATATTATTTGAGAAAATAATTGAATTCTTAAGAAGAATTGTATTGAAAATAATTAAATTGTATAGGAAAATTTTATTAAAATTGCAATTTTTTTAACTAAATCTTGTAAAGAATTTTGTCGAAATTTTTAAAAATAATAGAACTTTTAAAATAATTTTATTTAAATTTTTCGAAATAATTGAATTTCTCAGAACTATTATTTTTAATTCTCTGAATATATTTGAATTCTTTGCAGAAAAATTGAAAAGTAATTAAATTTTCTGTTAAATTTCCATTGGAATTTTGTTTAAGTAATAGAATTCGTTTGGAAAATTTTATTAAAATAGTAGACATTAAAAATAATTGAATTAAGGAAAATTTTTGAAAATAATTGCAATTTTGCCAAGAATTCTATTAAATTTTTTGAAAATAATAGAATTTTGGAGAAGAATTTTATTATTTATAAAGATAATTGAAATTTTGACGAGAATTTTTTTTTTTATTATTAAAATTTTAGAAAATAATTAAATTCTTTTGAAAAATTTGATAACGAATTAAGATAAAAATTGAATTTTTTCATGAAATTTTATTAAAAATAATTGAATTTTTGCAAATATTTTACTATTGAAATAAATAATTGAATTTTTTAAAGATTTTACTATTTCAAGAAATAATTGAACTATTTTGAAGGATGTATTAAAATTTTGGAAAATAATTGTATTCTTTCGTAAAATTTTATTGCAATTTTCTTGAAAATAATTAAATTTTTGCAAAAAATTGTACTATTTACAAAAATAATCAAATTCCTAAAAATAATTTTATTATTTATGGAAATAATTAAATGTTTTCTTAAAATTTGTATTAAATTTTTTTTTTAAATTCATTCTTGTCGGAAATAGAAAAAATTTTTGAAGGTTTTTTTTTTGAAAGTTTTGTATTAGATATAGTGGCAGTTTCATAGTTTACGAAGCTAAATTTGGTGTGAATTCATCATTAAAAGATAACAGAAAAAAATAGGGGAAATTTAGGGGAAATTTTCAAAATTGGGTACGTTTAGGGTCCAAAATTAAAAAAGGGGACTTTTAGGGAAATAGAGGACAGACTGTGAAGCCTGCAGTTTCTTTAATCAAATGACAAATTAAAATTATTTTTTGATGGATCAAAAAAATAATTTTTTTAAATTTGAGTAAAATTTTTAAATTATTGAATATTAAAAAGCAAAATATGGAAAATTCAAGGACAAAAGTTCAAAATCCAGGACATTTCAGGATATTTTTTCAAATGCCAGGAATTCCAGGACTTTAAGGACCAGTAGACACCCTGAGTCAGCAAAATTCAGAATTTTCTTATAAATTCTAAAAATTTAATTTTTTTCAGTACTATTATTAAAAATCCCCGACTTTTCCCTAATTTCCCTGACTTTTCCCTGAATTCCCTGACATGTGTCAACCCTGGAGATATCTATAAATAGTAAAATTTAAGTGACTTTAACACTAAAATTCTTACCTGTTTGTAATTTCCTGACTAGTTTCCGAACTCGCGCTATCGTATCGATAGAGATAAAGTGGATTAGCAGCGCTTGTGAAAGTCTGCTGATTAGTGGATGAATCCGTGAGAAGAGTTGAAGATCCCCTATAGCCAGAAGATGGTTGAGTGGCTGTGCTACTGCTCGACGATACATTATTCACAATCTCGCTGATGACACGTCGCCTGGACTTCATCGGCGGTGACAAGCAGAAAAGCGGCTTTCTCACATCCTCGCCAAGTTTGATATGTTTCGGAACTTCCGGTACGTCGTGTAAAATTCTCCTGTAATCATTCGGCAACAGAAAAGTAAGTGACTCCCAATCTTTGACGTGCGAGAATCCCTTCTGCTTCAGTGCATCAATATCATTACACGAGAATGGTCTACTCGACTTCTTCCAAGTTTTCTCCTTGTTGAAATTATGCGGCTTGAGAGCGACATTCTCGAATTTCTCATTCGAACTATTCAGAAAAGAAAGATCCGGTAGTGTGTAGTTTGGATAGACAACGTAGACGGACTTTTTGTCCGTTTCCTGATTGTTGGTCTTCTCGGGAATTGAATAGACGAGGGAAGTTTGAACAGAATTGTCCTCGACTTGAGTGATTGCTTGAATTCCCATTGTCCTCGAGTATCGCTTCTCCTGAGTGGTTTCGCTCCACGCATTTTTTGGACGTCGCTCAACTTCGGAGTGACTGTCGAGCGCTGATGATGATTTTGTGGTGCTTTCGGTTAAATCTACGTTCGAAGTGTTTGATGATTCTTTGCGTCCAGAAGTTTGGCTGGATATTTGCTTTGGAATGTCGCTGAAATTGTCAGTTTGAGTCTCTGATCCGCTGTAATTCTCCGTTTTCACCCAGTTGATTGTGAAATCATTTTCCGTGAGTTCCTGTCGCTCGGAATTGTTAATGTTATGCCGTTGAATTTGTGTATTCGTACCGCTGTCACTGTTACTCGTTGGCCAACCATTTTCACTTACTGAATCTGATTGATCGAGAGTTAAACTCATTCCCTCGGCGCTCATGCTCTTTTGCTTCATAAATAATTTCACCAGACTCATGTTGTGCAGCTTCTTTGCTGATGAAACATTGCCGCCACTGTCGGAACTCTCCTCCGTCACAGAACGACTCATCACTGAACCGGAACTTTGTAGGGCGCCTGTATGATTGCTCGATGCAGAATCCACCTGGAAAAATGAAGAACAAAAATTCAATCTTTACAAGGAAGAAATCATTTTTTTATACTCCCTATGCAACAAAAGGTTACTTTTCCTAACGCAGTTCTCGGATAGTATGACTTTTTGCACTTTTTCCAACTACTAACAAAAAAGATTCTTATTTTTAACTTATTTTACAAAAATGTGAGAATTTTTCGACTTTTCTTACAAATATTTCAACAAAAACCATTTTTTGGTATTAAATGCAACTAAGTTGCATTTAAAATAAGTTACTAACTTATTTCAATTTAAATAGTGTGAAAAATAACTACAGGGTTACCACAAAAATTTAATTTTGTTTTTCCGTGACTTTTCCCTGATTTTCATACATAATTTTGACTTTTTCTCTCAGTGAATATTCCGATTCACTTTAAAAACGATCAGATACTCAAAAAATTTCTTTAATTGTAAAATTATTCGAAAAAATTTATAATTTCTTTTTTAAATAAATATTTAATCATTATTATTGTTTCATAGGAATTAAGTTTTTCAAAATTTTCAAATTAAAACCTTATTGAAATTCAACAACTTTAAAAAAAATATTTTTTATGAAATATGAAATACTTAAATTTACAAGTATTTTAATTTGAAACCTTTTCAAAATTCAATTATTTTTAAAAATTCAAGCTAAAATAATTTTAATATTCAATTATTAGAATATAAATTTTTAAATAAAATTCATTTTTAAATCATAATTTTTATTAAAAAATTCTACGAGAATTTAATTATTTAAATACAAAAAAAAAATAATTTCTTGAATAATTAATTATTTCTTAGAATTCAATTCTCATAAAGAATTTTACCAACAAATTTTAAAATAATTGAATTTTTTCGACGAATTATAATAAAATTTTTAAGAATAATTACAGTTTTCGAGGAATTTGATTAAAATTGTTTTAAAAATAATTGAAATTCTGCGACGAGTTTTATTATTTATGAAAATAAATTGAATTCCTAAAAAGAATTTTATTATTCAAGAAAATAAATGAATCTGTGTTAAACATTTTATTATTTATAAAAAATATGGAATTATTGCGAAGAAATTTATAATGAAATTAGTAAATAATTAAATTCCTGTGAAATTTATATTATTCATCAAAATAATTAAATGTTTGCGTAGAATTTTATTAAAAATTTTTTTTAAATAAATAAATTCTTTTGGAAAATTTTATTAAATTAGTAGATATTGAAAATCATTGAATTAAGAACATTTTTTTGAAAATAATTGAATTTTTGCTAACAATTTTATTAAAATTTTAAAAAATAATTGAATTTTGGAGAAGAATTTTATTATTGATAAAAATAATTGAAATTTTGACGAGAATTTTTTTAAGCTTTTAAACATGATTGAATCTCTGCGACGAGTTTTATTACTTTTGAAAATATTTAATTGAGTTTCGTCAATCAGTTACAAAAGTGTCCAAAATTCAATTTTTTAAAATGTTTTTAACTAAAATTTTTCTATAAATCCATTATTTCTCATAATTAATTAATTAAATATTAAGAAATTTAACTAATTTCAGAAGCTTTTGAATTTTAGTAAAATTTTAGAAAATAATTGAATTCTTTTGGAAAATTTTATAACGAATTAAGATAAAAATTGAATTTTTTCGAGAAATTTCATTTAAAAATAATAATTGAATTGAATTTTTGTAAAAAATTTAACTATTTATAAAAATAATTTAATTTTGCAAAGATTTTACTATTTCAAAAAGTAATTTAACTATTTCGAAGGATTTATTAAAATTTTAGAAAATAATTGAATTCTTTTGTGAAATTTTATTAAAATTTTGTTGAAAATTATTGAGTTTTTGCAAAAAATGTATTATTTAGAAAAAGAATTTAATTTTTTTTAAGTATTTTTCATTAAATTTTCTTTCTTATTATAAAGAATTTTATTAACATTTTTCAAAATAATAAATTTTTTTTGTGAAGAATTTTATCAAAACTGTTTAAAATAATTGAATTCATGAAGAAATAATTTTATCAAAATTTGTCAAAGTTTTTGAGTTTTTGCGAAGAATTTTATTAAAATTTTCGAAAATAATTGAATTTCTGCAATCATTTGTAACTTCTCCGAAATTCAATTATTTAAGTGTTTTTGACTAAAATTCTTCTATAAATCCATTATTATTTCTAATAATTAATAGTTCGTTAAAATTTCTAATTAAATGCATTCAAAATTGAAATTTTATAAAATTTCAAATTGAAACCTTTTAAAGTTGATCTATTTATGAAAATTGTAAACGCAACTCTTTTAAAATTTATATAATTTTAAAATAAATACTTAAATATATAAATAAATAAATTTTGAAATATTTAAGTAAAATTATTCATTAAATAATTTCTAAGTAATAATTTTATGATAGTTCTTCAAGAATTAAATTATTTAAAAAGAAATTATTGTCAGAAATAGAAAAAATTGAAGGTTTCTTGGTAATTTTATAGTCTAGGAGGCAAACCAAAATAACACAAAAATTCAAAATTTTTTTATGAATTCTAAAAATTAAATTTTTTTCAGTACTTTTAATAAAAATCCCTGACTTTTTCCTGAATTCCCTGACCTATGGTAACCCTGAATTAGTTTTCTTCTTTAGAAGCATGTGAAGAAGATTAGAAAGATAAGAAAAAAATTGCAAACTCACGGAGAAATTTAGGGGTACATTCGCTTGCTGAAGTTCATGGGTCCTGGATAAATCCGGCAGACTCTGGCTCCGCTTAGCATTGCCCAGAAGAATGTTTCCAGTTCCTTGCAAGAAATTTGGAATAGTATTATTATTTCCAGATGGATGTCGTGTCATGGCTTTATTGATGGACGAATGTTTCAGATTACTCCAGGTTGTGTAAATTTTTGAATCGGAACATGCCATAGATAAATTTAAGATATTTTTTAAATCCAACGTTTTATCACTATAAGTCACTGGTGCTTCGTACACTTTTTGCTTGTCTGAAAATAGAAGCATGAAAGCTATTTGCGTGTTTTTTTTGTGGCAAAGGCAGATGGTGCAAAAAACAAATATTTTTTTTTATTTCTTTTTTTAATTGCAAAAAAAAGAAGAAAAAAATTAACTCACCATGACCATCGAAGTCCTGTGAACCGTCCGAGTACATGGTGATACTGCCCTCGAAAGCAATTGTGTAGTTGTTTTTGTTATTTGTCTGACATGTGAGCAACATATCCTCGCAATCCAGCGAGTCGACACTATAACTTCCACCCGGTGGCAATACTGGTGTTTCTTTCACCGGGGAAAACAACAGCGAAGACTTACAGATCGATATTGTATCCGTTGTAGAGCAAGCTGATTCTTCTCCCTTTTGGAAAATTTAATTTCTTTTTAATTCTATTTTCCACAAATGATTTACAATTTTTTTTTTTTTTTAATAACACAAAAAGTAGAAATTTTTAAATTCCTTTCAACTTGCTGTTAGAAATTTCCAAATCCATTATTGGATTAAATTTCAATTATTAGAAATATTGGAAATTTAAGGGCAAATTATACTTTGACCTTTCACAATGATTAATAAATCATTGTCAAAGGTCAAAGTATAATTCCTTTATTGAATAATGTGTGTATCAAAAACACTATCAATAAATCATTAATGTTTAATTTTAATTATTTTCTTAAATTACAGTAATTAATATTGAAAACATGCAAATTTGCGTAAGCGATGCCATGCAATGTCAAAACTATCAAACTCGTTAATTTATACAATTCAATTGTGACAGTTTCTGAAAAAATTTAATGCTGTAAAAAAAACCCGATGCTTCATTTCTTATTATTATGCCAATCAAAATTTAAAAATTCAATTATTAACTAATTTATTAATTAATTATAAATATTCAATGTTTTCAAAAACTGTAATATAATTCTTCGCACGAATTAAATTATTTTAATAAAATTCTTTATGAGAAAGAAAATTTAATTAAAATACTTGAAAAAAATTTAATTACCTATTTTCTTAAATAATAAAATTTTTCGCAAAAATTCAATTATTTTCAATAAAATTTCTCAAAAGAATTCAATTATTTTTAAAAAGTGGATAAAAATCTTGTCAAAAATTCAATTACTTTCGAAAATTTAAATTAAATTCTTCGCAGAAACTCAACAACTTTTGATAAAATTATTTCTGAGAAATGAATTATTTTCATAATTAATCAAATTCTTTATTCTTCATGAATTCAATATCTTTTGAAGAGTTTTGATAAAATTCTTCACAAAAAAAATTTATTATTTTGAAAAATTTTAATAAAATTCTTTATAATAAGAAAGAAAATTTAATTAAAATACTTGGAAAAAATTTAATTCTTTTCCTAAATAATACAATTCTTCGCAGAAATTCAATTATTTCGAACAATTTTGGCAAAAATTCTTCATGAGAATTTTATTAAACTAAAAGTGTAATATTGTTTCCTCAAAATAATTCAATGATTTTCGAAAATTTTAATAAATTTCTATTTAAGAATTCAATTATTTTCATAATTTATAAAATTTTTTCGCAAGAATTCAATTATTTTTTTAAAAAATTAATAAAAATATTGGCAAAAATTCAATTATTTTAAAAAATGATAAATAAATTCTTTATGAGAATATTTTTAATACAATTTTAATTAAATTCTTCAAAAAAATTCAATTATTTTCCAAAATTTTAATAAAATTCTTGGCAAAATTTTAATTATTTTCAAAAAATTTCCTCAATTCAATGATTTTCAAAATCTAGTATTTTAATAAAATTTCCCAAAAGAATTTAATTATTTAAAAATATTTTAATAAAATTCTACACAAACATTTAATTATTTTCACAAATAATATAATTCTTTTTATAAATAGTAACATTTTTTGCAAAAATTCAATTATTTTTAATAAAATTTCACGAAAAAATTCAATTTTTATCTTATTTGGTTATAAAATTTTTCAAAACAATTCAATTATTTTTAAAAATTTTAGTAATATTTAAATTCTTCAGAAATTATTTAAATTTTTAAATATATTCTTTTCCTAAATAATACAATTCTTTGCAGAAATCCAATTATTTTAAACAATTTTTGATAAAAAATTCTTTATGAGAATTGAAATATTTTCAATTTTAATTAAATTCTTCAAAAAAATTAAATTATTTCCAAAAATTTTAATAAAATTCTATTTAAGAATTGAATTATTTTCATAATTTATCAAATTTTTCACAGAAATAATTATTCTAAAGAATTTTAATAAAATCCTTCGCAGAAACTCATTTACTTTGGAAAATTTTCATAACATTATTTATGAGAATGGAATTATTTTCATAATGAATCAAATAATTAGCTGGAATTTCATTATTTTAACGAATTTTAATGACATTCTTCGTAAAAATGTTTTTATTTTGAAAAATTTTAATAAAATTCTTTATAAGAAAAAAAATTTAATTAAATACTTTGAACAAATTTAATTTCTTTCCTAAATAAGAAAATTCTTCGGAAAAATTCAATTATTTTGAAAAATTTTGGTAAAATTTTTAATAAGAATTCACTTTTTTGAATACAATTTCAATTAAATTCTTACCAAGATTTCAATTATTTAAAAAAATTGTAATTAAATTTTTTGAAAGAATTCAAATATTTAAAAAATGTTAGGTAATTATAACATTCTTTGCAGAAATTCAATTATTTTTAATTATAATCTAAATATTTTTAAAAGTACATATTTTAATTAAATTTCTCGTAGGATTCAAATTATTAATTTAAAGACTTTAATTACATTTTTCGCAAGAAATTTAATTATTTTGAACAATTTGGCTAAATTTCTTTATAAGAATTTAATTATTTCAGAATCAAAATTATAAATGAAATATTTTTAATTGAATACAATTTGGTTTAGTTATATTTTGATTTTTTTTAATCTTCAAAGCATTATATTAGAATTTTATTAAATTAAAAACATTAATTAACATTAAAAAGAAAAATTACCAAAAAAATTAAGAGACAAAAAAGCAAACAAAAAATTAAATTAAAACTGCGAACAGATTACCTGAATACAGCGATTATTAAATAATATAGAAGATAGATTAGATATTAATTAATAAGTAATTTATTAACAACATTCAAAATAATTATATCAATTAATTAATGACAACATTAAAAATCCCCTCAATTGTCAGCATTAAATTTTGTCGAGTAACAGCGTCAAAAGTGAATAACCTTATGCAAAATAATTTCAAAGCTTCGCGAAATTCGATCAAGTTTACTTCTGAGAAATCATGCAAAGATATTTTTTTTTTTGCAAATTCATGATTAGATAAAAAGTTGGTTATTTAATTTTTTTTTAATTCGTGAATATTTGAATATTTAAAAAGGCAAATAAAGCTTCTTTTGGACAGTCGATTTCATACCTGGCTGGTATGAGGACTGATCGAGGAACCGATGTCAAGTTTTTCCATCACGGAGCCAGAAATACTGGCGTACCGTTCCCTTTGGTAGTTAAACTGTTTCAAAATACGAAGATGCCGTCAATAATTTTTCAATTATTTTTTTTAATCACAAGAGTCTGATTGTTTTGAACAATTAAAAACTAATTTTTTTTCGTGCACATAAAAATTTAAGCTACAAGAAAAAGATAATAAACATTCTACGTCTAGAAATTTTCCTATATTACTTATTATAACGAAAGAAAATCAAAAATTTAATAGTATTACTGCTATTTTTTAAAAATAAATTTGAACGATCGAAAAATTTATGAATTTATGAATAATTAAATTCTTTTGATTACTTTCTTTAAATTTTTTGAAAATAATGTTTTCTCTAATAATTTTAATAAAAAATTTGGAAAATAATTGAATTAAACAAAGAATTTTTTCAATTTTTTAAAATAATCTTGTCTGTTCATAATTATAATTGAAAATTTGATTAATTCAATTTTATTAAAATTTATTGATACTAATTGAATTTCTGCAAAGAATTTTACTATTTATAAAAGTGATTGAATCCTTCCAAAGAATGTTATTATTTATGAAAATAATTGAATTCTGGCGAAGAATTTTATTCAAATTTTTGAAAATAATAAGCAGTAATAATTAATTATGTACTTAATAAGTAATAAAAATTTAATTTGCTCAAGAAGTAAATAAATAAATATCAATTATTCGAACATTTAGAAATTTAAAATTATAAAAATTTAAGAGAAGTTAAATAATTATGATTATTGAATAATAAATAATAATATAACTTTTAGAAGCAAAAAATTGATTCAAAACTTTAAAAGGAATTAAAAAATTTTTTAAATAAAATTATAATTACGGTGACTAACTTTGCTTGATTATTTTCGAAAAAAAATAAAATTCTTTAAAAGAATTTAATTATTTTTAATAGAATGTAAATAAATTTCAATTATTTCAAAAATTTTCAATTATTTGTTGATAAAAATCCAACTATCTTGAAACAATAGAATTGAAAAATTTCAAAAATCTTATTTTTCAGAATTTTCAAAAAAACTTTGCAAAAATTCAATTTTATTAAAAAATTTTAAGTGTGTATCTTTTTTTAAATTGACTAATAAAAATTTTAGTTTTTTTTCGGTTAGTAGACACCTTGATTTTAAATTTTCTTCAATTAGAAGGAAAGAAATGAATTTGTTCTGATGTGAAAAAAAGTTGAAATTCAAAAACATGGAAATTTGAGATAGAAAAAAAATTCTACCTCCGAGTGTTGAACTGGATCTGTGCACATAACCGGGAGAGCTGTGAGGAGAGTGTGAATATCAGCGGTACGAAAGCTCTCCATGTCGACTTCTGCCAAATTGGCGTCCAAGTTCCGTGCAAGGTCGTCATAATAACCCAAATCATCACGAGTGTAGGATGCAGAGAGCGAGGAAAGAACACTGTGGTGAACATGTAGTCCTCCATCTCTGTAACTTAGAAAAGACGATTCACTGATTATTGAAACTAAAAACCGATTTTTTATTTATTTATATATTAATATTACAAAATTGCAGGCTTCGCAATCGAAAATTAATCAAAATAAATTTAGAAAAAATATTACCACAAAAACTTAATTATGCATTTTCCTGACTTTTCCCTGATGTTCATAAAGAATATTAACTTTTTTCCTTACCCTGGTAATAACTTTAATTCTAAATTTTTCTAAAACCCTTCCTGAATTCAATTATTTTCTATTCAACTAAATTTCATCTCTGAATCAATTAATTTCAGGGTTGCAACAAAAAATTCATTTTTGCTTTTCCCTGACTTTTCCCTGATTTTCAGAAAAAATTTTGACTTTTCCCCTGATCCTAAAGAATATTCTGATTCACTTTCAAAATTATTAGATACTCAAAAAAATGTTCTATTACATTTATTTACGAATTTAATAATTCTAATTCTAATTCGAAAATATCAATAACTTCTTTTTTAAATAAATATATACAATCATTGCTATTTTTCCATAAGAATTATGATTTTCAATAAATTTCAAATTCAAACTTTTTTGAAATTCAACAACTTAGAATGATTTAAATATACATACAATTTTTCAGTAAAATCAAATTATTTACAAAATTTTAATAAAATTCTTCGCAAGAATTGAATTGTTTTTACAAGTAATAGAATTTTTCATATGAATTCAATTATTTAAAAAAGTGTAATAAAATTCGTTGTGTAAGAATTCAATTATTTTCATAAATAATAAAGTTTTTCATAGGATTTCAATTATTTTTAATACAATTTTAAATGAATTCTTTTAAAAATGTTATTAATTTCAACAAAATTGTTAGTTAAAAGTATGAAAAATTCCAATTTTCAGATTTTTATTTGAAACCTTTTTAAAATTCAATCATTTCTAAAAACTCAAGCTATAATGCTTTTAATATTCAATAATAATCTAAAATTTTAACAAATTATTAGAAAATTCTACGAATATTAAATTATTTAAATAAAAAAATAAATAATACATTTAATAATTGAATGTTTCTGAAAATTAAATTCACATAAAGAATTTTAATAAAATTTTTAAGAATAATTCCTTTTTTCGAGGAATTTGATTTAAACTGTATTAAAAATAATTGAAATTCTGCTATTAGTTTTATTATTTATAAAAATAAATGTATTCCTAAAAAGAATTTTATTACTTTTGAAAATAATTGAATTATTACGAAGAAATTTTTTAAAAATTTGTAAATAATTGAATTCCTTTAAAAATTTTTATTATTCATGAAAATAATTGAATATTTGCGTAGACAGGGTTGCCAAGCTTTTGCTCATTTCAAATTCCCTGACTATTCCAGGTTTTCCAGGTTAAAAAACGGAATTTTTCCAGGTTTTTAAAACTACATTTATATTTAACAAAATTTTTAATTCAAACCTTTTTGAAATTAAACATCTTATAAAAAATTGTTATAAAACATGAAAATATCGATAACTCCGAGTTATCGATCGCTATCTTCGTTTTATAATAATTAAAAATGACCGACTGAGAGCTTAGAATTTTATCAAAAAAATTTTTAAAATAATTCACTTCTTTTGGAAAATTTTATTAAAATAGTAGATATTAAAAATCATTGAATGGAGAAGAATTTTTGAAAAAAAAATTGAATTTGTTGAAAAGAATTTCATTAAAATTTTTGAAAATAATTGAATTTTGGAGAAAAATTTTAATATATTTATAAAGATAATTGAAATTTTGACGATAATTTTTTCAAACTTTTGACCATAATTAAATTTTTGCGAAGAATTTTATTATACTTTTGAAAATAATTGAATTCTTCAGACGAATCTTTTAATATTTCTTTTTAAATACCTAATTGAATTCTTTTGTGAAATTTTATTGAAATAGTAGATATTGAAAATAATTGAATTTTTATAAATTATATAGAAATTAATGAAATTTCTACGAAGAATTTTATTAAAATTATTTTGAAAATAAATTGAATTGTTAAAAAGAATTTCATTAAAATTTTTGAAAATAATTTTATTCTTTCAAGAAATTTAATTAAAAATGTATTGAAAAAACCGCTGCCAAGTTGTATATTTTTTTTATAATTTTGGTGCTCATTTCATGAACACTTTACTTCCACATAGAGATAATAATAATAATAGGAAAATATATGAATAACTTTTTATAAATATGGTAAAAGTGATTGAATCTTGGGTCAATCAATGTATTTTTAAATACTCTACAATATAGTTATAATAGTTTAATAGTTAAACAAAAGTTTTCAAACAAAAACGTTGAGAAAATGTCATTTCCCACAATTTTTGGTTTTTAAAATACCAATAATTTCGAAATTTATTATCGAATTAGGTTCAAAAATAGGTCAATCGAAGCGTTTTTTGAAGCTCTACAAGTCGGTAATGATAATTTTAAGATTACTTCTACATTTTTCAACAAAATTTTCAAAAAAGTCTTATTTTCCAAAATTTTTGATTTTAAAAAGTTTAATAACTCCGATTAATATGGACGAAAAATGTTCAATTAGGGCTCAAAAGATGCGTCTAAAAAAACTCTACAAAATTATGGAAAAGCATTTATAGGTGTCCTAACATTTTTTTAAAGTTATAGGCAAAAAACGTTTTTTTGCAAAATTAAAAATCCAAAAAAAATTTAGTTAAACTTTATTAATCTATCTCAAAGTACTCTCATTTTATGTCCGCAGGTGAGATCTACAATTTAAAAAAAATTCAACCCAAAAGCTCTTCATGATTTCGAGATATTTATGAAAATGTGATGTTTACACACACACACACGGAATGACATTTTTTAAAAATGTCATTTTTGAACTCCTGAGATCAAATAACATAAAGATATGTCAAAAAATCGAATTCGAAAAATTTCGTTATTACAATACTTCCTCTATGAGGAAGTAATAATACTTAAATTCTAATAAATAAATTACAGGAAGACTTTTTAAAATAATTGAATTTCTTTGATATGAATTTTAGTAACATTTTTACGAATAATTAATACATTTTTCGAGAAATTTCATTAAAATTGTATTAAAAATAATTGAAATTCTGCGATGAGTTATATTATTTATGAAAATAATTATAAATCTAGAAGTTTTTTTATTATTTATGAAAATAATTGAATCTCTGTAAAAAACATTTGATTATTTATGAAAATAATTGAATTATTGCCAAGAAAAATTGTGAAGGCAACTCTTTTAAAATTGAATTAAGAAAAATTAGATTTCAAGAATTTTGAATAAATTTGTTACTCACCTGTCTATGAACCACTGATACTCGGAATTGTCCTGAACAAATTCAGAACCGATAAGATCCTGTGCAATTGGATCTGTGGCTGGGTTGGAATTACAATCGGAGCCTGGTGTCTGCGGATCCTCCATTGTCGTGGTTCCCTTGCCAGCACCTGAAAGTCACATTCATTATTTAATAATAGGAGACAATTTTTTACCAAACGTCAAACAAATTAATCTTTATTTTCCATTAATCTTCATTCTTGTAAACAAATTGACAAATTTGTCAATAGAAAATTGTTTACAAATTTAACAGTGAATTTTTTCTAAAGTAATCATTCATTTTTAAATAATTTTAATCTGAATAATTAATATATTCAACCTACAAATTTTAGTATATTAATTAATTGTTAAGAATATTAATTATTTTTTACACTCTTCTCTATTCTTTAACATTTTATTTATTTATTTATTAATCTTTATTATTATTTGTTTACATTATTTATTAATCTTTATTATTATTTATTTATATTATTTATTAATCTTTATTATTATTTATTTATATTATTTATTAATCTTTACCTTCTAGTATTTAATTATTAAAGAGGAGCAAATGTCAAGAGAATTGGAAATTGTAAAAATTGACAATTGCACAAAAATCTCATACCTTTTTGGCGAGAAAATTTAAAAAGAATCAACTAACACTTCAAAAACTTTCAAGACACAATACCGATAAATAGCAAGACACTTTTGTCAACAAAAGTCAGCAAGTTTATGTGGAAATACTTTCTCCCAGGAAATACTACTTGTTTCTCTAAAACTTTCATTATTAATTATTTTACAAATAATTGGAAAAAAGTCATTTTCTTCATATTAAAACACAAAAAACATGCTTTTCTTTTAACATATCACGTCAAATCATTTAAGTTCTCTTTAACGACCTGGTTTAATTAACAAGATTAGACATAATACGTACAGTCAGAAATTCCAAGAATTCCTTGTTGATCGTCATATGTCTCAATATATATACATTACAATAATGCGATTTCAAAAATAAATAAACGAAAATCAATGACAAATTTAAAGGGCGAGAAATAAAGGTACACCATTGCACAAAGTTGAAAATTAATTAACTTATATTAAAGAATTTTAAAAGTAAACTAGAATAGAGAGATGATATTATGTTTGAATAAAAGAAAACTTACAGAGACCATAGGAGAAAACTAACCTTACATGGTGAAGGAATCATTGATTTGCTGGCGCGTTTAGATAATCCTTTTTAGCAAATAATTGACATTTGTTTATAATCGAGGAACCGAGACACTCCGAAATTACGTGATATCTATTCAGAATGTATAAAGACACACCCTGCTAGATGATCTAACGAAATTTTCCTTGTCAACCCAAGTTGTTCTTTCTCTTCAACTCTCACCTACACATTTTACCTTCCTACACCTACTTGCGACACTAGCTATATAGTGTCAAGAATAAAATGTACATAATGCATTTACTGCTATGTATAAAATTCTTAGCTCTGTGTTGTTGTGATTCAGTATCACATGATACAAAAACCATAATAAAATAAAGAGTGGGACAGTGTGGGACTGGTGGGATTGTCACAACTTCACACTGCAATGTGACGTCACCAGGGTTACCAACCTTTTCATTCCCTCGCACCGCACAATAACACAATTCTGAGAATTTAAAAAAATTTTTAAATACAAATTATGTTAATTTTGCATAATTTCCAAAAAAATTTATATCTGAAATCTGAATGAAACAAATTTGCTATCGATTTTACGTTTTGGTTCTCTCTTTCTTGTGTTGTTGTCGATGAGACTTTTTAAACATTGGGAAATTCGGCGCGTAAATATTAGATTGGTAAACTTGTATTGCATAATGGCGGATGATGGTCAAAAGGTGAGGATGTGGAGTCGAGGAGGATTCCGGGTTTTCTCGTATTTAATTGAGGTAATTCTTTAATATTAACTATTTTTTGTATGTAAAAATACTTTTGAAGCGAAAACCAATAAAGACAAGTTTACAAAAAGGATTTTTGATTTAGTATCTTTCTATATGTATAGTATAGCGTATATACATTACTGACTGCACTGTTGCATTGAACAGAAATTACCACAGAAATTTGCGGTTTTTTGAGTAATTATGATCGATTGTTTGCAAATAATGAAAAATAATGCATTTATAAGATAATATTCATTCTTTAAATATAGAAATTTAGTCTTTGAATCGTTTGGATATATTATTGAAGAACTCTTGGCGGTGAAAAATTTGTGAGGTTATGTTCCTTTGTTTCACGCAGTCACGCAGTTTTTGACGTGTTTGAATTTTATTTTGTAATAAAAATCACGAAGTTAAAAATATACAGGGCTCGAACTAGGTACGTAAATTTGCTTCAAGTCCGTAATTTGATTGAAACAGGACGAAAAGTTCGTAAATTGTTCGATATAATTTGAAGAATTTTAGAGAAATTATAAATGATTGCAGAAAAATTTCGTAAAATTTCAATTATTTTTATAAATAATAAAATTCTTTTCTGAAATTGAATTATTTTCCAAAATTTTAATCAAATTCTGGGCAAAATTTCAATTATTTTCAAAAGTTTTCTCAAATTCAATGATTTTCAATATCTACTATTTTAATAAAATTTTCCCAAAGAATTCCATTATTATTAAAAAAAAATTGAATAAAATTCTACGCAAACATTCAATTATTTTCATAAATAATAAAATTTTTTACAGGCATTCAATTATTTTCAAATTTTTTATAAATTTCTTCGTAATAATTCAATTATTTTCGTAAATAAAATTCATTGCCGAATTTCAATTATTTTTAATGAAATTTTAATCGAATTCATCCAGAAATGTATTTATTCTTAAAAATTTTATTAAAATTCGTCTAAAGAATTCAATTATTTAAAAATTTGTTGATAACATTTTTTATGAGAATTCAATTTTGAGAAACATTCAATTATTCAATAAATTATTTACTTTTGTATTTAAATAATGGAATTTTCGTAGAATTTTCTATTAAAAATTGATTTAAAAATGAATTTCAGTTAAAGTTTCAGATTATAATTGAAGATTAAAATGAATATACTGTGAATTTGTAGAAGTAATTGAATTTTGAAATTAATTTTTTTCAAACAGTTTAATTGAATTTTTTAATATTATTTGAAAATTTTATTTTTTAATATGCATTTAATAAAAGAATTTAGGAATAATTGAAATTTCGTGAAATTGAATATTGTAAACAAATAGATTTGAAAATTGCCAAAGAATTTTTTTGAAAATTATTAAAAATAATTGATCTAAACTAGAATTTTAGTTAAAAATTTTTGAAAATAATAATTGAATTGACATGATGAAAATAGTTTTGAAGTAGTTCCAATAACAAGATTCTTATAATATAACAATAATTCTATTAACAGAATAAAGAACTAAAGAGAAAAAGAAATAATCTTGTTTTGGATTAAAAATATATATATGGAGTGGAGAAGAAGTAAAATATAAAAATACGGTAAATATGAAAATAGAAAAATGATTCTTGAAATCATTTCTGTAAATCTAATCAGTGTTGTTAATTTCTCAATTCCTTAATTGTCGTTCGCGACTTACGAGGAAAAGAAGAAACGGAAAATATTTCCATTTAAGTCATTTTAAATGAAAGTAAAATGCCTAATTTTAGTAAACTCGAATCTTATTATGAAATCACCGATTTTCTCGAGAGACGAGATTTTAATCAGGAAATGGAAGCTGTCTTGTGAAATGCATGATTAAATATATACAGGGGACTATTTCTCTTGAATTCCCTTTTATAGATTGAAATCGAATCGAAAAGGCGAACCGGCTTTATTTTATTTTTTTACGTGCTTGCGAGAGTTCAAGTGCAGTCATAAAAATTAATTCTATAAATAAAGTGTAATTGCCTTGAATAAATGAGCAATCGTACAGAAAATAAAAATAATAGGTTTGCTTTTGTTTCCATTCTCTATTTGAATATTTAAATTCACACGTTCTGAGTTGACAATTTTTTTTTAATAATTCGTTTAGAAAAATAAAAAAATTTTCTTAACCTTTTCCTTCTTATTTTTAGACTACGTAGAACGTGTTAAAAAAATATCTTGGAGACACTCCAACAGGTAGCTGTGATCCAAAAACCTTTTGTTGAACTTTTCTCCCCGTATTTTTTTTGTTTTTTCACTTCAATTTTATTTTTACAAATAATTTTCGCTTTTAGTTTATAAAGTAATTTCGTACTTTAATATATTTTCTACAATTTTTTTGTTTTGATGTTTTTCTATTTTTTTCATAATTTCTATTTAATTTTTTGGTTTATTTTTTTCTTTATTTCTATTTAATTTTACTGAAAATCTATAATTTTTCAGTGATTTGTTTGCATTTCCGCGAAGAATGGAAAAAGAAAAATTTGCAGATATATGTGAACGAGGATGAAAAGTGTGTGGGTATGAAAGATAAAATTTTGATCTCTGAACACGATTCGAGGACACGCAAATAGAGAATAATTGATGTTGCAAATTATTCAGCAATTGTAGAATTTCCTAAGATTTTATATATACGCCTATGAAATATCATCTCTGAGAAAATTGTCTAACTCTACGTACACAAAAGAACCAGTTTTGCACCGGTTACAGTTTTATGGATCACGAGGTCTCTCCGCTAAAACACATATGAGGATAGTATCTACACATGCACGTTGAAGAAAAAGAATTTATCAAAACAAAGGTAAAACAGAAACTGTTTACATTTCGGGTTCAAAAAACTTTTTTTTTTTTAAATAATGACAATAGTAATATTACTCTTCTAATTAGGAAATATTATGCGCGATACGAGCGTACTGAATCTTTTTGGATACCCATTTTTTTTAATATGAAAACAAAAGAATTCTTTATTTTCAAATACATATCAATTTCAATTTTTGATCCGGGAATTTAATTTGACCGGGAAAAATCTGGAATAAAGCAGGAATTTTATGCCAAACCGGGAATTTTTTCACCAAATTAAAAAAAGTTTTATTATTTGTTGTTTTTAAAAAATCGCTTTTTATTTCAATTTTTATAGATATTTATACTGTTCTCTAAATTGGAATTAGTTAAAAATAATTAATTTGATAGTAAAAAATCAGTCACTGATTCAAATCTAATATGTAAATAAATTGAAAAAATTATCTAATTAATAGAAATTTTGTAAAATTCAACTGAAAAAAAATTAAATTTGTTAAAGAATTTAATTAAAAACTTTTTAACAAATCGAATTTTCAAAGTGTTTTAATTTAATAATTGATAAATAATTGAATTTTATAAAGAGTCACATTCTAATGTATTCGTGTTTCTTAGTGCGAAGATTAATAATTAAAATTTTTATTAGTTAATTTAAAAAAAGATACATATTTAAAATTTTGTAATAAAATTAAATTTTCGCAAAGTTTTTATGAAAATTCTGAAAAATAAGATTTTTGAAATTTTTCAATTCTATTGTTTCAAGATAATTGAATTTTTATAAACAAATAATTGAAAGTTTTGAAATAATTAAAATTTCTTTACATTCTATTAAAAATAATTAAATTCTTTTAAATGATTTTACTTAAATTATTGGAAAATAATCAATTACTTTTATAAATAGTAAAATTCTTCGCAGAAATTTAATTAGTGTCAATGCATTTGAATAAAATTGAATTAATCAAATTTTCAATTATAATTATGATCAGACAAGATTATTTTAAAAAATTGAAAAAATTCTTTGTTTAATTCAATTATTTTCCAAATTTTCAATTAAAATTATTAAAAAAAACATTATTTTCAAAAAATTTAAAGAAGCTAGTCAAAAGAATTTAATTATTCATAAAAACTCTAATTAAAATTTTTGAAGCCATTTGTAGATTTATTTATTTTTGAAAGCAAATAAATTTAAATTTGATGGGAAAAGAACCGGGAATTTTGTTGAACGAAAATAGTAGACACCCTCCGTGATACATAATTTAAACAAATTTGCTTGATAACTAATTATTATTTACTTTTTCAAAAATTTGAACAAAATTCTTCGCAAGAATTCCATTATATTCACATATATAATAAAATGCTTCTTTAAAGATTTCAATTATTTTCATAAATAATTAAATTCTTCTCAAGAATTCAATTTTCTTCATAAATCATAAAAATCTTCGTAAAAATTCAAATAATTTTTTTAATTTATTAAAATTCTTCTCAAGAATTTAATTTTTTTCATAAAAAAAATCTTTAAAGAAATTCAAATATTTTAGAAAATTTAATAAAATTCTTCTCAAGAATTTAATTATTTTCATAAATATTAATATTTTTCCTAAAAATTCTATTTTTTTATAAATAATAAAATTCTTCTCAAGAATTGAATTTTTGTTCATAAATAATAATTTTCTTCTCAAGAATTGAATTTTTTTCATAAATAATAATTTTCTTCTCAAGAATTAAATTTTCTTCATAAATAGTAAAAATCTTCAAAGAAATTAAATTAATTTTTTTAATTTATTAAAATTCTTCTCAAAAATTAAATTTTCTTCATAAATAATAAAAATCTTCATAGAAATTAAATTAATTTTTTAAATTTATTAAAATTTTTCTCAAGAATTCAGTTTTTTCATAAATAATTTATTTTTTTGCAAGAGAATTCAATTATTTTCATAAATAATGTGAAAAAGTAATTTTTATTGAATTAATGAATGTATTAATCAAATTTTAATTTCACTGAAATTCATTCAAGTTTTTTTTGAGTTTAGAATTTTTTATTTGACAAAATTTCTCTTTCTCGCAATTTTTTCATGAAATTGTAAAATACTTTAATAAAATTGAATATTTTTCATAAAAATGAAATATTTATTTATTTATTTATTCATAATAAACGGGAAAATATGAAAATATTTTCAAATATAATTATTAAAAGTTGAAATATTTTAAAAATCATTAATATAAATTGAGAATTGTCAACAAACACAAAATTTTCTTTTTTAGGTCTCTTTCTTCTTTAATATTTATTAATTTAACTAGACAGTGTTAATTAACAATAATTTTAATTAGGACAAAAATTTAAAAATTCGTCACAATGGGATAAAATATATTTAATACATATCAGATTGAAAATAGAAAATGAAAAAAATAGAAGTAAAAATAGAAAAATATATTTGAATAGATTATATCAGAAAAATAACTATACTGAAGAATATAAAATCCTTTCGGAATATAGAATTTCTTTCATTTGATATGAAGAATTGACAAGATTTGTTTAGAATGAATATTATTCCTCCCAGTCTCGTACGATTACCATTCAAAGATATATCGCCTTTATAAATAAATAACAAGATGCTTTGTTATATGTATGTTGCAGACAATGGCGCAACCACAAAGTTCTTGATGTCTAATAGTTAAATGTGTCACGCGCGTGGCGCCTACAAACAGATTCTATACTTTATTTACATTCCAGATGACTTTTGCTAACAACTTGTTCATTTTTTTTTTATTATTTTCCAGCCGTTTAACGACGGGTGTGGGCCAGAAATAGCAAACTTTCTTCGTAGAAGGACTAACATATGAACGAGCGACCGCATTCATTTTCATGAGAGAGTTTTCGTTGAGCGAAATATTTGGAATTCAGTGAAGAAAATTTGGAATTCAGTAGAAAAATAAATCTGAAAAGACTATTTGGGAGCAATGGGCGGAATTGATTCGACTGTTCTTTCAAACAATAAATGGTAATTTATTGTCGTGTGGTGAGAATGCAAGATGGTAGAAAAAGAAGAAAATAACAAGGTTACAAGAACAATTTTTTGACAAGGTATTTATTATTAGAAACATTTTTCGGTTTAATTTGTTTATATTTTTTGTTTGATTTTATTTAAATGCATAATTATTTAGGAGAATAGGAATTTTTTTTTATCTTTTGCGAATACGTGACAAGATATTTTACAAAATATCTACAATATATTTGAAAGTATTAGTCAATTTCATAAAAGTATTTTAGAGTTTCAGGAAAAAATTGCGACAAAGAGAAATTTTTTGTATAAAAAGCACTGAACTTTAAAAATACTTAAATATGAAATTAGATTTGATCTAAGTTCGCAAAGTTTTTAAAAACGATAAATTAATTCGACGATTTATTTTCATTTTAGTATAAAGATTACAAAAAAGTTCTTCAAAAAATTAAGATTTAAAACTTTTTACTTTTTAATTTATTTGACGATGATTTATAATTAAGAAAATTATAACCAGTTCTTTAATAATTGGGATCTTTAATTACAGAAGCAAAATTCGTTTTTATGACTGGAAAATATAATTAATTGTAAAAAATATAATTTGGGAAAAAATGGAATTGTTTCGAGGAATTTTAATTAAAAATATTTTTAAATAATAAAAGTTTTCTATGAATTTAATTAAAATTCTTCGCAAGATTTCAATTATTTTATTATTTTTAAAAATAATTGAATCGTTTTGAAGAATTTTATTATTTTTAAAAATAATTGAATTTTTGGGGAGAATTGTATTAAGATTTTTAAAAGTAATTGAATTTCTACAAAGATTTTTATTATTCATGAAGAAAATTGAATTCTTAAGAAGAATTTTATTATTTATGAAAAAAATTAAATTCTAAAGAACAATTTTATTAATTATAAAAAAGTAGAATTCTTGGGAAGAATTTTAATATTAATGAAAATAATTGAATCCTTTTGAAGAATTTTATTATTTTTAAAAATAATTGAATTCTTGGGGAGAATTTTATTGAAATTTTTTTTAAATAATTGGATTTTTTCAAAGAATTTTATTATTTATGAAATAAATGGAATTATTGTGGAGAATTTTATTAAATTTTTGGAAAATAATTAAATTTTATCGAAGCATTTTATTATTTATGAAAATAATTGAATTCTTGCGAAGAATTTTATTAATTTTAAAAATAATTGAATTCTTGGGGAGAATTTTATTAAAATTTTTAAAAATAATTCAATTTTTTCGAAGATTTTTATTATTTTTAAAAATAATTGAATTCTTGCGGAGAATTTTATTGAAATTTTTTTAAAATAATTGGATTTTTTCGAAGAATTTTATTATTTATGAAAATAATGGAATTATTGTGGAGAATTTTATTAAAATTTTTGAAAATAATTAAATTTTATCGAAGCATTTTATTATTTATGAAAATAATTGAATTCTTGCGAAGAATTTTTATAATATTATAGAAAATAATAATTAATTAGTTAATAAGTGAATATTTTAAAGTTTTGCAACTGTAATTACTTATAAATTAATGTTGATATTTGAATATAAAAAAATTGGAAATTCTCATAATAATAAAAATTAAATGCAGAATTTTGTGCGTAAACGCGCGTAACATTTGCTAGTTTTTAAAAAAAAATTTACGAACATGAAAAGTAGAAATAAATACCTTCAAAAAAAAAATTGTTTGGTTTTTTGCGTTTCTAAAAACGTTGCGAACTTCAGCCACAAATTTAGTGAAATTGAAATTAAAATTTTAGTGTTTGACATTTGAAGTAAATACATAAAAAAATTTACGTTTACAGAAACGTAAGTTTTTTTAATCTTTAGTAACGTTTATATCGAAATTTCGTTTTGTCGTATTTATTACATAAAGTGTAAAACAAGTTTATAAAATTTAATATTTATTTTTCTTCCGTGTAAGAATATTTTTTTGAAATTTTCACAGTTTCGAACAAGGTGAATTTTGTCTTTTAAATGTCTAAAGTAACAATAAATTTTAAATTGAGTTAACAGAAACAAAAGAGAAAAATGAATAATTGAAATTTATACTGAAAGAGGAGAACTAGGCAATGTTTTTGACAAAATCTTCGTAAGAAGAATAATTTTCAAAGATTGAATTTATAATTGTAGAAAGATATTGTTCGATATTGATCTTACGTTTTAGAGAACAGCATTTGCATTTGTCATTGGACTTCCGGCTTTGTCGCCGATCTCGACGCTTTCGTTTATTGCAACATGGCTGTGGCGGTCGTGTTTGAGTTTGTAAAGGGGAACTAACTCGCCCCACAGAGAACTCTGCTATCTTCATGATGACGCAAAGTAGAAGCACTAGCATCATTTGAAAATCCTTCACTAAAAGCGTTTCTTCACTAAAGCATAGTTGATTTTCAACTATACTTTATTTCACTCTTTTTTTCTTGTTCTACTTTTTGAGAATCTTCTATAATCTCCTATTCTCTTTTACGTTTTCGTTTTAATGTTTTATAAAGCACTTTTCTGTTTTTTTTTCGGATACGAGCAGAGGAAAAATAAGAACTTTAAAACACTGGTAAATGTTTGAAAAATGGATGATCCAGTCTCCTCATGACTGTGAAGATTCTATTGCATTTCATGTGATCACTGGCGATGATCACGCTGACGTCACTCAATTAAACTCATAAACGCACTGCTGTATACTTGAACAAAGACCCTAATTACATCTGGAATTGAGAGTTCTAAAGTTGCATAGAGGGGTTTCGAGTTTCTGTCTACTTTGTGAATCATAAAAATGCAGTCCTTAGCTTTTTTTCTTCAAAAGAAAGGGAGTTTCATTTTTCTGTTTAGTTTGCAACTATTTCATTTCAAAACAATAGGTGTTTGACATTTTTCAGGAAGGAGAAATTTCCCTCTTTATTTCGATTTTACCGTTAAATGAGTAAAAAAAAATTCGTTGGGATTTGAAAAGAAAAAAATTTATAATTTTGGAAAATTTTTTCTACTTTGATTTAACTGGTAAATAAGTAGAAAAACAATAAAAATTCTATCTGAATTATTGATCAGAATTTCCGATCGTTGGGATTTGAGAATTAAATATATAAATTTATTTTGTTTTCATTGAAATATTAAAATTCAATTTTAATTACTTTTTATTTAATTCATTTAAGGAAGAACTAGACAAACAATCGGAACAAAAGTTAATCCAATGTCATAATTTCGTATTTTAAAAGAAAAAGACACTTTAATTTTTCAATTGTTTAGGTGAAAGCGAAAAGAATTCAGGCCTCGAATATTTTTTCGACTTATTTTCAAAAATTGCGACTTTCTCGACTTTTCTTCCAAGTTTTGCCACAAAAACCATATTTTTGGTATAAAATGCAATATATTACGATTTTTATAGTGTAAAAAGTATAAATATAGACAATCTTTCAAAAATTATTTTTGAATGATTTTTCTAATTAAATTTTTGAAATATACAATTAAAAAATTTTCCAATAATTGAAATTTTGTAAAATTTAACTAAAAATAATTGATTTTTCCTCAAGTATTTTATTACAATTTTTGAAAATCAACGTTTGAGGAGTTTTAATTGTAAAATTTGAAAATAATTGAATTCTCAAAAATTTTAATGAAAAATCTTCAAGTTTAAATTTATAAATATGAAAATTAATCAAAATTAGCTTCTAAAAATTATATTAAAATATTTTTGAAAAAGTAATACTTATAGAATTTTTTCCTTGTAATTTTTTAAAATTCAATTTTTTTTTTAATAATTTCAATTACATATTTCCGAAAATTCAAATACGTACAAAAAATAATAACATTAAAATTTTTTAGTATTATTTTTAACACTTTGGAGAAAACAATCATGGTGAATATTTTTTATTAAAATTCAACAAAAAATTAGTTTCTTTTAAATTGTACAAAAATTCATAAAAGAAATTCAATTATTTTCGTAACATTACATTGCAATATTTTTAAAACACTGAGTCTTATAATTGTTTCATTATAATTTTTTAAGATTCATTTTTATTAGATTTATTTTGTTCGAAGATAATTATCTTCGAAAAAAATAAATTAAAGTTTTTTTTAATTTACTTTTTTAGACATTTTAAAATTTTGGAGAAATCATGTTCATTTTTAAAATTAAAATTCTTCATAAAAATTTGATTATTTCTTTTTATATTTTTCAAAAATTCAATTATTGTTAACAGATTTTACTAAATTTCAATTATTTGTAAATTTTTCAATTGTATAAATTAAAAACCTATAAACTTTCAAAAATTATTTAAATATATTTAAAATATTAATTTTAAGAATTTCTTTATTATAATTTTTTAAAAATCAGTTACTTTCAACATTTTTGGTTAAATATTTTCAGTAATTCATCTTAATAACTTTTATAAAAAAGAACTATGTATAAACAGTTACAGTTACAATAATTATGGTAAATTGAATGTTTGTATTTAAATATAAGAAAATAGTTAATAAGAAATATTTCTTATTGACAAAGAATTGTAATTTTTATTCAAACGCAACTTTTAATCGTTTAAAATGTTGAAAATAAAAATGTACACCATTCAACCAAAACAAATTTAAAATTTAATTTGTCTTTTTCGGTTAAAATAGGAAATTATGACATTGAACTAACTTTTGTTTTGACTGTCCATCAGATTCTTCCTTAATTCGTTTCATTATTTATTTCATTTAGTTAATTTCATTATTATTTATTTAATTCATTTCATTATTTATTTCATTTTATTCATTTCATTATTTAATTATACTTTATTAAATGTAAATATGAGGGTCATAAGAGTAGTTTTTTTTACTGCGCACTCTTTTGAATTTGAAAAATTAATCTAAACTTTTTGTTACTTTTTATGAAGCAGACACTATTACAGGTATATTATTTTTTCTATTAGAATTCCATATTTCGAACCATATCTCTCCCTTTCTCTCTTAACGTGCATTCTTTTATTTTCAAAACACAATTCTGACTCAACAAATAAGCAGAATTTTGACTTATGTATCATCATTTATCGAAAAAAAAATAATTCCCAGAATCACGCAAAGATTAGATCTAGATTAGAAATTTTTTCTCCCAATTCTTTGAAAACTTATTTCAGATTATTCCCATTTATAAGAAAAGAAGAAAAATAAAATTCGGTACCTACAAAAAATTGATAAGAAATGTATTAAAAATTTACGATTTAGATTAATTAACGAAATAAAACATGTTAATGCAAATAAAAATGTTAGGAAGGAATTTTTATTGATTTTTTTATGATAATTTTTTAAAATACAGTTAAACTGTTGTGAGGAATTAAATTTTAATTGCGGTATTGAAAATAATTGAATAATTTTAAAAAGAATTTTGTTACAAACTTTTGTAATAATTCAATTACTAAGAAGAATTTTATTATTTATGAAAATAATTGAATTATTATAAAGAATTTTATCAAAAATTTCTGAAAATAATTAAATTCATAAGAAGAATTTTATTGAAATTTTTAAAAAGTAATTAAATTCCTGTAAAGAGTTTTATTATTTATGAAAATAATTAAATTATTTTAAACAATTTTATTAAAATTTGTGAAAATAATTAAATTATTTGGATTGTTTATGTTAACATTTTTGTAAATAATATTGAATTATTTAATAATAATTGAATTACAGTGAAGAATTTTATTAAATTTTTTAATAATAATTTAATTCCAGTGAAGAATTTTATTATTTCTAAAAATAATTGAATTCTTGCTGTCAATTTTATTAAAAATTAAAATTAAATACTTTAAAGAATTTTATAAAAAATTTTGAAAATAATTCATTAGTTTCGAAGAATTTTATATAACTTTTTTGAAACATTAAAATTCTTTCGAGGAATTTAATTAAAATTGTACTGAAAATAATGAAATTTAATTATGAAAAAAATTGTGAAATTAATAAAATTATTATAGATAATTTCATTAAAAGTTTTTAAAAATTTTTAAAAATAATTTAATTCCTTTAAAGAATTTTATTATTTGAAAAAAAAGTTGAATTATTACAAATAATTTTATTACAATTTTTAAAAATTAATTAAATTCTCGTGAATAGTCTTAGGTACTATTTATGAATGTAATTGAGTTGTTTTGAAGATTTTTATAAAAATTTGTATTGTAAATAATTGAATTTCTTTAAAGAATTTTATTATTTATAAATAATTTTATTAAAATTTGTGAAAATAATTAAATTATTTGGACTGTTTTTATTAACATTTTTGTAAATAATTGAATAATTGTTTTAAAGAATTTTATTAAATTTTTTTTGAATAATAATTGAATTATATATAGTGAAGAATTTTATTATTTCCGAAAATAATTGAATTCTTGCAGTGAATTTTATTAAAAATTAAAATTAAATACTTTCAAGAATTTTATAAAAAATCTCGAAAATAATTCAAATGTTTCGAAAAATTTTATAAAAACTTTTGGAAAATATTTGAATGTTTTCGAGGAATTTAATTGAAATTGTACTGAAAATAATGGAATTATAAAAAAAAATGAAATTAATGGATTTATAATAGATAATTTCATTAAAAGTTTTGAATAATTTAATTTTTTATAAATAGAATTGAATTATTATAAAAACAATTTTATTAAAATTTTTGAAAGTAATTCAATTATTTGATTTGTTTTTATTAACAATCATTATTTTTGTGAATAATTGAATTGTTTTGAAAGAATTTAAAAAAATTCTTTAATTATAATTGAAGTCATGTGAAGAATTATACTATTTCTGAATATAATAGAATTCTTGCGATGAATTTTATTAAAAATTCTTTTAAATAATTGAACCATTTGAATTATTTTTATTAAATTTTTTTTAATGTAATCAAACTCTTTCGTGGAATTTATTTAAAATTGTATTGAAAATAGTTGAAATCGTATAAAGAATTGACAATTTTTTATAAATTTTCGAGTAATATTATTAAAATTTGATAGAAAATAATTGAAATAATGGTGATGAATTTTATCAATTACATATAAAAAAATTGAATATTATTGCTAAGAATAAATTGTACTAAACTTTTTGAAAATAATTAAATTATTGCGAAGAGTTTAACTAAACTTTTTGGAAATAATTGAATATTGAGAATAATTATTATGCGATAATAATAAATGTTTTCTTATTTTTTAGTATCATTATTCAATTAATAATCAAGATGAGCAGAATCATTAAAAAAATGAATAGAAATAAAAAAGTGAGAAATATTAGAATTGACAATAACAAAATTATCTTATAAGCAATTAATCATTGGTGTTATTGTAATTAGACATTTGGTGACATTGCAAATTAATGAAAGGCGGTACACATTTAAATATTGTCATTCAGCTCGTGGATTTGAAAAAGAAATTTTTATTCACTAACTTACAAAGGGAGAACCGACGACCGGAAATTGTGTTTTGATAATGTTTTCAAATGGAATTATTAAATTAAAAAAAAAAATAATAACAACCACGAGTAGTAATCGATAATGAGTTGTTAGTACGAAGGGCAAACTCAACGTTACTGACTGTCTTTAATATCTTCTCTTGTAATAATAGCAGTTACGTCAATCGAACGCATCCAAGCGTTAAAATTGCACCAAACTGTTGAACCAATTGTGAGTAGTTAATCGAGAACAGAGAGAGCGAGAGAGACAGAGAGAGAGAGAGAGAGAAAGAGAGATGGAGGCAAACTTGATTCGTTATTCTCTTGTTAATCGAAAAATCAACGTCTGCTTCTATACTAAATTATTATTCGATTCCGTATTCATCAACAAGTCTCTAATTCTCTATTTCCTAAATAGAAAATGTCACACTTTCTTAATAAGCACAAAATAGAAACTGTTTTGAAACGTTTTAAACTCTGGAACTCTAGAACTCTCGTTTCCATTTTTTCTGCTCTCTTTCGTTTTATTATTGTATCACTTATCGGCAAAATTATTTTCCAACTAATTTTCAAATTGAATTCCCAATCTGTCATGTCAAAATTAAAGTCAAATCGTTTTATTTGTAAATTTTTAATCTTGACAAATGCGTAGTTTTTATTCGCAATTATTTACATTCATATATTATTTTAATTATTAATTGATTACTTTTGAAATTCATTTGAAAAATTGAAACTTGATGATTTTTCTATACATATTGTTTTTGATGAAATTCGCAGTCACTGATGAGGGGGGGGGGGTGAAATTGATCACTTATTCAGCAGGTTTATTGACTTTTTGGGGAAAACAAACTTTTCTTCTCTACGTTTTGAAAAAAAAAAAAATAACACACCAAAAAAGTGAATTATTTATCAATGATTATATTAATTTGTATAATCGCGAGCGCGAGTTGAGGATTTTTGATGTTTCTTATAGAACCTCAGGAAGGAAGGCCTAAGTAAAACTGCCATGATCTCGTAAAAGTCTGCGCGGGAGACTTTGCACACGTCCCGACACGACGCGGAGTTTAATCTCTATTAATAAATGCCCACATCCCTCAGAAGCGAGAATAGAGCCAGAAAACTTTTAAACTCTCAAGCTCTCATTGAATCTATCCTCACACTGTAACATTGTGAGTTTCGGTCCAGCGGGAGAGAAAACAGTCCCTTGATATATTTACATTCATGCATTGCTAGAAATTTTAATTTTTTCAAAATTCAAAATGGAGGTTCAAAAATGGCCGACAAAATATAGAAAATTTTGAATAGCCAGAAAAATAAATTCTAGACACATTTTCTCATGACAAATGACTAAAATTAGTAAACAAATAACATTTATGGCAAAATTTTACCACTATGACTAATTTAACAATATTTTAAACATTTTTTATAAACAAATTGTTTTTTTTTTAAAGTCATTGAAAAAAAATTGTTTGTTTACATATCGCTCTTATTTTGATAGTTGCAATGAATGTTGAGGATAAAAATTGTTTAACATTATTGTTTAACAATGTTGTAAACAATTTTATAAACAAATTAAGAATTGACAATAATTGAAACTGAAAAACTGTGTCTTCTTCCACCGAATTTTTTACTGTTCTCTTAATGAATCTTTAATGTGAAAATTATTGACAAAAATTATTTAACAACTTTATGAACAATTGTTATAAACAAATTTCAAATTAACAACAAGTTCATAAACTTTATAAATTTTCGTAAAATTTAAATAAAACCTTTCAAAAGGTTTTAATTTGAAATTTTACGAAATTTCAATTTTGAATGAATTTATTTAGAAATTTTAAAGAACTTAGATAAGAAGTAAAGTTTAAAGAACTTAGTTTTTTGGAAAATTTGAATAATTATTAAAATACTTTTTGAAATTAATTAAATTTTTTAATATATCTATATTAAATTGATTAAATTGTTATATAAATATAATTCTTCACAGGAATTTAATTATTTTTTTAAGTTTTAATAAAATTCTTCAAATGAATTTAATTATTTACAAATATTTTATAAATTTCTTATCAATAATTTAATTATTCTCATAAATAATCAAATTATTTATAAGGATTCAATTATTTTCATAAATAATAAAATTCTTTTTAGAAATTTAAATATTTGTAACACAATCTTAATTAAATTCTTTGAAAAATGTAATTATTTTCAAAAATTTTTATGAAAATTCGTTAAAAAAAATCAATTATTTAAAGATTTGTTGATAAAGTTCTTTATAAGAATTCAATTTTAAGAAATATTTAATTATTTTTATTATTTATTTTTGTATTTAAAAAATTGAATTTTGGTAGAATTTATTTAATTCTTATAAAACTGATTCAAAAATGAATTTTAGTTGAAAATTTAGATAATAATTGAATATTAAAAGCATTATAGTGTGGATTTTCATAAATAATTTAATTTTGAAAAGGTTTCAAATTAAAATCTTTGAAAATTTGAATTCTTCATACTTTTAATTAACAATTCTGGAGAATTAATTTTGTTGAAAAAATTTAATTGGATTGTTTTTTGAAATTATTTCAAGTTTTTATTTTCTAATATACATTGAATTCAAGAATTTCTGAATAATCGAAATTTTTGGTAAAATTGAATTGTAAATAAATGGATTTTAAAATTATCAAATAATTTTTTCAAAAATTATTAAAAATAATTGATTTAATGAAGTATTTTAGTTTAAAATTCTGGAAAATAATAATTGAATTGAAATGATAAAAATAATTTTGAAAAAGTTACAGTAACAATATTCTTATGATATATAAAATAATTATTTTATCACACGGTCATCATAAATTATTATAATTTGTTTGAATTTGAAATTTTTGAAAATTTTAATTCCTATGGAAAAATAATAATGATTAAAAAATTAAAAAATAAGTTATTCATGTTTTCTAATAATTTTACAATTAAAGAAATTCGACAATAAATGTATTAGAACATTTTTTTTGTATCTTATCATTTTTATAGTAAATCAGAATATTCTTTTTAGGGTCAGGGAAAAAGTCAAAATTTTATTCTGGAAATCAGGGAAATTAAAGCAAAATAAAATTTTTGTGTCAACCCTGAATAATAATAATAATAATTTCCTTAAAAATTAAATGTTATTTGAATAAAATTATTTAAAATTTCTAAAAAAGAATTGAATTTTGGAAGAGATTGGAATAAATTTAGAATAATTTTAACCATTCTTATTTATTTTATAATTATACTTTAAAATAACTTTTACAATAATTAATTGATAAAAAAAATGATAAATTATTGTTAAATGTCTTACCGGCGCGTTCTCCGTTGGCACGGATTATTTCTGCTGCCAGTACCTGAAAAAAATCATCAAAATTTTTTTAATTTCAAAACAAAAAAGTATTTTAAAAAATAAGGCTTTGTTATTAAAGTGTTGAAAATTAAGACCATCAAAAAGAAAAATGCCAGATGATGGAAAGAAAATTTTAAAAATAAAATTGTGCCTCTCCATTGATATGTATGTAAATAGATAAAAATTGTTTTTCTGTTTTCCACATGGGGAAGTAACAAAGAGGCGCATGAGAAGGCTAATTCTTTTTTAGGAAACGTTAGTAGGTTTAGAAAAAAAATCTTGTGAGAGAAAAAGTTTGTTGAATCATTTGCCAGGTTTTCAGACAATAAAACCAAGCAGGAGTGCATATCTATTTGAGGGTCAAAACAGGGGAGTGATGTGCGTTTAAAATAACAACTTCCATGTAAAAGATCTCGGATCGAGAGTGAGAAAGAGAGAGAGAGAGAAAGAAAGAAAAGAGAATCTGGTATACACTTCGTTTTTAGTTCAACTTACATACTTTCAAAAAGCCACCCATTCCGAAAAGAAAATAAACAATTTCGTTCGAACTGAAGGAAAACGAAAACAAAGTTACATTAACCCTTATTTTTTTCGTTTTTCATTTTAAAGTTTTTTTTAACACTCGATCTGAATTTTTTTTTTTATAGTTACGAAATCTGAAATTTGTTTCAATTTTATAATTATAATTAATAATAATAAAGTACATGTTTCGGTAATCTGTTCGCAGTTTGAAGTTAGTTGTTTGCTTTTTTGTTTCTTAAATTTTTTAAAATTTTTCTTTACAAGTATTTTCAATTTTAAAATAAATGTATTAAAAATCATCAAATTGTTGCAAAGAATATTATCAAAAAATTTGATAATAATAGAATTCCTTCAAAGAATTTTATTATTTAGGAAAATAACTGAATTCTCGCAAAGAAATTTATTAAAATTTTAAAAACTCCTAATTAAATTCTATTGAATAATTTCTTTGAATTTTTTTTTAAACTTTTTTTAATGGAGTTTCTTTAATAATTTTAATTGAAAATTTTGAAAGCAATTAAATTTTATAAAGAAGAATTTTATTAAAATTGAATTGAAAATAATTGAATTCCTTCAAAGAATTTTAGTATTTATAAAAATAGTTAAATTGTTTCGAAGAATTTATTAAAATTTTAGGAAATAATTGAAATTTATGAAAATATTTTTAAATATTTGAATTCATCTGAGGAATTCAATTGAAATATTGTTTTGAAAATAATTGAATTCCTGCAAAGAATTTTACTATTTATAAAATTAATTTTATTCTTGCGAAGAATTTTACTATTTATAAAAATAATTGAATTTTTTCGAAGGATTTATTAAAATTTTAGAAAAAAATTGAATTCTTCCCAGGAATTCAATTAAAATTGTTTTGAATTCAAAATATTTTTTTTCAATTTTAATTGAGTTATTTTTAAAAGTTTTGATACAATGTTTTATAAAAATTGAATCATTTTCACGAATAATAAATGTTTTCTATATAATTCAATTATTTTCAAAAAAGTGAAATAAAATTCTGTGAAGAATTCAATTATTATTCAAATTCAATTCTTCGAAAAAATTCAATTATTTTCGAAAAATTTGATAAAATTCTTTAGAATAATTTAATTCTTTTTAATATGAATTTAATTAAATTTCTTAAAAGGATTTAATAATTTTTTTTTATAAATAATAACATTCTTTGCGAGAATTCAATTTTTTTCAATACAATTCTATTAAAATTTCCCGAAAGGATTTAATTATCTCCAAAACTTTTAGTACAATTTTTTTGAAAGCATTTAATGATTTTTAAAAGTAATGATAAAATTTTTTATAGGAATTCAATTAATTTTAGTACAATTTTAATTATGGAAGCAATTTAATTATTTTTAAAAATTTTAATAAAATTCTCCGTAAGAATTCAATTATATTTAAAAACAATAAAATCTTCGAAAGGATTCAATTATGTTTAAAAATTTGAATAACATTCTTTGCAAGAAATTAAATAATTTTTATAAATAAAAAAAATTTTGTTACAAATCCATTAGTTTTTAAAAAGTTTAATAAAATTAAATAAAAGTATTCAATTACTTTCAAAAATTTTGATTCATTTCTTTAGAAAAATTCAATTATTTTCAATACAATTTTCATTAAATTCTGAATTCGTATTTTTACAAATTTTATTTTTTCAATTTATTATTTTTTACTTTAATATTTTCATAAATAATAAAGTTCTTCACAAAATACAATTTTTTTGCAACAGAATTTTAATAAAATTCAACCAAACAATATTCAATTATTTTCGAAAATGTGAAAAAAATTTTTGAAAGCAATTCATTTTTTTTTCAAAAATTTTAATAAAATTCATCGCAAGAATTGAATTATTTTAAGTTATAAAATTCTTTGAAGTAATTCAATTATTTTTATTAAGTGCCTCGAAAAAATTTAATTGTTTTTATAAATAATAAAATTGTTCTGAGAAATTCAGTTAGAATGTATGTAATTTTAATTAAATTCCTCGAAAGAATTTTAATAAAATTCTATGTGCAAAAATTAAAATATTTCAGATTGAAGATTTTGAAAGTTAAAGAAAACCTTATTTTGCATTAATATGAATTATTTTTTCTCCATTAATTTGACTC